CGGACGCGCGCGCGAGTCCATAGATTAGGTCAATATTTGGCTCACTACGGGTAACTGGGTCAAGGATCGCGGCTACCGAATGCGTCTATCGTTCCGATATGTGTTATCGATGATATCTCTCGCTCGCGCCGCCTCCTCCTCTATCCTTCGCCGCGCGTCGTTACCTGTTTTTCTTCTCTTTCGTTTTGCGTTTTGTCAATTTTTCGGATTCGCCATGTTAAGGTATCTTAACTGCCCCCCCCCTCTCTCTCTCTCTCTCTCTCTCTCTCTCTCTCTCTCTCTCTCTCTGTCCGGCCTTAACCGAAGCTTGAAAATACGTGGTAAGAGCGCAGTAGGGCTGACCTAGAGATGTCACTGGGTTAGCGTGTCCATGGGCCATCTATAATCCTGATGATACCGGCGATACACGCTCGTTTTACTCTGTCATACAGACTGCGGACTGCGAGTCCGACTGACCTGCCTAGGCTCGTGGGTATTCGCCAACGACCTGCGTCGACGAAAACTGTTAATCGACGAAGTGACGACGAGCGTTCGTTATCGCGTGGAAAGAAGGACGACAACAACGACAACGTCGTCGTCGACGACGGCGATAACGACAACGATGACGACGATAACGAGGAGAAGGAGGAGGAGGAGAAGGAGGAGGAGGAGGAGGACAACGACGAGAAGGACGACAACAATGACGATGACGTACCTGAATGACATAAATCGGGCGAAAAAACGGACGGTTGAAGACGCAAACAATGCCGCGATCTTGACTGATTCTGGAACGGAGGCAATAGAGAAAATTTCGCGCCATCGAGAGAAAAATCAGCTGCTCTCTATCCGCTCGTAGAAATTCCTCCGGAGGAGTCGCCGTGTCAGGTCCTCTACAGGATGTCCCAAAGCCGTCGGATGAGACAACAGATCTCGCAGCTGATTCAGGGAGAATGAATTCTTTTCTTTTTTCTTTTTTCAACGACAATCGTCATTCACATCGCGCGTCTCCCTAATTTGTAACATTTCGTAACCTTCGTGACTAAATTTCACGTTAAAATCGCACTCGTGAGATTACCCGGGAAAGTTATTCGTCATCTTTTTTTACTGCCGAGGGAGCTTAGGTGGTCTTAGCTCGTTGAACATCCTATGCCTTCGACCGTCGATTATTCGACAGTCGAAAGCACCCTCGACTCCGCTCCGCATCGGAGCGAAAGCCGATCACGAGTCTCGCCCTCGTAGAGGAGGGGGGCGAGGGGCGAGGGGCGTGGGGAAAAGACACCACAGGCGGTTTTGGGCCGTCCTATACGGGACGAATATGCCGATCTGCATATTTCCCTGAGCCGCTTCATCTTTCACCCTCGTGCGCCGCGCGCGCGAAGCGTAATTTCCTAAATGTCCGCGCCACGAAATTCTGCCCCGTAACTGCAGTGCAACCAGTGACGCCCTGACCTTTCGTTTCTCGGTCAACGTTCGTCCGTGTGTGCGTGCGTGTGTTAACGAAAATTCGCAGACGGGTTTCAGCTCGCTCGACGGGTGCTACCAGTATCAACCCCTTCTCGTCGAACGCGCCCCGTCTACGCGCTTCGCCCCTGTTGCTGTCGTTCACTTCGGTATAGCTTAAAGACCCCGGCTTCAATTTTCGCGGAGCAAACTTTGGCGGAGGTTTAATTTCGCGAAAGTATCGTATATCGCAGGAGATACGTATCCGTCGCTTTATCCAAGGCGACACGAAGGATCTTTCTCCCTCTCACTCTCTCCCTTTGCCTCTTCGAGGCCTTTCATTCGCCCATACGCGAATTCCATGTCGCTCCGCTGGTAAGGCAAATACAGGCGACTGGAATTTCTAATAAGCGTGCACGCCCCACTTTCGGTATTCGCTCGAAGAGCACACAACGCACGTGGAATTCGCGGATAATGAATTTAGACGGTACGCAGGCCGAAATGAATGTGCTCTCTCTCTCTCTCTCTCTCTTTCTCCCCCTCTCTTTTTCCTTTTATCCCTCTCTCGAAGTGATATGTCATTGCTGTTTATGAGACCGGCTTCGACACGATAACGAAAAGAAGACAGGCTCAGTTTGTCCCTCGACGAAGAAGAGGACAGTTTCGACTAGAAATATACAAACATAATATATAAAAAATTCAACACTAGACACTTTTGTCCTACCTCTCACCGTCATCTGTTGTTGCAGAGACGAACGATGATCCATGAACGAAGAATGTAGACGAGAGCGGAGAGCAAGGAGCGGATCTGCCAGTGTCGCAGATTCGGACGAGGACATCGCCATCTCTGAAGTTTAATCGCCTCGAGCCACGTCGAGCACTTTCTTCGCGCCTTTCTCGCTGTAAGTACCGCACTAATATAAACGCACGCGAGTAGATCCTCCGCCAAATAGGAGGAGAAGACCTTGGCAGCGAGGATGGGAGGGGGAAAGACAGATGAAGACGCGTAATATATATACTGCAAACATTAATTTATTAGAGACACGATGCGCGACAACTCAGAATAAGTTATCCCTCGCACTCGCGACAGAGACGAGGAAAGAATCGTCGTAGAGTCGCGCATTATGAGCTCCCCTTGTTTCGTGCTTCGGCGGCTGGTTGGAATCGCGGACGATCCTACGTGCGTACATACGTGCGTACGTGCGTACGTACCGCACACGTATAATGCTGCCACAGTGCCAAGGGAGGTAACTAGCTGCGCTCTAATAATGCGGCACCGTTCGCTACCACTCTCGTGACCGTCTCTCGCAGCCGTCAGTGCTCCGTCAGCGGGTCACATTTCGTTGCCGCCGCCGCCGCCGCCGCCGCCGTCGTCATCACCGTTCTCTCCGTTCGCCGATATCCCGTATTCGCCATATCGTCGCGACGCGACGCGCCGCGATAACCCCGCGTTCCTTCGCGAGAGAACGCGCCGTTTAATTGGGTAACTATCGCGCGCGAGAAAGAACGAGAGAGAGAGAGAGAGAGAGAGAGAGAGAGAGAGAGAGAAAGACAGAGACGGAGACAGAGGGAGAGAGAGAGAGAGGGAGAGAGAGAGAGAGAGAGAGAGAGAGAGAGAGAGAGAGAGAGAGAAATTGCGAGAACGTGAGAGAGAAATAGAACCGCCGTTTGTCACGCGACAAGCGTCATATCATATCATCGTCGAGAGCAGCCACGGTGAGTGTGAATGCATCTCCGGAAAATCTATATAGATTGTAGAGAGAGAGAGAGAGAGCGGCGAAGAAAGGATGAATCTAAATCCGCGATCGATCTGTGACCCCCTTGCTAACCCCCGTTACGCCCTACTTTTTCTCTCTCTCTCTCTCTCTCTCTCTCTCACTTTTGTTCCCTTCCTTAACGGAAGTTGATCGAAATCGCCGAGCTTTCTTCCTCTTTCTCTCCCTCTCTCTCTCTCTCTCTGTCTTTCTCTTTCATTTTCCCACGATCCAAATGAACGCGATTGAAACTTTGTCCCATGGTGTCGAATCGTATGTCACACTTGAATCGATCGCCGGTCGCATCGCCGGACGACAAAAGGCCGAGACGCGTTTCGTCGATTGCAGATCGCACAGCTCGCGATTTCGTCGCGATTTCACCATTTCGGATATTAGTGTGCGTTCGGGGCTCTACCGTGCGACCAATAAATCCTAATTTCTCGTGACATTAACGCGCGGTCTCTCCTCGTGTAAACTTCCGTGTACGACGTTCCCGTGGACGCTGCGTGTGACCGAGCGTACGTAGGCATACACGGAACACGTAGAAGGAAGTTGCTAATCAACGTGGACCTTCGTGTGTAACTAGAGAATACTATCCTACTAATCCCTCCTAACGTGTGTGAGACAGAGGGAAAGAGAGAGGGATAAATGCCGACGCGTTATCGGGCACACATAATTCGCGCGCTCAGAGTCGCTGTGCGAACTAGCCGGTACCTAAGGACACCTGAATCTTCGAAAAAGCGCATTAGTCGTCCTGATCGAAAGACCGGGATTATTTCCTGTCGCCTTTCCTGTCGCTTCTTTCCTGCGGAATTTTCAGTTCGTATGAAACGACGAAGTCACGAATGCTTGTGCTTGAAATAAATGTTAGAAAGCTATGAGAAACGGTTAAAGTGTCGATTAGAACGATTAAATTATGCTTGTAAATATCGTCATTGTTCTCGCAATGATTGCGACAATCGAGTCGCGACAGCTCGTAGAAAAAACTTGATAACGAAGATTATCTTTTTTGTAGATCCAACCCCTCTTTTTTTTATCCGTTTGACTTTCTAATACACTTCGTACTTTGGAGGCTCGTTGTGCTGTTAAAATAATGGAAATAAAATATGTCAAAGATTTGTTTTTGCCATGAACTTTGGTCTCTATTTAAAATCTTCGTGCATGTGATAACGTTTATGGGGTTCCCGAAAAGCGTCGATTTTGTGTCTCGTTGGTCTGAGACCGACACGCGAGCCGATGAAGATTAAATACTCTTTGAATGTTGAAAACATGTCTAAAAGAGATGCTTGAGACGCAAACGGTACTGACGATAATAATAATATTTGCAACGATAATATTTACGATGACAATAACGCTCGGAGAAATTACGCTGATAACACATTCGAGTCTTTAAACTTGAATCTCCCGACTTGGAAGTCTGAAGTATCCGACCGTGCGACGGCCCGAGTTTCTCGGAATATCGCGAAGCCGGAAGTTCTTCCAAAAAGTATCTGGAAAACCTCGGATTTTTATTTGAGATTTTTCTGATACTTTCGGAGGAAGATTTTCATATCGATACAGATGTAGACCGAGAACATACAGACACACACACACACACACACACACACACACACACACACACACATACACGCACATACATCACGTCGATTGCGCCGCGACAATAGTTGACCTCCACGGCACACTTCCGAAAGGAAGTTCACACATTCGGCGACTCCACAAATATTACGAAAACTTCCGCGCCGCCGCGCCGCATCGGAAGCTTCCAAGCGCGACACTCAATAACTCGCGAGCAGTATCGCGCACCTGATCATCCGACGTATTTTGAGAGCCCGTCACACTAGTTGCGCGGTTCGTTGCAGCCGAGCGGGCACGATGAAATCGCGAAATCCAAGTTCCTCGCGGACCGGCAGATCGGAGGTCCTGCTGGTGCTGGGTCTAATCCTGCTCCTCGCTCAGCTGGACATCTGCCACGGCTCTCCGTCCCATCGTAGCAGGCATCATGAGCATGACCACGATCACGAGCACGAGCACGAGCACGAGCACGAGCACGAGCACGCGGATTCATCGCGCGAAGATGCCAGGAGCGCCAGGTTGATGAGCGAGGAGCTCCCGCGACCTGCCGCCCTCACCAACGATCCGCTGATCGTCAACACCAAGAAGGGTTTGGTCCGCGGCAAGACCTTGACCGCCACCACGGGCAAAGAAGTCGACGCCTGGTTCGGCATACCCTACGCCCAGAAACCCGTCGGTACGTTTCTCTTGCGCCCGAGGAATTTGTGCGATGATCGTCTTCCCCGGTCTGTGCGTCTGACTCCTCCGGAGAAGTGTGATCTTTGGATAATATAGTCTCCGACGAATCGAAAGACGCGACCGGTCGCGACCGTTGCAGGGATTACCTCGTGCGTCCGATTAACGAGTGATGTTAATTGTACGAACGATAACGCGCTTAAAGTATCGTTTCGGACACTGTACTGTTCATTATCGCGATCTTTTCTCCCCTGTAATTCACTCTCTCGCGGCGAACCGCGAACTCTCGAGCTTGCGATAGTAAGAATAAGCAACTTAACATCGAAGTAATTTAAGCAACGTAATATCAAAGTAGATGTCAATATATATATATATATATATATATATATATATATACATGTACATGTCGATTACATCGTTGACCTTATCGAACACACTGATGCGACTGATGCGACAAATAAACGTCGCCACGGCGGCTATTGCGACGCGAATTAATGACGATGATTTTTTTTAACTGCTGTTTCGCAAAGTGTCAATCCAAAAGTGTCAATTACGATCCGAGGATAGCGAGAGATTTTCCGCCAATTACGCTCGCGATCGAAAAGCCGAAGACCGGGAAAGCCGGGAACGATCAACGACACTTTCGATCACGAGAGCCGCCCTAAATAGCTAATCACGCTCGCGAATCGGAAATCGAGAACGAGATTCGTCGTCATCAATTGACTACTATGGCGCGTGAGTACACGTCGGCAGAGGCGCGTATAACGACGTCGACGACGACGACGACGACGACGACGACGACAACGACAACGACGACGACGACGCCTCAGGGAGAACCGAACTCTCTCGACATGCTTTGTCGCAGGCTCCCTGAGGTTTCGACATCCGCGGCCGGTCGAGCGCTGGTCGGATGTGCTGAACGCGACCACCCTGCCGAACAGCTGTGTGCAAATCCTCGACACCGTGTTCGGCGACTTCGCGGGCGCGACCATGTGGAACCCGAATACACCGTTGAGCGAAGACTGCCTGTACGTGAACGTGGTGGTGCCGCGACCCAGGCCTACGAACGCCGCTGTCATGGTATGGATATTCGGTGGTGAGTTCCTAGTGACGAGAATCATTCCTCCAGCACGCTCGCACGTTCGGTACCGCACGTGCCGCCCGAGTACGACCGAGTCTCAACATGTCTTCCAGGTGGCTTCTACTCCGGATCGGCCACCCTCGATGTATACGATCACAAAACGATCGTGTCGGAGGAGAACATTATTCTGGTCTCCATGCAGTATCGCGTGGCCAGCTTGGGCTTCCTGTACTTCGGCACCTCCGACGTGCCTGGGAACGCCGGCCTCTTCGACCAGATGATGGCCCTGCAGTGGGTGCGCGATAACATCGCCTTCTTCGGTGGCAATCCCGACAACATTACGCTCTTCGGCGAGAGCGCGGGTGCGGTGTCCGTGTCCATGCATCTGTTGTCTCCGCTCTCTAGGTCAGTTTTTTGGTCTTACTGCAGCTTGCCCGCGAGTTCGTTGCATGATAAAGGGTCATCATACGCGATTCACGAGAACGTGCGCTTCCGAGTTTGGAGCTTGCCGATTTTAACTCATCAAGGCTTATAGTAGTTATTAGATTCATTCGAGAACCTTTCCTCTCATACACACAGTGAGCAAGTGTTAACGAAGCAGTTTTCAAGCAGAAATATATGCCGATCGTTGTTTGTGTGTTTGTCTGTGGAAAGAAAAAAACTTAATATTTTACAAACGAAACTTCAATCAAAATATCAGTCTGTTCATTTACCAGAGAGCTCTCGGTTTGGTATTGAAACGATTTTTTATTGAGCACGCAGATACAACTGGTAGAGAGAATCATGTGCCGAAAGTATCAAAATAAAATGACATACCAATCAAGCGATTTTGTCGGATTTGACTCCCGGGATTTGGATTCACGCTTTTTTTTTTTTTTGCGGATTTTTGCTTTCGAACGTTTCGCGCATGTTCGCGCGCATTTACCCGCGATCAAGCAAATTGAAGTACTCACGAAACGTTCAGAAACAAATCCACGAAAAAAACAAGACTCCGATCCGCAAGCCAATTCTATCATTTCTCCTCATCGTGAAAGCCTCGGCTATGAAAAATCGAAGTGATTTTATTTAGTAAAGATGAAGCGTCCCGTAAACGTAAAAAGATATCAGCCGCTAATGAGTTAACGTCGGCTACGAGCCCCTTTCTCGTTCTCGATGAAAGTGCGAGCTGAAGCGAGGGAGCCACCACTTGCTCGATTTCAGGCACCTCTTCAACCAGGCGATAATGCAGTCCGGCTCGCCGACCGCGCCGTGGGCGATAATCTCGCGCGAGGAATCGATAGTACGCGGCATCCGGCTGGCAGAGGCGGTCGGCTGTCCGCACGATCGCAGTAATCTGCGGGAGGTCATCGACTGCTTGATGACAAAAGATCCGGTGGAGCTGGTGAAGAACGAATGGGGCACCCTAGGCATCTGCGAGTTCCCGTTCGTGCCGGTAATCGACGGCGCGTTCCTCGACGAAACACCTCAGCGTTCACTGGCCACGTCTTCTTTCAAGAAAACAAGCATCATGATGGGCTCCAACACGGAGGAGGGCTTTTACTTCATCATCTACTATCTCACGGAACTGTTCCGCATCGACGGCACCGAAGACGTGAAAGTGTCGCGCGATCAGTTTATCAGCGCAGTGTCCGAGCTGAATCCCTATGTGAATCAAATCGGCCGGCATGCCATCATCTACGAATACACGGACTGGCTTCATCCGGATGACCCGCATCTCAATCGTGACGCTATCGACAAGATTGTGGGAGATTATCAGTTCACTTGCAACGTCAACGAGTTCGCCGGCCGATACGCTGACACCGGCAACAACGTCTACATGTACTACTTCAAGCACAGGTAACGTGCTTTCGAGCGAGATATCTTTCTCCTTCATCTTTATTTTATTTGCAAATTGCGACAAAGCGTACTACATACCATGCCCCGATTTTAAATAGATCCGCGAACAACCCCTGGCCGCGATGGACCGGAGTCATGCACGCCGATGAGATCAATTACATCTTCGGGGAACCGTTGGACGTGTCCAAGCGCTACACAGACGAAGAAGTGCTCCTCTCCAAGAGGATGATGAGATACTGGGCGAACTTTGCGAAAACAGGGTAAGATGCGCGGTTTAAAAAACGGCCTGACGCGGTCGCGGAGAGGCATGTGTGTCTTCTGATTGATAAATTTAAATAAAATTACAAGCCGGAAATAACCCTGAATAAAAATCCTAGTATCTCACGCGAGACAAGCTAAACAAGTACAAACTAAGTTAATCCGGATCCTCAGAGTCGCCTCTCGCGGACAGAAGGGCGCGAAGTGGTGTGCTAAACGAGTGTTATAAACGAGTGTTTCGATTCGAGTAGGGATCCAAACATGGGCGAAATCGACACGTGGATGCAAGCTCAATGGCCGCAGCATACCTCCGCGAACAAGGAGTACCTGACGTTGGATATCAACAACACGGAGATCGGCAGCGGCCCCAGGGTGAGGCAATGCGCCTTCTGGAAGAAGTATCTGCCGCAGCTGCTTGGCGCCACGTGTGAGTATAACATACCATTGGTCTCTCGCCGATCATTAGTCATCCGGATCGATGATCTCCGTGATAACGTTCTCGCTGGCGTATCCGCGATAGGAGCACCGGCTTGAGGGCGATCGACGGGTCGAGGGGGTCGAGTCGGCCGCATTATACTCACCTCGGCCGTACGGCGTCGCGCCGTGCGGATTGTCTTGTATGACACCTGTTGAACGCCAAGTACGTCTGATTGTTCGCACGGTCGACTAGCTCGAACGATCGGTGAAGTCTCTCCGACATAACTTACGTGCGAAACAATGCGTGCTCGACGCGCGTTCGTCAACCGACGACGCCTCCGCCGCCCGGCCGTGGGAGAGTTCGCCTCGTCTCACCGCCTCGTCTCGATTTGTCTCGTCACGTCTTGTCTCATCTCGTCCAGGCCCCCCCCGTCGGTCGCCTCGAGTAATCGTACCGAGCTGTTATTTTATTACAAAAGCCGCTTTCAGTCGTGCGAATCAGCGGACGCGTGTGAAACTGGAGCGTACTTTTTCTTTTTTTATTCGCTCCACCGCAACTGCGATGGGGGGTGGAAGAGTGATTACGACGACGTTCCGAACGCATTTGGCGGCGGTGTCGCGGAAGCGTGAAGTGTGAAACGCCGATCGGGACGCGCAAAAGGGCCCGGAGGAGTCAGGAGGCCGGGGCACGAGTGTTCTTCCTGTAGAACGGCCTTTCTCCCTCTCTCCCTCTCTCTCTTTCTCTCTCTTTCTCTCTGTCGCGTCGCAAAGGAAGCTATTGTATGAGGCGCAACACTCCGTCGACGCTCGAGTTTACATCATTTATTCAGAACCGCTATCAAGTGCGCTTCGCCAAGTGTCCCACTTAAGGCCGCAGGGCTGCGCGCGGCTGCGTGGCTGCGCGGCTTCGACGATGGGATCTCGTGAGAAAGTCTCGGAGACGACGTGTACAGTCCTCTTGACTGCCGCCGTCTGTTCACCCTCTCTATAATCATTGTCGACTCGCGTGTGATGTTACGTTACTGTCTTCACGCCGGAGACCTAAAGAGTCTCGCGGTCATGGTCGCTCGTCGTCTCGACGAATAATTGCATTTTCGCCAATCTGGGAGTCGGCTGGAACATCGTAAAATTTGACTTTGTGCTTTGGCACGAAACCGATGTGTAATATGAAATTTTAATAATTCGAAGGACAGCGACGGCGAGAAGAGAGAGGAGAGAACGTTAAATCCTGAGAACGGTGATTCGTGCAACAGTGGAAAGGCAAAAGTCGAAGAAAAGTCGTTTGGCTATCTTGAAAGTAAAGTCTTCATCATGATAATGCGATTGCTGTCTATATATGTTATTTGTATCTAAATATAAATAACCGTCGGTCGGTCCATCAAAATTCCATTTTCTCGATCTCGTCTTCAATTCTCTCGGTCACCGCGCTGACGCTCCAAGAGAAATAGCGTTTCGTGTTTGTGGTCAGTAAGCGGTTCGACGGATGTCGAGCAAACCTCAATTAATTACAACACCGATCGCCTGGCAAATCGATGCTAATTCGATATAATAAACAAGGACCGAGCGATTATAGTCGGCGTTTAATAATAATGAGTCTTTCGTACTGTAGCCGCGTCCGAGCCGCGAAAAGCGACGTCGTGGTGACCGACGTCGTCGTCCTCACGTCGCTCGGCTTTGTATTATTCATTTTGATTACACGCTGAAGCAGGCCACATGGTTTCGCCTTTCCATCGTGACGTATGTGTTGATAATCTCTGAATTCTTAATCAGCCAATTTTCTAAACCTACATCCTCCTCTCGTCTTCTGCCCTGCCACCTACTCTTCCGCCTTGTCTTCACGAGCGTTTGACGGACCCAAAGTCCCGACGACAATTTTGCTCGTACATAGCATCGGCATGTATCAGAAATTCTTATCATCCTCGCGGGCTCGCGACTCGCGTTAATGGATTACTTCGCCGGCAGTCCGGAGTACGTAGTTCCGCGCTCGCGATAAAAGTCTGAAATTTGTAGTCGCTCGAGTAACAACGTCGCTTTATATGATAATTACAACGGTAAGCTCTGCCGCGGCTTAACCGCGCACGCACGAGCCGAGATTAAACGGCGTGGCGTGCGAGCGTGTCATCGTGGTCACGAAAGTGAGTGAATGCCGCCGCCGCGCCGGCGTTTACCACGATCGTGTCGCATACGATCGAAAGAGTCGACCGGCCAAGGGAGAGAGAGAGAGAGAGAGAGAGAGAGAGAGAGAAAGAAAGAGAGAGAGAGAGAGAGAGAGAGAGAGAGAGAGAGAGGGTCGGTAATGAAGAAGATTATACCGCGAGACTATTTCCCCGTCCCTCCCTCTCTTTTCTTCCGTCGCACGCCACGTGGGTCATACGAAAACATCATCCTCGTTAGGGACTCTATCAGTCCATGACACGCATGACAGGAGGAGTGACGTCGAGAGGTCGAGACGAAAAAGGGCCGCGGTAACGAACTCCCGTAAATTGCTTGAACAACTTTGAAGCGAGTCAAGGGGAAGAGGGGGGAGGAGGGGTCGGACGACCGAGTCGGTCGTCGGAAAGAAAACACTACCGCGAGAAATGTCAGGGAACGTCGTGGCGTTTGAAATCCATCTGACGTAGAGGGGCGGAAGGGTGTTATTTTTCGGCAAAAACGCTCCTCGACTCACTCTCGCCCTCTTCTTCAACTTTCGACTCATTTTCCTGGTAAACATGTGCCGGTGAACATTTCGCCGGAACACTTCCCTCACTCGTGCAGATTGCTTGAGTCTGCTCGAGCCGATGATCTCGCGACCATGAACAGACGAGAAGGGCATTTGCTTCTGTGTGACCAAATAGAGTACCGTCCCTCTCAAATCAGTAGCAATCGGCTAGAGATAGACATGATATACGATATCGGGGGAGGAATGTTGAAGAGGGATAGCTGCTTCTCGATCGCACACATTTGCCTCGACGCGCAACAAAACGAACGGACGGGTGGACGGACGGACAGACGAAGCGAAGCGAAATAAACGAGGGTAGTATACTAGATCAGCACTAGCCGTATTGGGACGTCGGGGGTGGATAGCGACCGCCAGCCAGCCAGCCAGGCAAGCAGGTAGATAGGCAGGCAGGGCGGATCGATGCTGTGAGAATTTTTGCGTCGAAAGCACGTTGAATCCGCGAGCTTGCACGTGGTTACGCGCCATTGAGGGAACCCTCCAAGCCTTGAATAGGTAGAAGCAAGTTCGACGCCTCGTCAACATGCGTTTTAACGCTTTAATGGTTCTCGTCGACGATGAACTTGAGAAGAAGAGACGAAGCTGGCGATTTTCAAATGATCTCACCTCGAAATTATAGCCTGAAGCTTCCCGTTGTGTACTCAGGTCGACATAAAAACTTTAACACACAAAGTTACAGTCTTCGGGAGCGGCCGTAAAAGCGGCTTAGACCGGCGTTTTAACAATCATCTTAATATGTAGCCTAATCAAGATACTAACTTATTTATTTTTCATATTTTTTCTACACTTTGTTTATTTTTCGTTAATAACTTTTTTGGGCCATCAACATGAAGCCGTTAACGATGACAAATTTCCAACTGTTAAACATCATTATTGCTTCTTTGAACGTTTTGAATAAGCATTGAATCAATAATGCATGTATGATTGGGAAAAATTCTGTTGTAAAAATGTAAAAATCCGAATGACTAAGTTCGGTCGCGTGTTGCGCCGATCTGTATATTCGAGATAATTGGCATTCTTTAATACGCCTTCTTTCACCCTGTTCTTTGGCATATTCGAGAGACCAGCTTGAAAGTATCATCTCGAGGACGATTCTCGCGTGGTGTCCCCGTGTGGACAGGAGATAAGTGATCGAATACAGCGTTTGACTGCGCAGCTTTTCGTGCGATTTGCCATGCTCCCCTGCGCTCTCGGAAATGTCATGTTTAGACTGTGACATTTAACTCGGCACGATAACTCGAGCTTGCCGAATTCTTATTGGCGGTACGGCCGTGTAAGAAATCATCTCTCCGATCACAGTCGCTTTTCGTTGCAATGTGAGCCTAATTTTGGCCTTCACGCGCATCGAACAAAGATCACCGGAGATATTTTCTCGCGAAAGTGAAATTAATTTGCGCTTCAAAGACCGAATAGTTCGTATGCACGTGTAGCTCTAACATAGTTCGCATGTTCGACACGCGAAACTCATCCGTACCAAGAGATACTACTATTCTGCCGGGTATTCGCGATTCTGTTACAGCGAAACTGGATGTCACGTCCAAGGATACGTGCAGCGGCACCAGCCACATCGACTCCAGTGTGACCTGGATACTCCAGATCCTGAGCCTGTTATTGACCGGCCTCACTTTCCTCTTACCCGACGACATCGTCTAGTTCCCGGCCGGTTCGGTCGGCCGAGCCGTCCTAGCTCCGTCGAGCGGCCCGTTTCCCTGAAGAAGAGAATGGACGTGCGAACGCGAGCGCGAGCGAGCGTGAACGGACACCGAGTGAGCGAGAGAGAGCGAGAGAGAATGAGCGAAAGGGTGAGAGCGAAAGGGAGAGAGTGAAAGAGAGGGAGAGAAAGAGAGAGAGAGAGAGAGAGAGAGAGAGAGAGAGAGAGAGCACGACGTGAGAGCGAGAGAATAAGATCGGGAATGACGGCAACCGCGAGAGAAACAGACATATCAGTAGTAGACGAGTGCTCGATCGCCGGGGGATCGACGATGACGAAACAAAAAGAAATGAATAAAAAAGGGATAAAAAAACGAATAAAAAAAAAAAGAAAAGACGCGCCCGCCAACGAGAGAGAATGATCTTGTGTCGGCAAAATTCCCGGGGGCTCCGGGGTCCGGTGAAAGATACACGAGCTCGACTTGCCGTGCGTAGTCGAGGAACATGAGGATCGAGAGGCCGGAAGAAAGCGAGCGATGGATCGGTAACGAACGGATGGGCGAGGAACAACGATCCAACAACGACGGCGACTACCGAGAGGAGGTAAGATAAGAATAATGCGAGATTCTCCTAGCCGTCCTAGCCGGATGAGAGAGAAGAGGAAATAGAGAAAGAGAGAGAGAGAGAGAGAGAGAGAGAGAGAGAGAAGAGAGAGAGAGAGAGAGAGAGAGGGTCGAACAGGAGAGGATAGTTTGCAAAACTATTGGCGAAACCATATGCATCCGCGGTTAATTACCAGCAATTATCAGTTCCTACGGTTTGCGCTGCAAGGACGATCGCTCGCGACGAAGCGGTCGGAAACTTGAAGCTGACGAGGACTCGGAAGTGTGGGAACTTGAGAAAGCGCGTAGATTCGACGCGGTTAACGAGGGCTGGAAGGTGCGGAGGTTGGGAGAGAAGGCGACAAGTGCGCAAGAATTCTGGATTGCGAGATGCAGGGGGAATTCGAGATTCGGGATACTCTGCGAGGGGACGGTGGCGAGATGGACTCGCGCGATGAATGGATTCATTGCATTCGCCGTTTGCGTCATAAAACTATCCGCTCGCAGCGGGTTCGTCGGTTCAACGTTCCGTCGCCGCGGGATGTGCATATCTCGGCTGTGAGCGACACAGCGATCCCTCACTGTGGGGCTGCTATGTGGGTCACCAAATGTCGCGAGGACGAGCGTTTTATGAACACGAGTCGCCGTGTCGTGTCGCGTCGTGTTGTGCTTGCCGAGACGTTATCCCAGGAGACTAGGCACTGATATATATCGGGAAGGGGCGACTGTATTGAGCCGCAGCGGGGCATCCGGTAAGATCGTAATTCCCCTGGAAAGCTTCGCCCGTGCGCAGCCTCGCCGTCGTAATATCGCAGCCCACCTGGATCACGCCACATCGTCGTTGCGCAGCAACCCGCGGAAATTCAGCGACGTCGGAAACCTTGCCAAAAATCCGAGTGAGAGACTGAATGCCCTCCCTCCGCCCTCCGCGCTAGAAGTGGACGCAATTCCCGGTGGGAAGCGCGCGCGCGCGCGTGTGTGTATATCTGTGTGTGTGTGTCTGTGTATGTGTCTGTGTATGTGTGTATGTGTACATATGTGCCCGGGCCATGGTTGAATTATAAAAGTATATAACACGATATAATCGCGCATTATGTTACAGGCTGATAAAATCGGATTATCTGACAGATTCGACAAATCCTTCATCTCGTTTTCTATTCTGTTCGATTGCCGCGACGCAAACACGCGCGAGTCGCTCATTCGTGCGCAATGTGGATTCGTTCTTCGATCTAAATTTCCGATTGCGAGTGATATGTAAAACATGATTCTACGTGTCTGTCTCTCTCTTCCCCCCCTCTCTCTCTCTCTCTCTCTCTCTCTCTCTCTCTCTCTTTCTCCGTCTCTCTTCCGTTCTCTCTCATTCTCCTCGATTTAAAGACTCTTTGTTTTGTCTCGAGTGCTTCCGCGGGATACATCGATAAGCAAAGCTGCAATTCTTATCTTTCCGCAGGATACTCCCCGCGAAACCAAAACGCGCATCCCCCGCGCCTTTGTTCAAGCCTTCGAGCGGGATCGAGCATCCTTTTCTCCCCCGCGCCTTTTTTTTTCTCGAGAAGGAGAGGACACGCACACACGTGTTCGGGCTCTTCGTCGACGACGGCGTGTGCCGCATTCGTACCTAACAGCCGACGAAGATGAGCGCAATGTCGTACGAAATTGCCGTCGGCCCCCCGAGCGATAGACGTGTAGACAGGCGGAAACTACCCCTCGCGTCTGTGCGCATTCGTGACCGACCGTATCTTTCCACCTGCAGCTGCATCGCTGTTGTTGTCGTCGTCGTCGCCGCCGCCGTGATTCGTTGTGCGCGGGCCGTATGTACGTTCATGTGCACCCAACTCGGCGGCGAGGTGGTAATGGGGTCCGCAATTCGATCTATACGGCCCGATACGCGCGCGCGTTCATTCGCGTACACGAATGCCCGAATTGCACAGTCGATCGCGCACATAAAAATTTCGCCTATCTCTCTCTGGCCTGGCGGCGGCGGCGGCGGCGGCGGTGGTGCGCGATATCCAGCTCCGTGTGTACGTTTGACCTCTTCCGAGAGCGCGCTCCTCTCCGAGAGGAGAGAGTAAGAGAGAGAGAGAGAGAGAGAGAGAGAGAGAGAGAGAGAGGGAGAGAGAGAGAGAGAGAGAGGGAGAGAGAGAGAGAGAGAGAAGGGGGAGAAGCTGTGCTACGAGCGAGTTAAACCCGCTCGATCCGAAAGAATTAAATGACGCTTCGCGGCTCGCTTCTCCTGCCTCTTTATACGCGACGAACGCGACGACTGGGCTCGCCGGGGCGGTGTTTGTATATTTTAGAAATGTAAAACTCGATTTCACGAGGGGAAGAAAAAAGGGGAGGACGTGGAGGAAAGTGGAAAAGGGGGAAAATAAAAAAAGAGTCGATCGAAGGCAACAACGCGACAGCGGCAGCAACAATGTGCGACTCGACTCGGCGCGGCGCGGCGTAGCGCGACATACTTTTTTTGTCGTCGCTTTTCTTTCTGCGATCCTCTTCTCCCGGAAGGAAAAGCGACTTTGGGCCGAATAATAGCGTCTCAGTTGGAATATTTCCAGGAGCGCTGCTCGCGCTCTATTGATTTTTATTTCGCTTTTGCCGCTGGCGTGCTAGCCTCACCTGTGGTACCTTCTTCCGCTGTCCACCTGGTATATAAATATCAATCAACGGGGTAACGTTTCACGTCGTTGTTGCAAATCCCAATTTGACAATGTAACGTGCAATGTAACACAGCAGTTGTGCACAGCTGTTGCATTGCCGCGTGGGAGGTTTTAACATTGACATAATGTTACCGCTAATTGGTGTCACTGTGTTAATTCGCGTTTATTCCTAGGCGTTTATTCCTAGGCGCGTCATCATTCGACCGGAAGAGTCATCGGCTTGCGCGCCGGCCTTTTCTTCAACCGCGACGGCGAAAACGACGGCGCAGCTTTATTGCGTTTCTCACTCCTCATTCGGCTCTTTCCTCTGCAGCTCGGTACGAGTGGGCGCGAGTTGATGCATCGCGTGCGCCCATCGCCCAGATTAGACAACCTTTCGGAACCCTTCTCCCTTTCCTCTTTGAGCCTTCTAGATGGAGGCCACGATGGAGGAGTTGTAGAAATGGTCGAGTCGAATCCTCGTTCCCGCGTCGCCCGTCGAGCGCGAAATTACAACATTATTAGCCGGTGGGAGATTCGCTCATGCTGCGAGTTTCATCCTGTCAGAGACGAGAATGAGAGTGTGAGAGAGAGAGAGAGAGAGAGAGAGAGAGAGAGAGAGAAGAAGAGAGAAAAAAAAAAAAAAGAGAGAGAGAGAGAGAGAGAGAGAGAGATAGGGAGCGAAGGAAAAAGAAAAGCCCAGTTAATGTAACGTGTGTGTCACCCACGCACCCGCTGCAGGGTGAAAGACCGCAAACCTCGTGAGAGTTCACGCCGCGTGGAATATTTGTTTCATGTGCGCTCGTGTGCTCTCTTAGCGGGAATAATCGCGACGAGTCGCGGGAAACGGTGAAGCCCGGCCTTCCTCGCGGATAACAAGCGCAGAAACGAATTCGAAGGCAGACATATTCGCGGGCAGGCGGGCGCGCGAGTCCACTGAGGTGAGCATCGGATTTGCATTTTTACCATTCCGATTAGATAATAGCAGGTACTTGCTACGATATGTATCGTACATACATACACACATGTACACCGCGCTTGATTTGATAATGAGTGCACTCTGGTGATGATAGTGATCAGTATGATGATGGTAATAGCGAAGATGACGAGGATGACGATCCCTTTTGCGACCATCTGCCTCATGAGTTCCGTCAAGTTCCGTCGAGTTTCAATCGCCAAACACGGCTAATTGAACGTTACGCTGCTGTATTTAGCCGAGAAAGAGAGAGAAAGAGAAAGAGATAGATAGATAGAGATAGAGAGAGAGAGAGAGAGAGAGAGAGAGAGAGAGAGAGAGAGAGAGAGAGAGAGAGACGCTCTGCTATTTTTAGCTAATAAACAGAAGTCAAAAAAAGTACAGCTTTATATTTAGCCGAGTTCACATAGTGATCGTTTTTCTTGAGATTCGAGAATCGTCCTTGGGTCGTTGGCGCCGCTCCAGCACGCCTACACAAGTCTCCGGAGGCAGCATCATCCCTCGGTTTAAAGACGAAGCGGATTCACGAGCGATCGAAGGAATCGGATTCCATCTCACCCCGGAGCCCCTTAGCCCACATCTAGCTGATTTAGCTGTACAAGCACCGTTACAAAGTAGATAGAGATGTATAAAAAGAGAGAGAGAGAGAGAGAGAGAGGGAGAAAGTGAGAGTGAGAGAAAGAAAGAGCGCGAGAGAAAGAAAGAGAGCGAACGAGAGAACGAGCGAGCGAGCGAGCGAGAGCGAAAGTTAGCTTTGCAGTAAGTGAAAAAAGTTTATCATATAAGACAAAACGGCAAAAGTTATAGGTACGATTTATCAGAAGTCTGTACAAAGGACTCTAAACGATAATCCCGCGCGATGAGCACCGCGACGCGCGTCGTCAACGACAAAGTCGCACGACACGGAGAAAATCGAGATCGATCAAAAGTAATATAGCAACAAAGGGAGAATGAGAGAAAGAGGAGGAGAGAGTGTATGTATGCGTATGTACGTATGTGGGCGTGTGTGTGTGTGTGTGTGTGTGTGTGTGTGTGAAAAAGTGAGAGAGAAAGAAAAAGGATAAAAGGAGGCTCTCGGTCCATTAAAAGCCGCGAGTAGTGCGATTAATTATAAGATATATATGTAGAAAAAATGCAGAGAGGTGGAAAAAAGAAAAGAGAGAGAGAGAGAGAGAGAGAGAGAGAGAGAGACGAGTCGATGATATCGACGAGAGAAATATTGTGAAAATATTATCTCGGTTCTTTTAAAGTGGCTCTCCATTCTCATCAGCTGTTTGAGGAAAACAAATCAATTACAAAACTACCAACTGTGCAAAATCAGTAGTTCGGAGTTACGACATCTTCTTCTCGAAAATGTCCTCCTTCGCTTTCTGAAAGAAATGAAAATGTCGCAGCCGAGAATATTCGAAAATTCATTCACGATACGTTTCTCGTCAATGCTATCGAAGCGAATGCGCGTCGTTAACCCTAGAACGCACAGGAGCAGTACTCGGGATCTCGCCATATATCCACTTTCCATCACGACACTCCCGATACCTTCGTGATCCAATCTTTTCCTTCCTCCTGTGCGGAGGGTAATCTCCTTAGGAAAGCCTCCAACTCCTACACCGCGCCTCCTTCCCGAGGATCGCTCGATTTAAGTTTACGACGATCATATTTTTTTTTTTTCCACCACCACTCTCGAGCCCTCACCGAGTTTCTTCGTCGGCGGGCCGTCGACGTTCTAGGGTTAATCGCGCGAAACTACGTGTACAGTGATTTTCCGTATACAGTAAAAAGGGGTGAGAGAGAGAGGAGGTACGCCGGTCCTCCGCGAAATATCGATAACTCGGTCGTCGACCCGAGCCTACATCCAGCACACTGGCGTCATTTTTACTCTTTTTTGTCCTACGAAGGTGCGCGACGGCGCGGCGACTATACGTGTTAAGAGAGATGAGAGAGAGAGAGAGAGAGAGAGAGGAGACGCTCTAATCACGCTAAAAATAATAATGATAATGATAATAAGATTAAGAATAATAATAGTAATAGCGATAAGAGTCGAAGGGAAGCAAATAGCATCGACGATACAATAACAACGGCGAAGGGTGATAACGGGACAAGGCAGACGATGATAATGATAATAATAACAATAATCATAATGATAATGGTAAAGAGAGGTAACGATAATACTAATAAAAATAAAGATAACGCTAATTATAACGACAATGAATAAAATAGTAGCGTTAACGGTACTAGAGCGAATAATAGCGACGAAAATTGCAAGATAAAAATAACAATATCGGTTTCGATAGGTCGAAGGAAGGGGAACGTTGACGAGAGACGAGCGAGTGATGAGCGAGTTTCGGCTGAGAGAAAAGCAGAGAAAAAGGAAACGGGAACATACACAGGGAGAAACTCGTGATCAGTCTTCCTTCGGTCTTCGTACCTTCAAAATTCTTATTCGACATCTCCACCTCCCCCGAGAAAGATATATTATATATCGATATACGATGCGCGGATCACGTCGATGTATATATGATGCGCGCGTTTCTGCGTTATCTACGTAAACGATATGGTCGAGCGATTTTTTCCCTGTTCTTCGTCACGGTAAACAACATGGGCGATCCATTGGCGCAACATAAAGGAATAGAGAAAAAAGCCTCACACACAAAGAGACGGAAGCGCGACGCGACTTTGGCGCGAGGTCTCGAAATAGCGATTATCTCGGAGAGCAGTGTTAGAGTGTTATAGCGATCGAACGATCCGTTTAGATAAACGCGGAGTCTATCAACTATGTCGTGTGTAAGCCTTCCTCTCGCAAAATTACCGCTACTTCTCACCGTAAATTACCGCTACTTCTCACCGTAAATTACCGTAAATCTCCCTTTATAGCCGTGCGTAAACGATCTTGCGTAGCGACAGAGATGAAATAGAAAAAAAGAAGCAGAAAAAGAAGAAGAACAAACCGAAACGAAACGAGATACAGAGAGAAATTCGAAAAATATAAAAAGAGAAAAGAAACGGAAGGCGAAACGCGGACAATCCACACTTGTTTCTACGCAGACGAATGCATTAGGTATATTAAAAAAAAAGAAAAAAAGGAGAAAAATGTGCGCGGATCACATAGAGAGACTACGATTTGTCCGAATTTGTGCTCGCCCTGATGCTCTCTATCGAGAAACGTTTCGTCGATAGAGACAGGTCGTCGTGCTGTCGCACGATCGGAGGACCAGGACGCCGCCGGAAGGCAAACACGTGGCTCGCGCGAATACGAAAAGAGAAAAGAAAAATATAACGTGCGGGCTGAAATCCGCTAAGGTCGCCCTTCTCTCTCTCATTTTTCCACCTCACGAGTTTATTCCACGAGAGGACGATTCGACTTACGAGCGAGAAACGTCGCAGAAAAAGAGAAAGAAGAAAAAGAAGAAGTCGAAGAAGTAGAGAAGAGGGGGGAAAGAGAAGTCTCACTTTTGTCGTCGATGGGATCCACAGCGCGTCGCTGAAGAAAAGTAGCCCGCAGGCCTAAATACGCTCTAATTAATTCAAAAGAAAAGATAAAAAGGGAAGAAGAGCAGAAGAAGAAACGATACTACGCTGATGAATTAATGAATCAATGAGTTGTTCCAGCTAACCCGGGGGTGGCCGGTCGCGCCTTCGACGCGCGGACTCGCGCCCTCGAAGGGCGATCGGCGACGCACGCTGCAACCACCGCGTGTAACCGCACGCTCATTCGATCACACGCGTATCTTCCTTTGCTGATTCGCGATTGGAGACCGATTTTATATATGATTAATTATTACATATATAATTATTATATATATATATATATAATAATTATGTATATAATTATTGTTATCCGTATTATATGCGTTGTGCACATTCAGCATCCGTCGCAATAACGTCGAACGAACGACGATCTGGACAGACACGATCGGTTTAACTAGAATAAAAGCTTACGGCTTCGCGGAGGTGTTATTCATCGTCCGCTCCGCGTTATCATCGTGAACATATAGCGAGGGTGAAATTCCATTGGTTACAAATTAATCGCGTGGCGCGGTCGAAATATGAACAATAATGTAGCTTTTCTCTCTTTCTCTCTCTCTCTCTCTCTTTCTGGACAGTGGCAGAGAGAAGGAGAGAGAGAGAAAGGAAGAGGAGAAAGAGATAGAGAGAGAGAGAGAGAGGAGGCAAGAGTGTACGATTTTTATTCGCATCGTAATGAGACGATGCGCGCGCCGTTGCACGCGCTGGTCGATGTGAACACAGAAGAGAGTTTCCGGTCAGCGAGTCGCGAACTCTCGACCGATTACCTAATTTAATGATAATTACTTATACATATATAAATATATTTAAATAAATGAATAAAAATAAAGATACGTATATATATATATATATATGTGCACAGAGTGTACGTTTTGCGGTTGGCCACTGTAAAATAGAGACGCTCCGTATATGTATATCTTGTATACTTCTATATACGATTTGGAATAAGAAGGACCGACGGCATTCCTGCGACTCGGACAACCGGCGGCGAGGAGGACGGCGAAGGGCCCGCGAGAAAGAGAAGTTATATATACAGATATTTATCGGAGTTTATCCACCGAGTCGCGGAGCGACGTTGGTCGTTCCCGTGTTTCACGAAGTATATATGTATGTATATTAAACATCTATGATGATTATTAATCAGTAGATACGTACGTATATTATACGATCGACAAAATCTATCGCTTGTATATATTGAAGAATATCGTAATAAAATGATGTACGAACGAACGCAATGCGAGTTCATCCTCACCGACTTCTCTCTTTTTTATACATATTCTCTCTCTCTCTCTCTCTTTTATTGTTTAATTATTTATTCTACCTTTTGTTGATAACGACGGGAGAAACAAAGTTAACAACAGCGTCACGTATGTCGAACAATAATATAAAACTTTATTAACATCAAAATACACATGCACAACTACGCACAAATCAGGAGCCTCGCAGGCAGAGGCGAGGGCAACGGCGTTAAAAACGTAATTGTGGAAATGTCTTTCGAGGACACGACTCGTTTAATTAACGCACATATCATTAGTGACTAAGCTACCGTTCAGGAATGTGTGACGCGATAGACGGAAAGGTAAAGTACTCTTTGTCGATTGGTCGATCGCGCAAAACTGGCCGATTGATCTCGCGGATATCAACAAGGTCGATGCATCGGTAGGCGAGATTAAATATTTTTTAGTTGCAGCGGCGATCGACGCTCGTCTCCCATTCTTCTCCTTTTATTTCTCCTTTGTCATCGAAAGCCAAAGAAATGTAGAGAACTATATCAGATCAGCTTGCGGAACACAAAAGCGGAATTCCCGACCGAGAAAAATTGGCAAACGAATTTCGCGTGCGCGCTTGTTTGTCTCGCATGCGGACTATGCGCTATGCGCTAAGGTAGACTAGCATTCAAAATGGCCGGGCACTCGCACGGGAAATGCTAACGACGAAATGCGGAAAGAAGGAAGCGAGAGGCGACTCGCTTCACTTCGACTCTTACTCGACTCTCAAATGTGTCGCACGAGTGCGCGGTAAGGAATGAAAGACGTTCGGCGAAACTAAGCGACGTTCTCTTTCACCTGAACGCGCTGTCACGGTTGACGGTAATTTCAACACGAACGAAGATTATGTCTTGAAGACGCCAGCTTTAGCGGCCTTCACGATAAAGATCTTCAGAATCTTCTCGTCCAGTTTGGCAAAATTCTCCGTTTGTATTACAGCCGTCATGTGATTCAAGGCGAACTTGAAGCAAAACTCTTCCAGCTCCTAGAAATTAACACAAGCGCAAATCATCTCGATACGATACATGCTCGTATGAATTTATTCATTCGTGGACAGTTCGATTCTATTCGACGCGTCGCCAGTTGCAAGCCGAGTAAAAAGAGAGTGTGTGTGTGTGTGTGTGTGTGTGTGTGTGTGTGTGTGTGTGTGTGTGTGTGTGTGTGTGTGTGTGTGTGTGTGTGTGTGTGTGTGTGTGTGTGTGTGTGTGTCTACATGAGATATATAACATGAAATATATATATATATAAATTATATATACATGTTTACCTGCGCATTATATTCAAGTGCGGTGCTGTAGAGGGAGGCCACGTTCAGTACTGTAATCCCTTGCTTTATCATCTGAATGCAACGTCGCTTGAGCTGGTTCTCAAAATACACATTAGCCAAATCCAGAAGTTCTATAACAACGAAGTTACATTAGCGGTTGCTTTGATCGCGCGCATGAGCGATATCGCGATGGCCATGATATTAACTTAAGCTCACCTAATGCATTCTCCGGCGGTAGGTCGACCTCGCCGGTGTACAGGTAGTTTAGGAAAGCCTTATACACAATGTATGAAAACTGATCGTGCTCGATTACGCTGCGTGAAGAAATGGAATAGAGAAGATGAAATAATCGAGTCTGAGAATAATGCGCGAGCACGTTTTTCCGACTGAATGCCTACCTCTGATTGTTTTCCGCCCAAGGCTCCTGCAACATGGCCCTGAAATATTGACAGCGAATCTTCAAGACAGCTTTGTGAACGTAAATAGGTTTCCCTTCCACTTGTATCGTGAGATCACTGGTCAACTGTATCAGAATGCATATGTATATAGGATGTTTTGCGAAATTGTCCTACTGTTAAATATTTTAATAGTTTATACTAAGCGAATCAGTGAGAATCAAAGATTCTGATACGAGAATATTGTCGAGATTCTATTCTTGTGACTTATCTTCGACGTTAACAGAATCTTCGAGTCTATTTATAATTCGAAGAAACACTATTAAAATATTTTAAGGTATGGGGATATTCTATACATATAATCAATATAAATATATCATTGACGAAGAAATATATACATCGTGGAAACTATTAACTCTGTTCGCTTCAGCTGCACTTCCTCATTTCTCGTTTTCCTCTCTCTCAACCTCTGTCTGTCTCGGTGATCTCTTTACATGCGAAAAGCGTGAAGAGCTGAACAGCTGAAACAAACGCAGATACAAAACCGAGCAACATACGGAATCGTCGAAGGCCTGTCTCAGGCAATCCAATATGTTCAGCTCCTCATCGGCGCGCAAGATCAACGGCTTATGCATGACATTCGACGAGGCGTAACAAGCCAAAACTTCGTGCAGATGCGCCAAGGGGGTGGCAGTCGGGCTCGTGATGCTCTGACCGCGGCATTGACCCCACATGAAGACACGTCCGCCGTTACCAACGGCTGCGCTGATGTGATTGTAGTGCAGAGCCGCGATGTCAGATACTCTTCCCATCTCAGGCACATTTAGCTGTTGATCATCATCGCAATTTATTTCACGCTTCATGATAACGATAATTATACAACGATTACTGAGAAAGAGGGAAAACATGCTTTACCATGACTGGATTGCAGGCATTCGTCTTGTTATTGGTGCCCAGTTGACCGTAACTGTTGCCACCCCAGACATAGAGCATCCCTTCGTCGGTGAGCGCCAACGTATGGGTGTGCCCGCAGACTACCTTCACTGCAATGTGAAAACTAGCAGATCGCAGCTCGGCTTTATAGAGTGAGTATATTTGTGATGTACATGAATGTATATGATAGCCGTGGAGTCATCGTATATGGGCTTAATGAGCGGCGGGGTCGGTAGAAAATAAATATGTTGCGGCCGTTGCGGCTCCCGAGCTCCTATGAGAGTTACACACGAGTTATCCGTTGTAAAAGCGATAGGACTGGTTCTTCGGGACCGTGCGCCGACACTGGACATCGGAACCGCAACTCGATTTGAAAACTTGGAAACTCGCCAATGCCACGAGATTAATTATCACCTGATCCATGCAGCACGAAGCGAGTAATCACGAAGTGAACGCAAACGACATGCTCTGAGGGAGTGTCTGCTGATCGCAAGATTCGGATTAAACCGTTTGGAGGTTCCAGTGATACTAATATCATGATTACGCTATTAGGAATTGTTTAAATTAATTGAAACAAACAAGAACAAACAAACGTTTTAATTAATTACAACGAAGCTGTTTTTATAATAGTGGGATATGTTAAATTATTCAATTTCCAGTGAGAATATTCATTATATATTCATTACATATTTATTTTAAAAAAAGACAATAAGATTGGTTGAATTAATATGTCAACTAAATATGTTTTAGTTGAGGAAAACATAATTTTTAGCCCTTATAAACCAAAATATATATTTATTCTGATTCTAAAGAAGCAAAAATTCTGTTTCCCTCAACTGAAATGCATTTAGTTACATCATATATCATATTAATCCAACTAATTCTTTTTCTGTATATAGACAACTCAGTGTGGAGAAATCTCCATAAAACATTAATCGAATTAGAGTGATTCAATTATCATTATGATTTTCGAATGAAATTTTATTCCAAAAAATTTAGAAAATATAAAAGAAAGATCTGGTATTTTTTTAATGATGGGAAGCCCATGTACTATGACTTTTGGAAACTAAAGCTTCGAGTGAGATTACCTATTCGGACACCCATCAGCCCCGGGACTTTGACTGGATTCACCTGGTTCACATAATTGCCAATCCCCAGTTGACCGACACCGTTGTAACCCCAGCCATAAACCTCGCCGGTTTCGGTGACCGCCATACTGGACGCCTGGCCACATGTGATGCAGATTACCTTCTTTCCAGCCAAATTCGAATTTACTAGCCTGGGTGCGCCTTGATTTGTGCTGATACCACTACCTACTTGCCCGCAATTATTTTGGCCCCAAGCGTATACCTAGTTAAACGGCCGTCGAGAACTCGTAGCGATGATTTAATTAACTATCAACTGTCAGCAACGAGCACTTACCTCGCCATCGTCGGTGAGAGCGAGAGAATGATGATTGCCGCACGCTATGTCTACAATGTGTTTCCCATTCAGATTTATGTTCACCATAGTAGGTATAAGACCTTGGTTGGTTGAACCATTTCCTAATTCGCAATAGCCATTGTGACCCCATGAAAACACCTGTAGAAACAATGTTATTAATAATCTTATCATTTCTCATATTTTATGAAAATGTTACAATGGAACTTTGTTGAATTGTGATTTGATGACATCAGTATTTATGTTGGTAAATATACGAAAAAAAAACATTAAAATATAAGAGAACCGAATGTCTCTCTGTACAATGTTTTAATTACATAAATATAATCGCATCAGATGAATAGATTAAGTGCTTTGATCCTGGAAAATTGCCAATGGATATATCCTTAATTAAAAAATTTACTAAAATAACTTCAATAAAAAATCTGACATATATAGATGATTCTATAAAATTACCATTGTAGTCATAATAAGATTAATTTATCATTATTACCATAAGTTATCAGCATACCTCACCCTTGTCTGTCAATGCTAAAACATGAGGTCCACTGCCATAAGCAAAAGTCTTTATGCCTTTATCGCACAGGGCTTCAATTTTCTTAGGATATAGTGTACTATGCATGTCACCAGTACCCAAACAGCCGGAAGTATTACTACCCAGAGCGTATACAGTCTTGTCTTTCGTCACAATTAAAGCTTCGTTACCCATTGTACCTAATTGTTTTAACATTTAACATTGTAATCAAGGCTTAATGTTTTGAATAATGACATCATTAAATTATATACACATACATGGTATATCATTTAAAATATATCTTATAGATGTATAAAATAGAAAAAGAAAGTAGAGTACCATATACCACAGCCATATGAATCTCCGAGACAAATTCAGGCTGCAATAGCCTAAAAATTGGCCAATTTCTTAGATCCGAGGAACACATCTCCTTTTCCAACTCTGTTGTTCCTCAACTCTTTTTTGACAATCGGTGTTGTAGGTTTTTTTGACAATCGATGTTGTAGGCGTCTAAAATTGAGGTTACTTACTTTCCTATAACACCTGACTGCAAACTGACACTATCCAGCGTTATATTTCATTCTGAAAGTGATTTTATGCGATTAACAAAATATATATAAAGCATTTTGAAACTCCGATAATTTGCTTGGGATTTCCAGGACATACCTTTTTTATTATGAAAAAAAGCAAATGTCAAGCTCACGCATCTCTTTCTACCTTCGCGCACTCTCGCGAGCAGCGTTTTACTTGAAAACAAACATTAGCCTGCCTGTTATTAAGTTATAACAATATTTGAAAATAAATATTATACCAACTGAAAAAAGTTTTCTACGTTTTTATTTATAGTATTCATTAGGAATAAGAAGTCCTCTGACCAACTGATATAAACTCTACTATTTAAAAATAAAAGATTGTCAACAAAATTTAAGAAGTTATAATTTCAGCAAAAATAATGTTGATGGGATAGTTCGAAAAGTATTTTACAGCTTGAAAAAAGAGTCTTCAGTTTATAAAAATATTTTTAAATATAAAGCTAACATATTTCTTATGATGTGTTATATAAATATTAAAAGATCCAACGAATATTAAATTTTTTATAAAGTTCCTTGTCTAAGTAAGTTGCATTGTCTAAACAGAATATTGCATACAAGTGAAAAATATTTGTAGTCGAGATCCACAAATAGTTCGTTAGCTGAGACTCAAACCACATTAGCCGAGAACCACGTGGTTAGATTGGAATAGCGGGTCTAAAATGATTTGACCCGTTATTTAGGGACAAGCATGGGAGTCCATGAATTAATTGATTCTTTAGCCGAGACTCAAACCATATTTAGTTGAAATTTGAACCACATTAAATACTAGGTCTAAATGACCCGTTATTTTGTATAAACAATAAAGGGTCTATAACTTTATTAAGGCTCGTTATTACTGGGAAAGGACGCCATCTGCATTCATTTTGAGTGGGGAACTACGATGCTACATCCACTTTCAACTCTCCGCTACGAACCGCCACTTTACTTGACGAAGAATTGACCAAATAATATACAAGTGCTAAACAGGTTTTGTATACCTCTGTACAATACATTTTTTTATACAATTCTTTATTTTTTTAATAAAATTAAAAAAAAATTGACCAAGTGATATAATTAAATGATTAGTCAGACATTCTTTAATTTTATTATGAAAGAAAGTCGAAATTCAACGGATATTATATAACTTCGATAAAAATAATGATAACAAAATAATTCAGGAAGCATTTTGAAATTTAGGATCTCTATTTTCTTGCATATTAAGATTGTATTGTTATTGTTATTTGCAAAATTATAATAGATTAAATAAATAATAGCCGATTAATTTTTAACCTCATTTTTCAGTTCAGTCTCGAACGAAAAATTATTTATATCGAAAATTTGACAGATGTATCTTAAAGAACAAATTTCATGCTTTCTATTCAATCGTTCACAAATTTGTCAATATTTTTATCGATATTATATAACCCGTCGAATTGAGCGTACGAAATTAATAACTGGATTTATTATTTCTATGAAAACAAGAAATATCGGTGCGTTTAAAAAAAACTAAATATATATATTTTAAAGGCGAAGGAAAAGTGGAAAAGCAATTTTTTATGATATGCATATAACTTTTAATGTTTAGAAAACATTTCAAATAAGCGTAATACAATATCTCGAACGACGTAGAAAGATAATTGTTACAACGTTCAGCCAATGGCATGTTAAATGTGTTAACGTTAAATCAATCGTCTAACTGACACAACAAAGCTAATCCTCTCTTAATCCAATGGCTCACAGGACGATCTGTGTCCAGAAATATCGATAGCACGTAATTCGAGGAATGACCCGTAGTCTTTAGTACGCCGAAACGCGCTGACGTGATATATAATGGACACTCGTATCGGTCGCCGACGTGAAGAGACGTTATTTCGCACGGTTTGAACCATACGATCGGCATCAGATCCCACAGTATTTTCGGGTAACTCTCAGCCAACAACATTGACGGTATATCCCAACGTGCTCCGGCCAGGAACATTCCGTAAACGTACGCCCCGTCGACAGGAGACACGCTGGACTGATACGTCGGGAGCGTCTGAGAAACATCGATGCGTTTATTAGATCAATAAAACCCAAACAGTACGAATATCTGAAATACATATTAGATACATTTATTCCGTTTGAAAAAAATCTGTTTGTTGTGAACAAGTGAAAGTTTATGTCTCAAAATTCTTCTATGATTAAAGAAAAGAGGATTAGGTGTCGCGGATCTACGCTCATAAGTGCATGAAAATATATAATTTCAGGTAGAAAAAAAATAGAATAAAATAAGAAAAGAAATATTTATTATTACTGCCCCGAAATAAAATTATTTACAGTAAACTAATATTAGCATACTTTATAGTCAAAAGTGATCTTGTCGATCGGTATCTTGTACTTCCTAGCGTAATTCTGCGTAATCGCCGTTAAAAAAGCATGTGAAAACGAGAATCCGGATATCCAGAACGTCTCCGGTTTTCCATGATCCAGCCATTGTTGCATGAAGTCAAGTCGCTTCAAGAAATCATCTATAAAACTCGGCAGCCGTTTTAAACTCGGGTAAGCACTCGCTCTCGCCCAACTCGGTGGAATTTTTGCGATGAGCATGCTGCTTGCCAATTCCTGTCATTCATTGTAATATTTATGTATGCATCATCATGTAATTATCCTATCGATTGTGAACTTGTGCGAGCCAGATTCTTTTGAAATTAAATAGAACATAAAATTTTATTATTCTTTATTTTCCTTTCAAAGCTAAAGCTCTGAAAGATATTTTTGATCACCCAAAATTTTTAACACAGATTTGTTCTCGACATATTTGAGAATATCATCAATCATTAATAATTGAAATTGATAATTGGAAAAGTAATTTGAAGACCTTGCGTGTTTCCCTTCTCCTTATACTCTATATATTCGTTGAAGAAAATAAACAGAATTCATACTCGCATTAAGCACATAATCCTTATTTTATCACACTGATCTTCATTGATAAGTTCCATCAATATTTGTGACCTATATAATACCTATATAATTACTACATTAATATTTTATATCGAAACCAAACTCGAATGTACCTCCAACGATGGTGTCATTACTATCAATCCTTTCACTGCTTTTTCCAACATCGACAGACTGCTCCGGATCTCCGTTAAGAGATCATTATATCTCTCTAATTCCTGTACCAACACCGTGTTCATTGACTCCACATATTCGATCGGGTAGCGCTGCTGCGCCTCCTCGATGTCGAACAGATCCGGCATTCTCTCGTAAATGTCTCGTTTCATATTCAGTAAGATCTCGTCCTGCTTCGTGGCGTCACCCGTGACCACTGCACCTCGTATTCGCGCCATGGAGTCGAACAAACCGGTCGCGAGCTGCAGATTACGAGTTATGCCGGCGTTCACATGGAGACCGAACACCTCCGGTGATGGATTCAGCGGGATCGACTGTATCTGCTTCACGTAATCCTCATAGGTGTGCCTGTAAATTTTGCTCTTTTTACATATTTATAAACCCTTCCGTATTCACCTGTATATACACTCTGTACACGCATCAAAGCGAAGTCTGTTTGATTGAAGTATCATCGCGATTGCGAACGAAATCTCGAGGGAAAAATTAATAATTAACTTTATTAACAACTATCGGTAACTGAATGAATAATTCACTACGAATAATTCATAATAATCACTGATTGATAATGAAACGACTAATTCGTTAATAATGACTAGTAAATATTGTGCTGGATGAAAATAATTAATTGGTTATTGACTATATTGTTGTCAGCGATTTATATTTGACCAACATGATTCTAAGTCGTGCGAGAACAAAAATAATGTGAGCAAGCACCTTTTCGGCACGGTGTATTCGTAACCGACGTCGGCGAACGAATAGCTCGGGTTGTCGATCACGTCCAGATTGTAAAAGTCCTTGAGAATGGTGTTCAGACATCTGCGATCTCGGTCATCCGTCACTCTACCGCCGTAATTACATTCGCCGGTGAGATATATGATCGCGTCGAAGGGTACTTCTTCGTAATTCGCGATGCACAGCTCCAGTTGCATTGAGGAAATTTGCAAATCGGACTCGTTGAAGTCTTAGAGAAGAGGGAGAAAAATTGATACATAGCGAAAAGTCGTGGATGAACGCTTCAGATTCAGAAAATGTGAGTTACAAACCGTATCGAATGTTCCAGCCTTGAGGCCCGTAATTCCGTCGCTCTTGAATTACCGCGTGAAAGAAGCACAATGAGTACAGCAGTCTGAGGAACGTCTTCTTTTTCTTCAGATCTTTCTCCAAAGCTTCCGTCTCTCTTGTGCTTTCCGCCGTGAATGACCTGTAAACCGACTTATTATCATTATAAATACTTATTAGTCCTGTAACTACTAACGTCAGAAAGACCTAGAGATTTTTTTAAAATCGACTATTTCGCACGTTCGTCACCTCATGAGGTTATTTTGTAGACCCATCGGCGGTTCGTTAGTCATCTTGATGCCGTTTTGCAAAACACTAACGGGGAACTTATCCGACGGATAACTGGTTAACCATAGACGAAAGTTTTGCTCCGTGTTGGCGTGATCGAGACTTTCGTAAATCTTCTCCAGGACGGGCATCCAGGAAGCAGCCAAATGACAATTCTGCAAGCAGACCCAGAAACCACCGGCCTGCGCTCGCTCGATCATCCTCTGCGCAATAGATCCTTGACCCTGACCCAACGAGATCGATTCGAAGCGATTCATGTAGTTCATATTCTCCGCGAATTTCGTCAGCGCGCCCATAGGATCGGATCCGGCCGACAAGATGAAGACTAGAGGCGTCAAACAGTTCGATTCAGCGTATGACTTGGCGATGTCGAAGGGCGGAGGTACCACGAAGTTCAAACCCATCCCGACCTCCACGAAGCGCTGGATCTGTCAAAAAAGCCATATTGAATTAATGTCTCAACGACATTCGTCGTTTTGATACTACGACTAAACGTTTCGCCTTTCTGAGAAGGCAATGTGAAAGAAATGTCGTTAACAAATTTGATTCTCGCAAAGGAAAAGAGAGGACGGCATAAAATTATAAACTAAGCCGAACTATAATTTTAAAATTTAAATTTATATCTACAAATGAAAAAGAAGAAGTTAGATTAAAATTAAAAATGAGATAAATTATTGAGATTGAAATTAAATCAGATAGGCATAATCAAAATAAATACCGGACGCTTACTGGATATCTCTATATTTAACAATAGTGAGGAGGATTCTGTTTTCTTTGGCTTTTATCAGTCCGAAGTAATCGTTTTATTTATTAACGTAATATTATCTAGTCGATAATAATTAATATATTCAATTAATTGAATTATTCCGCTTCGAGTTTATCAATGTGAAGACACAACAAAGTGCGAATCGATTTTCAGCCATTCATCATCCTCCTCCGCATGAAGGATAATCCCCGAGAATACCACCCTCATTATCAGGATGATGTTATCGTTCACGGTACCTTTATCGGCACGATATCAGGCCTTATCACTCTTGCAATGATCAACTTCTGGAAAGGCGTCAGTTTGGTCTCCCAGGGTTGCGGCAGAGACGCGCCCACTGGATCCAAAAGATCGTAGAAGTTCTTCCATGCTGGTAGATCGTCTTGGAAACTTCGTATGAAATCGGCGAAGACCGGCGAAGCGCTGGTAAGCCTCGATATCTCGTCCCAGGATTTTTCGGGGAGCCAGTCGGTGGCGGGATTTTTCACGGTCGGCTCGCCCACAGCGAAACCGCCAGTAATGAAAAACGACATTTCCTCTTCAGTGATTTCGTCCGACGCCAACAGAATCGTCGTGTATAAAATGAACGAGTATAGGATCTATATTGAACAACGAAGGCTTACATTAAAATGTCTCGTGATATCGAATCTCCACCTCTTCAATATGATATATATATTTGTGATTTTACAATCCTGCTCGAAATATTTTTTAAAATTATGTCTGCAACAAAACAATCCTTCTAATAAAAAAAATCATATGGCGAAACCATTCTTACCTTGTCCTTCTCGAACAGCGACCTGCATACATTTTGATAGAGGTTATAGGTGAACGTGCTGCGCAGAAAACCGAGTCGCCGCTCAAGATCCTTGCTCTTGCTGGCGGTCTCGATCGAGCCGATGTATAGGTTGATGAACCATGTCAGCGAGTACTGGTACATCGGATCGATGTTGGGCAAATCCGTGATGGTGTAATAAAGCGCCGCGCTGTACCTGGCGATCGGCCGGTAACTCTGACGGAATACGTCGATTTGCATCGCCGTCTTCTTCGCTGCCGCCTGTTTCTTCTCAATGTCGCTCGACAGATTCTTGGACGAGTTTAAGATCTCGATGGCTTCTTCGTCCTCGAGAATGTTGGCACCAGCGACCGACAATATTCTCAGGATGTTGTCTTCTACCTCCTTCAGGGCTTTCACATTCAAGGCGTTCTGTACGATCAAGTACTCGCGTTTTTCTTGCAGGTCCGGTCGCTCCTTCGCGACTACTATGCCCAGAAGTTGATCGTCTAGCGCCTCTAATGTCAAGGCACTGCTAATCAACGTCACCTTGTTGAATACTTCTGGCGAGTAGTGCGGATTGCGCAGCTTGGTCGTCATGTACAAACGAAAGCGTGGATTGTAATCAATGTTTTTCTCGCCGAGGGTGATGTACCAGAAAGCGCCGGACTTGTGTATCCTCCGAGTCAGTATCGGGTCCAGAGCGGCGTCCACTTCTTCCATAATATTCTCGATTAGCACTGGCTTACCTGAGCGACAATCATTTAAGTAATTAACTCTTCCTAATAATAACCTGAGTGTCTGAAAGATATTTTAAAGTCGTCTAAAAGATGTCTGAATAAATAGGACATCTTTTGCACGACTTTTAAATATGTACATTATATGAATAATGGAACTGCTTATTAATCGTGAAATAAAATTTTCGTTGTCTTCGTTTAATTAAATTAATTATAAATGTTATACGTATACAATATACCGTGTTCGATCGAGCGCTCAATGACATTCATGTAATCACGATCGGTCTGCTTGACGATCTGAAGGTCGTTCACTTTCTCCATGTTACGGATCCATTTATTCGTCTGACCTTGCGGATCGACAAATAGGCTCCAACGCTTCGAATTGTCCATTATTATGGCGTTCTCGATCGAGAAGGAGTCACGGGGCAGACCGAACATGTTCCACGAGTTGATCTTCACCTCTGTGCCTAAAATTGCGACAAAATTGTACTCCTTTGAGCAAGGTATCACAGATTTCGCCACATATTTCGTCCACTTCTCAAGGCTCTCGGCGCGAAAATTGGCCGTGTAAGGTCCTAGATAAGCGATAACTCCACAGGATATCAGAATATCGCCAGGTAGCGCCTCATAGGCCACCCACAAGTTCTCGGCAGCTGCGACCCAGCGGTCTCTCTCTCCTCCCAAGCCGCTGATGAGCTTTTCCGCGCGGATCAGCTTGTTTCTGCAGCTGGTTACCTATATCACGAGTGAAAAAAGGTACAAAGTGAATTTTCTGAGTGAAAAACACCACTAAGTAATCGCAGAACTTCACCGACCTCGTCCTCCAAACGTATCTTCCGTGCCAATGTCTCTCGCAATTTCTCGCGCAACACCTCCAATTTCTTGTTCAACTCGACCAACGTCTCCTGCTTCTCTTTCAAAAACGCAAGAGTGTTTTTCAGGTCCCGTTCCGAGATGGCGAGCTTGGTCTTTTTCGGCGCAACTACTTTCGCCACGTCATCGTACAAAACCATCGCACGCACCCACTTGCAGAGACCCTCGGCGGCTGAAGAGGCTCGAGCTACTACTTTCGGATCAAAGTTCTTGTCCGTCATGTACGTTTTCTTAATTTCCTAACGAAATATAACATCGCGTTAATCGACGGATTCTTTTTGCGACATCAAAATTCTATTTGTATGTGCACATGTGTGATTCTGGTCAAGGTAGGATTGTATCTGTAAAAATTAATAATGAAATAGTGAGATTAAATCTCTGAAGGTCCAATGCGCTAACCTGTATTATGGAGTCCGGGATGTTATCCTTATCGTACAGCTTCAGACTGTCGAGAAACTTTATATCGCCGAGTATACGTTTGCTGGGCGTCCAATAGTCGAGAATCTTAACACCGGTGGCTGGATCTTCCTTCTTGACTGGCGGTACATTCAGCATCACGCACACAGCAGCCATGACTAGTTTAATGACTTCCGGTGGGCTTTTCATGGTCTTCACCACGGCGATATCCGCCGGCTTCAACGTGTCGAGCGCGGCTGTAATTTGCAATTTTTAATTTAGCACATTTTGCTGGATTGAGCTCGTAAATTGTATCAAATCAAAAGTGAAGAAAAAAAGAAAACAATGAGGAGAAAAAAGAACAAATGTAAAAGATAAGAAAGAGAACATAGTTGGGATGGAAATAAGGAAACAGCACCTGTGGCCTCGTTCAAAGCGGGTAGAGCTTCGGCCAGGTCGGCCTCGCACTCTTTCTTCAGCTGCATAGCAATCTCGGCTTGCACGTTAGCCACATTTTCATCCTTCTTCACCAAGGTCGTCGCTTTCTTTACACTCGCATCCTCCTTCTCGATCTGTCGCATCGTTTCCGCTGTTTCCTTAGCCGACGCCTCGAGTTGTGGCCTTAATTCCGTCAGAGTAATCCGCATCTGAGCAATCTGCTCGGCCGCAAATTCAAGCTTATCCAGACCGTTAATGTATCGCTCTCTACAAAAACACGCCAAGTCTCAACAACGAGTTAATTTCCTCGATAAAAGACAGTAACGGATCAATTTCCAAAAATAACTTCGAATCTTGGAAGTATCATATCGCTGACGTCACCTTGTTTGGGCGATGTCTCGTCTTTTCGTGGTCGTTAAGTCGGCAAACATCCGCATAAGATCGAGGAATGAAGCAGTGGTGACGTAGGTCTTCTTGCCGGTGAGCTCATAGAATCTAGCACTCACATCTTTCGTGCAACTGTGGAAGAACTTGCAAGCCACCACCGACTCGTCTTTAACATTCTCGGCGAGCTCAAGGTCGACGAGGGTGCGTCGTGCCACCTGTTCGAGCGCGTCCTCGGGCCATACATCGAACCAGTCGATGGTGCAACAATTCACCAAACCGGGATGCATCCGCAGGCGGATCCGGAAAGCATCGCCGATTGGGCTGAGGCACAGCATGATGTGCAGCTTCTCACGGCAACGGCCGACGAAGAACGCCAGCACGTTCAACACGGAAATGTCGAGGTTGCGGTCGCCGCCTTGCGCTGCGAGTCGCGTCATCTCGATGATCTCTTGCCGCTCCTCGATGTTGAAGATGTTCGGCACCTCGCCGTCGTTCAGCAGACTATCCACGTCATCGAGAAACGCGTCATCGCGGATCTGCTCCTCAGCTAGCAGAAACACAAAGTCTTTCCCGACCCCGCCGGAGTTCTTCAGCACCCACTTGACGTCCTCTCGCCATTCCTGCATGCCGTACGTGCCGGTGATCTCCGGCTGACGGAGACCGTAGCCGGCTATGGCGGAAGAAAGCCTCGTCAAACTCTGTCTACCTGATCCGCCAGTGCCAACCATCAGTAGATTGCCGCACGGGATGGCCAGTACGCGGCAGATTCTCGCGAGATGCTGGAGCGCGTAGCGGAACAGCGTGATGTCGATTTTATCGTGGTGAGTGTCATTGTACTCTTGCAGAAATACGAGGCCCACTTGTTGATACTCTTCCAGCGAGGGTATTTCCTCGTAAACTCGATCTTCCATCGCCGCCTCCGGCTCCATGAAATTGACGAAAATCAAGTCGTTGAGACTCTCTTCTGTGATCTGGTCTTCGTACTTGGGTAAATGTCCGAGCAAGGTGTCGAAGCGTTCCTTCAGGATACTCTCCACAATTAGCTTGATCTGTTGGCACAACCAGCGTCGATCCGGCTGGTCGATCAGTCGATCACCGAACACCCTCAGCACCTCATGTATCCACAGTTTGTAAAAAACGCTTTTACCGGTATCTGCGGATTCCTTCTTCAGCAAGGCGCAGCCGGTGATGACGCGTGCAAAGTCGCGCAGGTTGAAGAGGTAATGCGGCTTGAGCGGCGTCGGTCGTAGATGCTCTATCGCATTGTAGTAGACGCGCATTGTGACATTCACTATGTCATTGATAGTCGGTAGAACACCAGCGGTGAAGCCGTTTTGCCTCAGCCCCACGAACGCCAGATTCGTAAAGATGCGGAAGAGAGTCTCGCGCGTGAAATCGCATATGGTGAACATGTTGAAATGACGCAGGAAACGCGTGTAAATCTCGTGCCTCCTACCGCCAGGCGGCGCCATCGCGCACACGAACATCGTGTCCAACACGGTGATGGGATCCGGCTTCTTCTGGTCGAACCAAACCCCGTGATCCAGGAACTGACGCAGCAACTCGATCGGCGGTTGCGCGCCGTATATCTCCTTAGTCGGCGCGTTCACCTCGTCCACGAAGACGACGCAGTGAATTCCGATCGGAGGGCCAAACTGAGCCCCTCCTCGTCGCTTGTGCAGCTTCGCCAACACCAGCTCCTGTGTCTGCGCCGCGGTGATTCTCGGCGCGAACGTAATCAAGTTCGGCAAGTATTTCTTCTCGTCTAGCTTGTTGGTCAGCATGTCTTTTATGTAGATGCTCTTGCCGGTACCGGTATCGCCGTAGAGCAGAAAGCACCGGTGATGCTTGATGTGCATCGCCATCACGCTTTGGTATTTCATCGTGTCAATCGTAGGTATGATGGTGCGCGAAATGCTCTCGGTCTCTAAGAATTGCTGCGCCTTGGCGGCTTCGGAATACCGTCGCCACGCACCCCTGCCGCGAAAGCTGTAGTATTGATCATGGATCGGATCCTCACCCGGCAGGGATATTTGATCAGCGGTCACACACATGGGCACAGGAAACGCCGGGTTCTCGTTTTTCCAGAGGCTCAGATAGAACGCGTCAAATTTGCTTCGCGACTCCCGATCCAACGTGCCAGCCGCGCCCCACACCATGGAGACGATCATGGCCGCTTGGAACCAGACTCGGAAATGCTGCTCGAACGCACCGGCACTCTCCTCTACGGCGTCTTCGATGAGTAATTCAAAAAACGACATGGTCGATACCGCTCGGTGGATCTCGCCGGCGTTCACGGTCACTCGGCATTCTTTACGGATGAACTCCAGGCATGGTTTCATCAGCCAGCGAAAAAGCTCGTTGATCATTGTGGTGTCGGTCGCCCACTCAGGATTCAAACTGATGATCCAGGACTCGAGAAAAGGCTCCCAGCCGAGAGCGTGCGGCTCCAAGTAGATCATACCACAGCGGGAGACCGTGGCGGGGGACGCGTGAACCAGGTCCATTGTCTCGAAAATCATGGACATGGTGTCGCTCATGCGCATCACCTCGCCGGACGTAAGGCAAAGCTTGCGGTTGTCATCGAGCACTGTATTTAAGCTCTCGATCCATACGGCGTCCACCGGCCCGTCGAAGATGAGCCACTTGCGGTCGGGCGTATCCTCGCTGGAGAAACGGCGGAACACGTGCGCGCATATCCCGTCGCTCCATTCGGACGACACCGGGTCGAAATAGCCGTACAGCTGACCCAGCGTGATGGCCTTGGGATTCAGCACGAAGTAGCTGGTGATTGTGCCGTTCTCGTCACCGTGTTCATGCATAAGCGTAAGCGCGTCCGCCAAGGTGTGCAACACGGAGGTCTTGCCGCCGAACGGCTCGCCAACTAGCATGAAGCCGTGGCGCACCATCATCATTTCGTAGGTCTGCACGATCTTCAATAGAAATACGCTAACCGTACGGAGGTTCCGCTTGCGGGCGACGTCGTTCACCGCGGCGAGCAGTACGTCGTAATTCGGCGAAGGCACCGAGAGTCCCGGAAACAGATCGGATATGATGCCTTGGAAGAGTGGCACGTCGCGGACGAGGAACTTGGGCAGGTTCACGTCGATCAGAGAGCGCAGCAGCAGCATCGCCTCGTCGTCCTTAGGGTGCTTGAGCTTGAGATTCTGCGCCGCCGACAGTACAGTCTTGACTGCGCGCATACCGTAGTCGTAATGTGATTGCGAAGACAATTGCTCTGAGCACAGCTTATATGTAGTGACGATCTTCGTGGAGAGATCGCGACCGGTGCCGAAGCCTGACGAATACAGAAAGATCTCGGCGATCATCGCGTAATCCGGCACCATCATGGCAACTGTGCGGAATAGGACCTTCAGGTTGTCCGGTAGCTCTGATCGACCGGCATAACCCGGGTTCATAGTGATGCATACATAAACCGCCGGATTCAGTTGCAACTCGGTGCCTTCGAAGACGAATGCCTCCAGATTGGCGCGTACCGCCTATGTATGTGTGTGGGCATATATGTGTATGTGAAATATATATTTTATATATAATATATAAAATCAAAATTATAATTTACGTATTATTTGTTCAATGGATGATCTCCATGAATATATTCCCATGAGAGGAGTTGTTCAATTCAACAAGAAATAATATAATTGTTATATTTGCTATCGATAGTTCCCAGCAAACACAATATTACATGTAACGTGCATACACATGTGTTATATAACAGTTATATTGTTGAGTAGGAAATTACAATTAACATGCACGTTACGTGTAACATTGTGTTTGCTGGGTTATATATCAAGTAAAAATATAATTATTTACATGTTATATAATAATATTTTTCGTTTGATTTCAATCAATAAACTTCTAATCCTTTTTGTTTTCATCAATTTCAATAATTTGATTTCAGACAGTAATTTTTAATTAACGTTTACTTAATTCAGTAAATATCGACCATTCGGACTTAACAAAAACTTGGACGCTTTTCTTCAGATGAAGCGTTTGAAAACCTCAATTTGTTTAAAGTCGTCTTGAGAAGTTGTGATTTAATATATCACCTGCACTATGCACAAGATTTGTTGCGCCACAACCGACAGGACCTCCAGCTCGATGCGATTGAACTCGTCGAAGCAAGACCACGCGCCACAGCTTGCCAGGCCCTTGAAAAACTTGCCCATATTCTTGTAGTCGAGGCCCTCCGAGCAATTGAAGACCACGCATTGAACGGCGATTGCTCGGCTTAGATCCTTCGTCGTTTCGGTCTTGCCGGTGCCAGCTGGACCTTCGGGTGCGCCATTCAAATGCAGCGAGTACGCACCGATCAACGTGCGGTAACATCTTTTGAAAACGTAATCGATTGCAATCAGAGTTGGTATTTATTAGTACACGGTGATTCGTTATCGATCAAATTTAGCTGAAAATTATAGCAGCTTTTGGATATATAAAAAATAAAAGATACAAAGTTTTATTAAAAAAGAAAAGTAACAGAGAATAATCAGGATTGTTGAGCAATTTCTTCGTCAAATATATTATTCGTAAATGATATGTTTGTTTCCTTAAGTGAAAAATCATATTTTTGTTTGTGTATTCTCGATAACCGCAGTTGGAATGGTTCTATCTATCGTAAGTGTCATCGTTAGTTGCTACTTATTGCTACGCGATCTTGAAAAGCAGAATGAAATCGTTGATTACGTAACATTCAAATTAGATTCGAATTTGAAATGTCGCATGAAAAACTTTTATTTCTTGTTTCCGACTTACTTCTTTATTCACAGTTGTATTATCGACGAAGGATCATCATCCTGTAGTCATCGTAGGTACGTACCTGTCGGTCAACGGGGTGATGACGAGACGCGGGCAATTGCCGAGGTACTCGTACGCGTACCTAACCGTCGAATAGATGATTCTAACATAGACGTCGTCCTCCCAGTAATAACGAAGTTGCGACAGCCACTCAAAGTCCATCTCGTTGACGATCTGTTTCTCGATGAGGGATTTGACAACGTCCATCGCATGAACGTCGATGGTGATCAGAGCGTTCAACGTCGTTCGATTTTGCTTGGAGAGTTGCCCTGCCGGGCAAAATCCATTTCCCTGTGAAAACTCCATGGAAGCGATGGCAACAACAACTTTCGCGAGCCCCGTATTACGTCACGAACCTCTCACCAGATTGACCAGCTTCTGGATCTGGCTCCTCAGCTTTTCGTAGAGTGCCTCCATCGCGTAGGTTGTACGACCGACCAGGCAGCTCTGCACGTCGAGGCTCCAGTAAATCTGCGCGACACACAGGATGACCATGCCGGGCCATAAAAGAACCCACTCCACTCGTTCCTTCTTCTCGTACTCCAAGTAGCTCAAATAGATCTCCTCTTTCATCGATGCCACCATCTGCTTTTCAACCTGAAGCATCAAAAGTTCGGCAGCTAATCGATAAAAATAAAACTCGTTTATACATTAACATTACAATCGTAATTCAATGAGAAATTCGAGATTTTGCAAGTTCATCGAAATTCGCGCATAATTTGTTTTGTGAAATATCGAAAGGTCGGAAACTCGTTACTGTACGACAGAACTAAATATATACGACAGAAGTAAATATATCAAGACCAAGGGAAATTACTTGAAAGAGCCATCGCTCGACGCATCCGCGCGCCGCAGCTGTCGAGATAACTTCCTGCATCGGCACTTCCTCCTTATCGTCGCTGAACATGCAATAAATTTCCAGATCTTCGTCGAAACTGCAAGATAAGAAGATATTTTATATTAAGTAATATAATACATATAATAATACGATTATTTATATACATTTCTTTATTTATAAAAATAGATACAACGAATGCAAGTATTGTTGTGAGGATATGCATAACGAGAGTACCCCAGCCGATTGATTCCCTCAAAACACTTTTTCAAGTGTGGCTGAACACGAAGCGGCTCCTTAGTCTCGGAAAGAATTTCAAGCATGTCGTCGTTGCTCAGAAAGAAGAATCGCGGGAAGAACAGTCGTTTCTTTTCGAGATAATCCAATACGCCGTTGTTGACCCTTTCCATTGACACGTTTGCCTCTAGCATACTTTCCAATAGACCAATCTGTAGGGGACGTTCGATTTCCCGAAGGAATTTCGAGCAGACCTTGACCACTCGATTCGCTTAAACGTGATCACACTGTGATATACGTACGACACCGGCAGTCTCGCGAACTCTGGGGTCTCTCTTAACGCACTGCATCGCTTTGCGAAATATCGCGTCGACCTCGAAGAACAACTCTTCTTCCTCGGGCAGCTGCGCTACAATATCTTTGCTCGAGAAGATCGGCAGCAGATATATCCATTGTATCTGCACCTAAAGGGAGACCACGAGAAATGTTAAAAACAACTGTCTCGGCGAGGTCGGAAACTGTGAGCGAATTGATCTCTATCGATACTTAAATCTGACCACGATGATCGATGATAAAATATGAAAGAACCAAGACAGCAATGAAATTATAAAGAAGCAATTTCAACACGAAAATTAATTAAATTTAATTACTGTTGATAATTCAATCCCAATTTTAATTAAATCTCAGAAACAGAACAAATATATGATTTGAGATTTGCGACTAACTTGGCAGTAAAAATACGCGCTGACTTGTCGATAAAAACTGTCAGGAAAAGTTTACCTTCGTCCACTCGTCGATTGTCGATTGCATGCGCAGAAGCAACGCGTAGAACGACTTGACGTCTTCCTCGATGAGTTTTACAAAAGCCGAGCCTCGCATCATCTGTATCTTGACTATATGTTCTTCGAGCAGCGTTAGCACGTCTTCAAGATGCGTTAAGATTGGCACTTGGGTGTCCTTGTACAGCATGATGCTGAAGAAAAAGTCGTCCCACTCACTCTTCATCCTCGCGAGCGATTCCTCAAGCGCCAGCTCCTTTGTCGCGCTGCTGCTGATTATCTCGTATCTGCAAAACAATTGTATCTTGCTCAGTGACTTGCGACTCGTCAAGTCGCGATCGCAGGTCGGGAGAGCGCGCTACTTCTCCAAATCTTCCATCAGGTTCATATTGATTATTTTTCTCAAGCTTGTGCCGGCGTCTGGTGTTAAATCGAATCTCGCAATTGCTGACATATCATCCCAGTGCAACTGTCGCATCGCCGGGTTGCGAAAGATGGCTAACAACGGAATGTATTGCTGCATGGTAAAAATCAACGTGAATAAAATAACGGCGAACATTCTGATATAACGTTAAGTTGACGTGCGAAGTCGTTTACTACGAAATTTCATCGAATTTCTGTTTCGGACATTAATTCGACCGAATGGCAAAAGAAACTTACGAGACTTCCTTCCTCTCGTAGATGAGAAAGAAAGTGTTTGTAGATGGAGAAAAATGCGAATAAAAATAAAAAAACTAATAGCGACCGTTTCCTTCGGATTTTAATAGTAATTCAATAATAACTTAAATTTAATTTCTTCATACTTTCAGCCACTTTCCGTCTTCTATCAGCTGATGGCACAGTTTCTGAGGCGACGGTTGCTGTAAAGGATCGGGATCATCTACCAGTCCTACAAAACTAACGGGGAACGACCGATAACGCACGCGCAACAGGTTCACACGAGGATCGCTCGATGAACATCCGGGGACTGTTTCCACTTCGGAGCGACGGGACGATATAACTCAAGCGCTTTTATTCACTCTCTCTCTGGCTCTTACGTACTTTCCATACATCCACCATCGACAAGGTTAATAGAATCCCGCGCGGAATACGGAAGTTAGTGGATTGATGGGGAAAAATTTGTAAAAGACTACAAGCGCGAACGATACAAATCGGAAAAGCACAATCCTATTCGTTTTATTGCGCGATACGTGATACGCTGTAGTGAAATCAGCCTGGATACTTGCTTCGACGCGATCCTCCCATTACTCTTTCGTTGTCGCACTTATGTTACGACCTGTGCGGATAATTTGTCGCGATCTGCAGCTTAATTCGCGTCTTAAATAGCTTGTAGCTTTTGCCGAAATCAATCAAATACTGATTGATCTTGTTCTCGACATGCTGCACATCGAGGTATTCGAAAGGACCGTCCAGCCAGACCCCGCGATCCCTTTGCCACTGATAGCCTCGGTAGATGAGACTGTAAAACGGCAGGATGTTCTCTCTCAGTTCCTGGATGCGTGGATATTGCGTCAATGGGAACTGGAACAACGACTCTTCGGCGTTTATAAACTCGGCCCGCTGTTCCATGCGTTCCAAATGACGTGTCATTTTTCGCATATCCTCTATATATTCCTTGATACGCTTAGCATCGTCCATGTCATCCATCATGACCAATCTGTGATCAGAAAATCAAGCCACATTTGAACGGCAGGATTGATTTGCGAAGAATGGAGGAAGATTTAAATAACTCGCACGATGACGCGTCACATTGACGCGTTTTTGTATCCCTGTAAAGATAAATAGAGAGAATTCAATTGCGCGCCAACTTTTCCTTTCACTCGAAACGAATCACCCCGCGAAATTGCGTTATCGAAGTTCGATGTTGACGAACGATGACGCCGGGGAGTTCTACCTAGGGAACATGTTTTCCACGTTCGCGTTCAGCACCATGACCTGCTTCTGGAGCTCCTCCTCCAGCTCAAACTTCATTTGCTCATACATCGACGAACTGCGATCGAAGATTGGCTTGATGCGCTTCAACCACTGCACTGTCGTATTATTCAGCTCGATATGAGACTTGGTGAGGCTAGTCATCTCGATCAGCGAGCCCACCATGCGCAGTGAGAGCGTTATTCTCTCGCGCATCTCTTGCATCAACGTCGACGTTGCCGTCAGCATGTACTGGCCTATACACGGAGGATGCAGTAGTTATCGTTGCTGATTCTTTGGACACCGTAAGGGAACGATCGTTGATCGTCAAATCGACAAATCCAAGCATCGTGTGTTCTTAACCACGCGAGGAAGTTGCGGACACGCAATCACGTTTGTTATTCTTCACTAGATCTATTCGAGCACTCTCGTTGGACTTGTCAAGAAAAGCAGAGCATGAAATTATAGAAATTCTCGAAGTGATTCGCGTCAGTTAAAACAAGTAATGACTACGAATAAAGCAATGACTATAATCTTCGGAAAAGTGTACGCGTAAGAAGGAAGAGAGATTCTAAATCCTTTTCGGCGAGATCCTGAAGAGGCAGCTTTACTCGAAGCAAGACCTGATGGAAAGAGGCAATAGAAATAGAGAGCCTAACCGCTGCATCGTGTTAATGTAACAAGCGCCTCTAACAGAGAATGATACACAGAGAAGCGGGAGAGAAAGCTCACCGAGTTCCAGCAATTCCTTCGTGGTGCGTGGAACGTCCAACGCTCGGTCCCTCAGCTTCTCGAAAGTGTTGCATATCTCAACATTATAATTCCAGTGACGCTTGATAAGCTCGTCTATGACGAGTGCACGCAGCTCGTTCGCGTAAGAAGTGAGACCGCGTTTGACGGCGGCTTGATGCAGACACATTGTCGACAGGTACTCGTTGTCGGGCTGCAACGTATCCTCTTGTTGTATCGTTCTCGTTGTTTCCGATGGAAGCGTTGAAGGGAGGCTTCCCGTACACACGGACGATCACCTATGCACTTGTGCTAGGTGATCGGATTTTCTCTGCGACTTAATGCTTAACACGTTGGTTCCGTTGATCCGATCGCGGGAAAACTTGCTTGATTTGTTAACTGAACGTTATTTCGTTCGCAGTTTCGCGCTTTTTTGTGTCACAAAAATGGTTTGAAGAAATATCGTCGGGAATAGCAGTTGCGAACACAATATTGGAAATAATAATATGTTAAATTTCCCGATCAATTGTTGATTTATTTCAACGTGTTAGGAATCTTTACGTATTAAGAGTGTCGTAGCTATCTAAAATTTATTGTGAAATCAAATTTATTATATAAAACACTAAAAAATGGTACCTCCCAGGTTACAAATTAGTCCTGAAACTAACGTGATATGTATTTTCGATTTAAATGACATTAAATAAGATTTAGTTCAGACAGATTCTATGAATGGTGAAACGCAAGGAATTAAAAGGAGTCTTTTCGCTCGCGCAGTTAATTACATAGATCAACCGCCGAGCCCACGAAGGTCAAAGAGAAACGGAGAGTCTATCGGAGTCAAGCTCGGTGCCAAACTCGTTGGAAACTCGTGGGAAACAAACTGTACTCACCATACCGTTGATCTCGCGTATCCGACGATTGAAGTCCTCGACTTGCGCAACGCATTCCTCGAGGGAGCGTTCCTTTTCCGTTCGCTCGACCGCATCGCGGCGCGCGTCCGTCCCGTAAATGTCGCTGAACCGCAGCCGCAATCCTTCCACATAGTCACTCAAAGGCTGGAAGGTTTCTCGTAGGACTCGTTCCAAGCGTAGGTGCGCTTCGTCCAGGTACCAGTCCGGCGGAGTAGCAAACGACAACGTGTCCTCCTCGTTCCTCGTCGAGATTTTCCCGTCGCCAATGACGCGTCCTCTGATTCGCGCCCATGACTCCAACGGCGGCAAATGTCGCGCGAGGCGCGCTATATCGTCCAGAAGATCGTGGAAGAGCTCGTGCAATTCCGGGAGCCGCGGGTTCACGAACAAATCGTTCTTCTCGCACTTCAACTCGAGCTGCGATAAATTCGCTCATTGTAATCATCGCTAAAGACATGTGATAAACAAGTTCGAGTTGTCGAGCGGCTTTAACTGGCTTAGCTGGCAGGCTAGGTTTACCCGGAGCAAAGGTATCGCCGTGAGGTCACCGAGGACTTTCAGCAGATGCTCAATAGTGTCGATCGTGCGGCTCACTATCTGCAGGCCAAGCAGCCGCGTGGCGCATCTGAGGAAGCGCAGCAATACACCCGTCGCGACGTCCTGGATGTTGCGACGCTGAGAGACCATCCGCACAATACCGCTGTAGTAGGATGCGATGATCACATGCGCGCTCTTCTTCAGGTCCGCCTCAACCGAGTCCAAGAATCTGCCCGATGCAATTATTTATTTGTTTATTAATGTCTCGTCAAAAGACTTGTCACTTTGTAAAAAAAAAAAAGTCAGCATTTTATTCAAGAACGGGGGATCGATTATTCGCGACGAAAGATTCCGAGTACCGCGCCATGTGCTTGCACATCCGAAATTTGTTAGAAAGTTGACATACCAGCCAGGATAAAATTGGAAGTTTCTACTCCTAATTGAGAAGGGAGAAGGGGATAAAGATGAGATAAAAGATCAGTTGAAATTGCAGGTTGTTGAGAATTATACAAGACGTCTCATCGTCGCGTTACAATACGTTGTAAAGAATAAATAAAGGTCAGCAGTCCGTTGGACGACAGCGCAATGGGTGAGAGTGAGACTGAAAAAAATTACAAGAAACGAAACATGATAAAGAGAAAGATGAAATGAGGTGGGAGCGATATATCGCCTCATCGGTAAATGATAATTATCACCATCGTCTCGGAGTACCGATTATTCGGTCATTCGAATTAATAGCTCGGTAAAAAGCAACAGTGTTGTACCTGTCGAGACCGAGGAAGTTGAGCCCGCGATACCGCCCGACGTCGCAGAGCACCTCCGGCAGCAGCAGCTGCGCCTTCGCGACGATGCTTCTGATAAGTCTATGCGACAAGTGATATTGTTTGGCGAGCGTGCAGCGATTCCGCAGAAATTTCGCCATCAACTCGGTGCGGCCAGGATGCTTGTACGGCGTCACGTCCTCCTCCTCCTCCTCCTTCTCCTCCTCACATTCAATGGCTATTATTCGACATATCGCCACGCGTCGCATCGCCTCGTAGTAATGCTCTTTCGTCTCCTGCATCTGCTCCTCTAGGATATCCGCATACTTGCCACGCAACCGCGACCAGCCCGCTAACTCGCGAATTCTCTCTTCCCATTCCTGCCACCAACGAACGGCACATTCGAGCGATTGGTGACGATGTGTGAAATCAAAACGAAAGTTTGATTAGAAAGCGATCAATATCGCTGTTAATAAGTAAGCTCTCCCTAAACCTTTCAATACAATCGATTTGAACATATATTAGAGAAATTAGAGTAATTAGAGTCAGAGAGAAAGAGAGAGAGAGAGAGAGAGAGAGAGAGAGAGAGAATATAGAAAAAATTTAATTTATACAAAGATTTCAAAAAATTACATGTTCTTCGAAAATTGCATCAGTCGGTGAGACGAATCAAAGATAAATAAAAGTAAAGGAAATAAATCGCAGAAACGATAATATCCCATTTTTCACACTTTAACTAAAAAGATCGTTGCGTTCATTATCATGAGAGGATATTTAATGGAAAGTGCAGCTTCCCAAAAATCAGATAGCTTAAGTAAATGAGCATTATATGTGCGGTTAATCGATAGTAACAAATTTTGTAATGCGACCTACCGGAAGCAGGCCAGTAACGGGTGCTTTTTCGGCAGCCTCTTTCATTCGGTTAAAATAGAAATCCTGCAATCGCATTATTTCGCATTCAGTAGGATGAATATCGATCATCTCGTGATGACGCATCTTGGCTTCCGCCGACGCCACTTCCAGAGCATCCTGCACCTGCTTCGCGAGTACCTGGATAGAGTCATAATGAAATATTTATCAATATGAGGCAAAAGGTTAATTAATTATGCGATTATGCGCCAAGAGATATGTGCGATTTTATGTAAGATGTGAGGAACAGAATTCCGAATCCGCAGGATCGCGTTACTTTGTCGAGCTTAAAGCGGTGCAAAGCTCGATGTCCCGCATCGTCCGAAACGATCTTGATAGTATCCTGCATAGAGGACAATTCCTTTGTTGCATCGCTTCCGTCGTGAGATATATTACAATAATCGGACACGTTGATCATATCACTTCGGTTATGTCAACGTGTAATCTATAAAACCGGGAAGCATTCCTTGTTTCTCGTCAGTCAACTTGTCGCGGCTACATTCACGCATGAGTGTGGCCATTGCGATAATCACGGATTACAAACATTAAATATTCCACGACGACCTCAATTTCAAAACAACGAGTCCCCTGATGTACTTCACGGTTGACTTGTTTTCAACGTCTCGAGGATGTCGAGGTTTTCGGTTGATGAGTGATTAAAAGGATGAGTACTTCGCTAATTAAAGCTCCAGCAAGGCTGCGAAGAAATCGTGTTTTCCGGATGATCGCAGACTTTAACGGGATTCTAATTTCAGATTTGATTACAAGGGTATACGTAATGTTAGGAGCTGGAAGAGCGCGATAAGTGACCCTCGGCTTTTGTCCCGCCCAGAGAAAAAATCTTTAAATATAAGCAAGGGGAGAAATCTCATGAAATGAATATCAAATAGCTCTGTTATACGTTCTCGCGTGTATCTTCGCTCAAGTCGAGTCGTGTTGTGCACACCGAGTATAATGCTGTCGTATTTTTCTTAGTGAGTTTCTAAAAACGAGCAAATATAGAGAGGGAGAAGGAGAGAGAGAAAGAGACAGAGAGAGAGAGAGAGAGAGAGAGAGAGAGAGAGAGAGAGAGAGAGAGAGAGAGAGAGAGAGAGAGAGAGAGAGACGGAGGGACGGCGGGGGAGAAACAGCGAAGGTGGCGATATAACACCTCGACGCGGTCGAGTTAACGTAAGCACTCCCGAGCGAATTAATGATTAACGTGTTCTCAGCGTATTACAGGATTCGCGATACTACTGAAACAGAGTAATGGCCAGACCTATGCCAGTGTTCGTAATTAGCTGACCACATTCCTCCTGACTGCGAGCGCAGTCGCGCTTGGTCTTTTCTGTAATTTTCCGTCGTAATTCTGTTCGCGTGTACATCCACGTAATTTCCAAACTTTCCTCTATCTTCTCCTCTTCTCCTTCGTTTCTTTTTCCCTCGGGGTAAACGGGAGTGTAATCGTTAAGATACCTAGAAAAAAGCCGACTAAATCGTAACGGAGGCAAAAGTGCTGCGTGTTTTCTGCGAACAGAGCGAATATATACATAGCGCAATCGATCATTCGCGTGAGATATCGGAATTGCGGAAATCTTCGGCGAATCTTCAGAGAAAGTTAACGAAAGCTAGCCTTCGTCGATCTTCGTCGTCCTTACTGTGTCATCGCGACACCTCGACCTCCACCGTCACTGTCATTTAACTCCGAGTTCATGACGATTAACGCGGTGAACGTCGATGAACATGTCACGGGAAGGCAGCGAAGAAAACGCGAGATCTGTCGAGGAAATACGAAGTCCTGCGGAAAGGACTGCGTGACCTCGCAGGAGATCTACGTGTTGTGCACGCGTGGATCCCGTAGGAAAGACAGACGTATACTCTGGAGAAAGAGAAAGAGAAAGAGAAAGGGAGATAGAGGGGGGGGGGAGAGAGAGAGAGAGAGAGAGAGAGAGAGAGAGAGAGAGAGAGAGAGAGAGAGAGAGAGAGAGGGTGCGAGGGTGGGTTTCCGCTACCGCCACCATCCGCCAACGACAGCGTGACGGGGTATAAAGTGGTCGCGTGCTCCAAGCTCGGTCACTCTGTCGTGGAGACATCAAGGCGACGCTCCTCCTCACTAGCGAGAGACCAGGCAGACGAGAACAGAGAGTTCAGGATTGTCTCGATCATCTCTCGATCATCAACTCGTCACGATCATCAGCGTCTATCATCGCCATCACCCTTTCTTCCACCGTTCATTCTTCGTGAGGCCGAGGGCGACGACGAGGGCACGACAGCCGGTACCAACGGTCGACACGAGGTACGAGCTTTCACGTTCTCCTGAATTCCCGCGCGTTTTCATCTACATCTCTATTGCCTCGTCCTCGATTGCGATTCACGCTACCTAACGCAGTGTTCCCTTCTTGTTGAGTTGGGCAGACGGATAGACAGACATAGAATAAACGAAGATAAATTGGATCTCTCGTCGGCAATAAAGTCGCTGCACGTATTATACGTGGGCGGCTAGACACAAGAAGAGACCCCGCGCGAAGGAAAATAATTACGATATATAGTCGACAGCAGAAGGGTTGCAACGCGTTTCTTCGCTGCGTGTTTGGGAACAGACTTAAATCGTACGAACGATCGTGCACGACTTTTGAATATTCTCTTCAAATTGAAATTGAAACTTGTAGAATTGCGAGAGGTGCCGTAATCACTTCTCGCCCCTGTCTTTGTTAGCGCGCGCCGCTTCAGTAGAAGAAGACGTGTGCAGTCAGACGTCATTCCCGCCACCGAGTACTCGCGATTGATTCGAGAAGACGTTGATTCGAGATCATAATTAAACGAACGAATTTATAGTAACAGTAAGCTGTTACAAGAGATACTTTTTCTCTTTTCAGATTTGAAATCGCGATTCTGTCTGATCAAGAAAATCCAGAAAATCGACGCGGAAACTCTGAAGCTTTGATAAAGTTGCAAATTGATAAAATTACATAAATAAAAATGTACCAATAACTTGTAATTATCACGAAAATTATTTGTTAAATTTTGGATATAAAATGATTATTTTTATGTTTGGTTTTGTTGTACAAATGACCAATATAATAAGCTTCTTATTGTAGGGAGAGAATTATAAAGATCTTTCATTTTAAAAAGAGGATTATAGAAATCTTTTCAGACGTGAAAGCGCATAAAGAAGCTCTACCGATTATTGCATTCACTAACAAAGACTACACTTGCAATTTCTCGCGTAAAGTCGCTTTGAACTTTATCTGATAAACGCGACATAACATTTGCGCCGATAGAAAGATAAATGCAATCTGCTGCTCGCGTAAATGTACAAAGGCGTTGATAAGCTTCGCGCGTAAGCTTCTAGAAGAAAGATGCGAAGTGCAAGTTTCGAGATCAATACATCAGAATGTTCGTGTTTGTTTAATATACTGATATAAGAAAAAATTTCCTTCCTTCCCCATTTTATACAAAATCTAACAAATACAATGTTCCTACGGAAAAATTTCGAAATTTCGGTACGTTAACACGTCTGCACGTTAATTCGTGTTGGTGTTCTCGAGATTTTCAAGCGCGCGAAATTTTCAGCTATCTTATCCCTCCCTACGGACCAATGCTGCATTATCTTCCGCTAATTATTATATTTTTCGCGGTATCAGTGGAAGTATGAGTATCGATATCCACAACAACGAGCGCGCGAGCCATGTTACCCGCTGGCTCGATGTGCGCTCGAATTATCACGATGACCTTTCTAATTAATGAATTAAATTCGCGCGGACCGTGGTCGCGAGCTTTGTGATTCAAATTTCTCCGCTCACGCGCCGGCCGCAACAATTATCTGATCACACGGTGGCCAACAATGCGTCGATTGTCCCTCCAATTAGCGGATTGTGTAACAGACCACGGACGAGCTTCGCGTACGCGCGGGCTTCGTTTTTCATTTAACTGACCCCCTTGTATTTATATCCACCCCCGACCACGACCTAACCCGTTGCGTCGTCCGATACACGCGGCCCGTCCCGTTCGTCGATACGCCATGTCTCGATTGGACATACGAAGGAACCTCGTCGACGTCGTTATGCGTGTCATGTATGCGTTTCTCTCTCTCTCTCTCTCTCTCTCTCTTTCACGTTATTTCCACGTTAACATAAAATCGTTATTTTATATCGTCGGAGCAACAGTCGGAATCCGTTTACTCGACGATCCGCGCGCGTGTTTCCTCGCGCGTTTTATGTTGGCTTGTCGCATTTTATTTACACCACACGCGACGACAGATCGTCGTCTGCTTGTAACGATAACAAGTGATTCGTGGACGTTCAATTTGCCGGAAGGCTTTTACGATCTCGACAGCGAAATTAGTTTTGAGGAAATATTTCCCGACATACCGGCTCCCTCGAAATCCCAACTCTTTCATTCGATTGTTTTTACGCTCGTTTCGCAGGTGCGATAGCAAGATGCCATCGGTACGAAGTGCGATTGCATTGGCGTTGGTGCTGTTCGTTTTCGCAGAGTGGTCACGAGCAATGCCGGCTATAGACAAAGATAATAAAGAAAGAATTCTGAACGCCGTGGACGTAAGTATGAGGAGAGAAAAGCTACCCTTTTGTTAGATAGAGATATACTCCGATACACCGATTATTCTTATTATATGTAACCTAATAGAGATTGTAAGAGCATTTATCTGATTAGAATATTCATGTTGTCGTTTATTATTTTCTCTTTCTTACATCATATCTTCCTTATTGTTATATCATACGCTATGATGTTCTACATAAGGGTTTAAAAATTTGTTCGTTCGAACCTCCGAGGGGAGCACGTGGTCGAGATTTATGAGAGAGCTTGTAACAATTTTACTTATCTTCAACGTCAATGGTTTTATTTATCTTCAACGTCAACGGTTCGGTGTACTCGAGATCCGGAAAATCAACGGAGGAACAATCCGTAGCATTCGGTTACACGAGACCGTGTGGGATACTTTTGTTCTTTAGTGTCACGGTCGCGCGTCCCTATGAGAGAGCTCCGGAACAAGAAAGTCGGCGACAAGTTAACAAAGGGACTGAAGTTTCTAGATGCATGATGAAACCGATGCAAATTTGCGTGGTCGCGGACGACATTTAAATTCTCCATTGCGCGCGCACTCTCTTAGAAGAAAGAGAAAGCACCTTTGGAATTGCTTTTCTTTAATGTAATGACTTCTTCAATTTGTGCAATTAAGATCCAGAAAATTGACCGAAATGACAAACACAGCCTTGGTCGATTATTATATTTTCGCGAAACCGCGAATTTGTGAACGCTCTGTGGAGTTTTTTCCCGGTATGATATCATTCATGAAATCGCTTCAGCCGTCGTTAAGAAAATCCACGCGAAATCTCGTCAGAGTTTTTCCACGCACGATCGAAATAAAATAAAATAAAATACAAGAAAGCGCATACCGTCCGTTCGTTCTCATGTCCCTTCGAAGGATCTTCAGCTGGACTGGCGAGGAAAATAGACGCAGCAGGAGTCTGTGACAGCTGTCAAATAGCGCTGCGAATCAAATCCGCACGACTCGTCGTCGTTGTTGTCGTTGTCGTTTCCGTTCTCCACGTTGCTTTGTAATCGAATGGGACGAAAGTGAGATCGATTCAGAAAGAAGATGTCTGCGTGAGAAAGCTTCTAAAGCTTCTCGATTACGAAATCCGCGAAGACGACGACAGCAACGACGAAGACCAACGGACGAGTAGCCGGCACCCTTACAAATGTATTTTACGTGAACGTTACGTAATAACGGTAGGTTGGTATCAAAGTTTGTCATATGAGAAGCGAGAGAGAGAGAGAGAGAGAGAGAGAGAGAGGAAAAGAGAGAAAAAAGTACATATCGTCACTCCTCCTTTTCGTAAGAACAAAATTGTATCCTCGCTTCGCATCCTGTGCGTTCCGGCGCAGAGGATTCTTTTCGTTCCCTTCGCTTCTTATTTCGTGTGCGCATTGCGTAACTTGTTTTGTTCCGTGTCTTGTGTCTCGTTTTCCGTGAAATTGCAATGTTTCAATTCAATTTGTACATCGCGTTACAAGTTGCCGTATTCGATAGAAATACCAACTCATCCGACGTCAATCGCGGAACGCGAATGGAATCACGTGAAAAGCCGCGAAAAACTAAGCATAATCATCGGCTCGAAGCGGTGCGTCGCCGAATTAAGGTCGACACGCACACATGCGCCTGTGAGTGATGTATGGAAATTCGGCGTCGGTGAAACGAAATATCGTTTTCCGTAACAACAATAAATGGACGTGCACTCGAACGTGTCGAATCGGTCGATCATCGTCGTCAACGTCGTCTCCGTGCCATCGATGTTCAAGGAAAATCTCCGATACGTCGTAGCCACGTAAGCTAGAAGCACACGCGCGCGCGCGCAACCCTTATTCGACAAAACGCGCATTGTTTTTATCGCGTACACATTGTTATTGAATTGATTCTCCAAAGAATACTGCGCCACTCGCGGCCGCGCTGGCCGTCTCGCTCTGGTTCCGCCGGCGAAACAGTACGGTGGTATAAAGGGAGCTTTATGAAAATGTTGATGCTCTCCCGAGCTTTCCATCTGCGACGCGAAATAAACGTTCGAAGAAATTGCGTCGAGCGCGTGTGCGCGAGCTCGTGTGCATTGCGTAACTGCACGTCCCTAAATTGCAAATTGCATGCAATTTTAAGCATCAAATTGAGAGAGAGAGAGAGAGAGAGAGAGAGAGAGAGAGAGAAAGAAAAGAAAAGCCAATCGTCTGTCAATCAGGCAGTGAGAAAGAATATATTTAGGAAAAATAACGAGTGACGTCCGTCACTCTGCTGTGTATAATTCCGCCGGTTTACGTTTTATTCGAGACACCTCGAAGATGGGGACGAAGCCGATTATCGCAACGACAGACCGTTGCGTCGTAAGGGTAAATCAAAATCTCCGCGAAAGGCGTACGGAAAGATCGAACGGCGGAAGTAGGGGCGCAAGGAGGCTTCCGATAAATTTCTTGACTGAACCGATAATCAATAATCGATAATCCGTCAATGGCAATCGGATTCTTGCGGCTCTTTCCTTACATACTATTTCTTCGCGAGCCTCTTGTCGAGCTTCCTCGAACGTGCCTCGGTCTTTAGCACTCTAATCCGAAAAAAGAGGTATCGACGAAATACAGGGCTGAGGAACGGCTGATTCGATCGTGTTTTCACGTGGAATCGCATAATTTCGTTTTGCATAAGTCGACTCTTCCCAGTTATTTCACATGTCGGAAGACCGACTGAGATCGAAGAGTGAATGCTTCAAGCACTAAAGATGACTCATGTATCAAATGATGTAAATATGCTAAGAGAATTTCATTATATAATTATTCAATGATATTCATTATAACTGGAAAATTATTTTCTATTCTAAATTGTTATTATAATAATGTATGTTTTATTTGAAATATTAAATATGCAAAGTGTCTCATGAAATTTCCACTCTTCGATTATTGTGTTTGAAACCTTGAGAAATCATCGAATATCACTGAAAATATTGAACTTGCTTCTAAGCGGAAAAGTTGATCTACATCATCGCATCGAAAATGTCTGTTCCATTTCCGAGAGGGTAGATTCTTCAAAATGTGACAAATAATCACTTTTCGTTCATTTTCGCAAATACTGTATGCTGCTGAACTCTTCGACCTCGCTCCTTCGATTACGTATGTAAATCCTTAGACCGGAGAACACATGCGAGTCGTGCGAAATCGCGAATTCTTTTTATGACACTTTACAATTCACTGTTGCGATTTCGCAACACGCTCGCTTATCCGCAACCTCACAATTAGGAATGCTGCCTCATTTTCAATATTTTAGTGAGAATACCGCTTGCCGAGAATACCCTGCGTATTTTCCTTTCATAGAACGATTCGCGTGCTTGCTCGACCGTGTGTTTATCGCATTAATTCTCAATTTCGTTTAATCAACACGCCGTCTACTTTACGCGCGAATTACGATGCGAGGCGGTCGCACGGCCGAACGCAATTACGTTGAACCATTTCGCCGTTTACTGTCGACGGAAAACTGAAATAAATGTCAATCGTTCTGGACGTGTAACGTGATTGTCGCATACAATAAACAACTCGCGCGTTTACGTCCTATTAATGCGCCGCTAAACAGAAAGCACTCGTCCATTGTGTAACGTTGCAACGATTTTCATGTCTCTCTTCGTTGAAATCAATCGATAATTACATATTTTTTCAGACCAACAACTGTTTCTTCGGCTGAACGACTGAAATCGGCGCGAAATGAACTAGAACGCGGTTGATTTCGTTTAATTGTTCGACTGCAATGATTCTCACTAACGAATATTTGAAATTGAAAGACGCATGTCGCGTAATTCGCGTTTTGTGCAAGCGCTAAGCTTACACAAAAAGAAGACTAAAAACGAGAAAATGAAGAGAAGAAACTTCTATTTGTATATATACATCTACTTACTGCGGTGGAAAAGTAGCACGCTCGTAATTGTTCTAGCTGATGGACGACGACGGCAACATCGAGACGGCCCTGATAAATTACCTCTTCACCAAGCAGATCGTGAAGCGGCTACGCAATCAACTGGACATCGGCGATTTACAGCGTAAACGCAGTTACTGGAAGCAGTGCGCCTTCAATGCGGTGTCTTGCTTCGGTAAATAGGCGCTTGCGACCGCGGGAGAGGGAGAAAGAGAGAGAGAGAGAGAGAGAGAGAGAGAGAGAGAGAGAGAGGAAGTGTGAGAGTGTAAAATCATAAGAAGATCATGTAAGATGAAAAAAACAGAAACCTTCTCCATATCCTCGCGATTCTCTCCAATTTTAAGCAGCTTTTCTCTTCGCGATTCCACGTAGCTGCGAAAATTATTTCGGCTGTGTCTTCGAATCCTCTGCGACGATTTTCTTTCACACGTTTTAATCACTGTAAAAAAGTGAGCGAACAAGCGATTGAGTAATTTTAGAATAGGATAGCGCGTGGTGGTGCAGAAAAAGAGATGGAGAAAATGATACATTTAACGATATATGTTAGACGCAATTACATATCAGAGAAAACATACGCACGTCTGCTACGTCTGATTATATTCTCTTTTCCGAACTACACGTTGCACTACTCGCCTGTCCTATACCTTGGTTTGCTGTTTGTAACATCGATATGTTTAATTAATGTAATCATTCGTTGTCGATGTTTCGCTTATGTATATTAGCGTGCCGTGTCTCTGTTAATTATTAAACGACCGTAATTGTCCCAATTAAAAATATCTTTCCTCCTCATTCCCCCCGTTGATTGACTTCGATCATTGAAAATACATAAAGTCGATCATGCGCACGCACGAGTGAAAATCTCATTTGCTCTATGTTGAATTAATTTTAAATTAACGTTACCCGCGATGTTAAACGCACGCACGGTTCCCTCCGCGAGCGTGATCGCGTCGCGGCGGCACTTACGGAATTGGATCCGCTTAATTCGTTTAATCGAAGAACACGGCGTCCCTCAAGTTTTATTCACTCTTAACTGTTCGTACGATTCTTATCTTGGAATACTATAAAGACAGAGAATCCACCTCTTTTCAGAAATAATTTGGACAAGTCGTGTATTTTCGTCACACGCGGGCATTTTAACGTCACCCAAAATCGCGATATTTAGTTCTGTCACAGAACAACGATAAAGGAGCGTTGATGCGAAATCATGAGGCGGTCAAGGGCGAGGAGACCAATGAGAGAAGTCAAATTGTGTAATTATTTGCAACCACCGTAAATGTCAGAGCGGAAACATTACCGAGTAGCAAGACACGCGGCAAATGTTTCATCTCAACCACTTCGACGGCGCAGAAAAATTGCACTCGCTCTGCAACGCTACGGGGCTAACTAGGGTAGGGACTAATAGGTCGGTCTAATGGGTCAATGCCATTGTGCACTTGGGAACGTGTACCTTCAACATAAATATCACGAGAAAAAAAGCATCTCATAACGAGACCCTTTTATTAAATTTTAATTACAAGGAAAAAATCAATGTCGCTTTGCAACGTGTCACATGGGTATGTATAAATTATTCCTGCTAGGTTATCGATGTGTGCAGGGGCATTCGCAATAATCTCCCACCAGCTGCACCGCGTACGAGCTTTCGTCTTGCTTGCCCGATCGCGCGGCAGCCTCCAACCAGGACACGTTCACGTGTTTGACGGTCTTCGGGAAGTCCGTGAAATCCTTGTAAATAAAAAAAAATGAGGTCTTATAACTATACTGTTTCAGCGGATATTAGCGACATTCATCAGACAAATTTGAGAAATATCTTCTTTCATTGTCGGTGTGACAACCATACGAGAAAAGAAACCATTTGCTTTCGTTGTGTAATATTTTGATGCCTTTTTTGGAAAAATATGTATTGGGTGTGTGAATATGACTCCGCCCTTTTTTGTTAAAATAAAACACATTTGTTTGTTTAGAAAATTAAAGAAAAGTTTATTGAAAGTATGCTCCATCTGCAGCTACAACCTTCGCCCATCTTTCAGGTAATTTATGTATTCCTTGCCTGAAGAAGTCCTGGTCTTTTGAGCTGATCCAATTATCAAGCCAAATTTGGATACTTTCGTATGAATTGAACCGTTCTCCCATAAGATCTGACTGCATCGTCCGGAATAAGTAGTAATCTGAAAGAGCTATGTTTGGCGAATATGGCGGGTGGAGTAGCACTTCCCAGTCCTGTCCATCTAAATATCTTTTCACGACTTCTGCGGTATGCGGTTTGGCATTATCATGCTGAAGAATTAATTTGTTGTGCCTATTCACCCATTCTGGCCGTTTTTCTTCCATGGCTCGCTTCAAACGCATTAGTTGTCGTCGGTAAACTTCTCCTTTAATAGTTTCAGAGGGTTCGAGCAACTCATAATATACAACACCTCTCTGATCCCACCAAATACAGAGCATAACCTTGGCACAGTGAATATTTCTCTTTGGCTGTGATGGGCCGGGTTCACCTGACTTTATCCAAACTTTTTGGCGTTTAGGATTCTCATAATATATTCATTTTTCATCTCCCGTGACTATTCGATGCAAAAATCCTTTTCTTTGCTGTCTTTGAAGCAGCATTTCACAAATTGTTTTTCGGCGTTCGATGTCTCTTTCTTTCAAATCATATGGAACCCAGTTACCAACTTTTTGAATTATTCCCATTGCTTTTAAACGTTTTGCAACAGTTGATCGTTCAGCATTCAATGCTACAGCCAATTCGGATTGAGTTTGGCAACAATCCTCTGTCAATAATGCTTCCAATTCAGCATCTTCAAATTTTTTTGGTGGTTTCCCATGTTCTCTGTCCTCAGTTCCAAAATCATTACTTTGAAATCGTCGAAACCATTCCTTACAAGTTGTATTAGATGGAGCATGATCACCGTAAATCTCCATAAGCAAACGATAAGTTTCCACTGCACTTTTCTTTGCAATAAAATAGTGTAATAATACTTCCCGCAAATGATGTTTGTTTGGAACGAAAACCGACATTTTCAAGTAGGGTTAAACACTTGTTGCTTACACTTAAACCAAATTTCACGTAGTGCGTTTGAAAGTTGACATGAAGTACTATCGAATACAAATATTGCCAGTTATTAGTACACGTTTACAATACTAAAAGCAACATCTGTTGGGAAAGGGCGGAGTCATATTCACACACCCAATAACATGTAACGGTTGAAAAGTTTGTTCGTTCGTTCGTTCTTGTAGATCTTATATGATCTTATTTTTATATAATTCGCGCAACAATATACTATAATACTACTAGTGAAGCATCCTTTCTCACCTCCGCATTTCCACAGAGATGTCATCTCTTAATCAACGAGAATTGAACCGTTATATTTCATCGATTTCATTTCATTTTACTTCTGTCCCGGATAATTATACTGATACAACTCGTGTGATATATATTTTAAAATATTTTATGCACACGTGTGTGTGTGTGTGTGTGTGTGTGTAACTATTTTACTTTCGTTACTTTGATCTCTGCGGGATATATTTTTCTCTACTACCAACAAAAAGAAGAACGAGCTTTATTGGATTATTATTGAAACACACATATGGACGATAAGTACTGAAATCGGAACGAAATCGACCTGAATTATCGACGCGTTCGAGCTCGGCGCAAACGGCGGAAACGGAGCTCGCAAAATCGCGACGTTAAGTAGATCCCATACGTCATATATTTCCATATTTGCCGAGAGAAGAGAGAAAATTACGACGTGCAAACGACGGCCGGTAATTGGCACTGACGATTAATTGGGCTTGGCAATTTCCAGGATACGGAAAGTGCTAAACGTTGGGGCGGAGACAGTAATGGCCGTAGTATTAACCGCGGTTAATCCAGTTACAGCCCTCTGCTCTTGCCTTCTCTATCCTTCCGCCGCGAACACGTGTTAAACGTTGCTCTCGTCCAATTTTTCCAAGATCTTTTGCAAATATTTAAGCGATCAGGCCCATTAGTCCTTTGAAACGCGGCTGCGAGAAATATAAATACATGAAAGAAGGTTCCGGCTTGAAGTCAAATAGAAAACCTGATTCTCGATGTGATAGTCGCAGTAAATGTTTTACGATGAACTTTTCAAAATGAAGCTAGAAAAGAATTTAAAAGAGAGGAAATTATGTATTTTGAAAGGGAAAGATATATGTGGTTTTTTCCTTTGCATTCCGACAGTCATGTTTCGCGATGGGACATACGTGCATTTTATTAGAGAATGACTCAGAAACTCACCTCGAGGTATGTCGACGGAATTTCCGTGCGGGCGTGGATGACGTGAGTCGAGTTGAATCTATTCTTGTGCGTCACTAACGTAGCGCCGAGTCTAATGCCGACTTGTTAAGGAAAGTATCAGTTTAGACATTATGTGTGCTCGGCTTTAAGTCCACTTGGAGGGCCAAAGGGTCGAGGCCGTGGAAGATATGTTGGAGGTTTCGCAAAACGTTTCACAAGAACGAGAAAAATGAACATCCTTGTCTCGCGGAAACACGGTAACAGAGGAATGTTTTAGTCAGATACCCTTTAACGTAGTGGACAATCCCTTGCGGGATGAAGATGCTCTGCGAGTCAGACGCTCCGCGTCTGGCCGTTGTACAACCAGACCGCAAAAACGAGATCTGATTTCTATACTGTGTGTAGCTTAGTCGCCGCGTGCTGCGTATCTCGGTCGATCGTTAATTACATTGCATGAACGTTGAAACGCTCGAGATGCCGCTTATGCGGCGTTCTCACTGTGAATTCTCAAAGATTATGACGCGCATCGTTTTACGACTCTGTGCCACTTTATTAGCATAACGCTGGAGATGATGTTGCCCTACGAACTTCGATAAATCGATCGGAGAATTGAGAGGGCGATAGAGAGATTAACAGAATAAGAGGAAAGGGGAGAGAGAGAGAGAGAGGGAGGAGAAATGGGGACGATAAACATTTACGAAGTTATCGCGCGAACGCGCGACCTTCGTAAAATTATTGAGCTTTTATAAAATGTCGAGCGCACGAAGATAACGCGATTTGCGTGCGTAATTCGAGTACAGCCGAGCGTGAATTATCATCTTATAAAATGACGGAAAAAAAGAGGATACGTTCTGAGCAGCTTCCGCACGCCTTTCTTGGCGTTATCGTTGAAACCGGGTGCGAGAATCGCTCGAACATCCTCTAGAACAACAGCGTTGGATCCCTGAAAAGAAATCTCGCGGTAGAGGTGTATCCAGTGTCGCTCCAAGCAAACCGAGATACCCTATAACGATAATACGTCATTACTTACGTCGTTCTCGGCGTCCGAATCAAAAACACTTGTCTCTCCTGAGGAGGATTCTTCCGCGTCCATTCCCCCAGTCAGCTGATTAACGTAATGATCCTCCTCTGGCTTCTGTTTCTTCGCCTGCCTCGCCACTAAATCCGATTCCTTCTCCTCGTCCTCCTTTTTATTTTTCTTCTTCTTTCTCTCCTTCGTCTTGACTACTGTTAACGAAGGATCCTCTATTTCTTTTTTAATGTCACGCTCCACTTTTAATCTTTTTCTCTCTGATCGGACGCCCGCGATGCTGTCGGAGCTGTCATCGTGCTTATCCCTTTTTTGTCCCTTGGAGAATTCCTTGGAAACGTCCAGCGGCTCCTCTTTGATTTTGCATTTAAGTGCCGCGGAACTCGTGGACGGTTCGTCATCGAACCAGCTCGTTATCTTTTTCATTTTTTCGGGACTAGGCGACGTTTCCGGCGAGCCGAACGATTTTTTAGTGAGGATATCCTTGACGTCCAATGATCCTAGTAGAAGACTAAAGTCTACCGATTCGGGCTTTTTTCGAAAGAGCTCGCGCAACTCATTCAGTGTCGTAGCCGTGGACCAATTCTTGTCGTGACGGATACGCGTCACTCGCGGAAATCGGATGCTGATGCCATCGGCGGTGTGCACCCCTTGATTCGTGAACTCGGCCCCCGTTATCTCCCACACCGGCTGTTTCTACTTGGCCCAAATATCAAACAGTTAACGGCATCTGTAGCCGCATATATTCGTGTTTAATAGTGCGATTAATGCGAATAAACGCGAGTTAAGAAAAATAGAAAGAGAAAAAACACAAAATGGTGTTTGTATAAAAATATATATAGAAAGGGGAAGAGAGAGAGAGAGAAAGAGGGAGAAAAATAACACAGGCCGACATTTTTAAAACCCTGAGACAAGACTATACTTTCCCGAAGGTTTTCGGTCCGCTGAATCTGAATCCGGCAGCGGAATTGCTCCATCACATCAGATTTTCGAGATATTCTAATCTGAAAGTGCAAAAAACACAGTTTTTCGCTATATTCGGGGTTATATTACAATTGTGTGAATTAATTTTTCTCTACAAAACTCGTTACAGTATCTGAAAGTACTACTCTTCGCCTTCAAAATGCATTTTGAATTTTTCATATATCTTATTTCTTCTTGGAGATATCGTCTCTTGAAATTTTTTAGTTTGGCGTTTTCGTTACTACCTTACAAAAACAAAAAGAAGTTAATCCGGCAGGTGAAAGTTGTGTAATTATATGTTTTTTGGGAAGCTGAATCCGAATTCGTTGTCGGTTCAACCCCATGACCATCAGGTCATGGTTTGTCCCTAACCTCAAAAAATAATTGATCAAAAAAAGGCGAATTCGAAAATCTGTTTTTTGCACTTTCAGATTAGAATATCTCGAAAACCTGATGTGATGGAGCAATTCCGCTGCCGGATTCGGATTCAGCGGACCGAAAACCTTCGAGAAAGTATAATCTGGTCTCAGGGTCTGGAGTTTCGTAAAATTTTGTCGGCCTGTGTAATCATAGGGAGATTTAAGTGATGGAAAATCGTAAATATAAAGCAAAATATTTAAATCGCTAATTGTCTCCTGAAATTGGTTTGTACGAATACCGAGATCGTTAGACAGTTGATATTGCAATGTACGGAAATTGAAAAATTCAATTCAGATACTGAGAGGATTTCTGAACAAGATTACTCCTATTAAAATAGTTTTATCCGTAATGAGATTTTCATCTCAAAAGTGGAACGTTGGGCGCCAATAAGTTAATTCGGTTAATTAGTAGATTAGTTACCTTGGGATCTTTCGCCACAAAATCTGGTACCATGGGTTTCTTCGCCAGTAACCAGTCCGGCAGTTTTTCCGTGTCCTTGCCTATTTTCACCATGTCGAGCTCGTTCTGGAGCGCAGCCAACGTAGCATCGTCATGTCCGGTGTGGACCTACCGCGAATGACGAGACGTGATGTAATTTCTATCCCGCGAATAGCCGAAAGTCAATTTAGCGTAACTATTATGTATATTTACTTTCGTAACAGTCAACCACTTATCACTCTTCTCGTCGTAGCAGCCCATTAAGAAGATCGACATCATACCACCTGTGAAAATTAGGATTCGAAAAAAAAATACTTTCAAAATAACAGGAAGACCCCAGAAATTATGAAATTGGCGCGCAAAGCGATATTTTGAGTTAAAAAAAACAAGAGAAAAATACTGTCATAATAAAATATTTCACAACAGTATGGAAAACACTTTTGAGAAAAAGAATAAAAAGTAAGAGGCAATAAGGTGGACGAATCTTGATAAGAAAAAGAAACTGTCTAAGAAACCGTAAGCATTTCTTTTTAAATTAAGAAGATACGTCGAAAGAACGAAGAAGTCTTATCTCAATTGATAAGAACTATCGCACGGTTTTTCGCTTTCGACGAGTTTATTTGACAGGCACGATAAACCTCTTGCGTCAATTTGATAAAATGTCGCGGATGGTACGGACCTTTGTTGCCTGTGCCGTACCATGCTCCAAGTACGACGAGATCTGCGCTATCGGCCATCGCGCCGCCGCACAAATAGTCCTTTTTTACCTTCAGCCAGTGTCGCTTTCCAGGCTCGTATTTGCTCTGTGGAAGCGCGTTTTCAATATATATATCGCTTTAGGATTCAAAAGGATGAGACGACGGCACGTTTCGCAAGAAAAGAGATTCACGAGAAAAAGTGCGGCATAAGAATTTGGATAAATCCGTGATTACCGGAAATTACAAATAATCTCCGATGTGATTGAAAATAATAAAACGAATGATCATTCACATAATTCTCGGCGATTATTTATTAACGCCATGAATTATTATTCGTGAACGTTAAATTATCATTAAGCATGAAGTTCTATTATTCATAATCGTCTATATGATATTCGAGCATATTCAATGATCAATACGTACATTGATATCTTTCAAAACCAATCCCTCGAGACCCTGTTTCAACACTTTGACAATCATTTTTGTCAAATCCTGCGGATCCTGAAACAAAAGACGAATCGTGACCCGCAATAAGATACTTGTATCGTAAATGTAAATTATTAAATCTTTTCTTTTTTCTTTACATGCACTTCATGAACTTCCGACAGCATTATTCTGTTCGGTATCTCGGTTATCCTGTCTCTCAAGATTCTTCTACGCTCCGACATAGTTCTGAAAAAGGACAAGAGAGGAAAAATCAATTGTATCTGGGATGTAAAATTATCACATATTTAAATATACATATATATATATATATATATATATATATAATTAAAACAAAAAAGAGTCACATCATAAAATATTTTTGAAATACAATATTTACTTATTCATTAGTATTTCGCCGTTGTAATACAAACAATCGAATACAAACAGGCATACGTTAGCATTCTTGAACTTGGCTTTCTGCAAACAAGCTCAATGAGATATTTAATCATCATCACTTTTATATAACTGACTCGTTCTTTTTTTACCTTGTGTATTCCTAAAGTACCGAAAGGCAACGGTTGGCCCGTTTCATTATCAACCATGAGGATCTCAGAATCGAGGATCAAATCGTCACCGTCGGGAAATGCTCGCGCTATATAATCCTTGAAGAGATTTACCTAAAAAAATTAATTATTCCAATACCTGAAAAGCAACTTTCAGAAGCCGGAGTTCGAAAGAAATTGAATCGTGATATTGGCTTCGTTCTCTTGATTTTGTCGTTGATGTTGATCATCTACCTTATGTGGCATGACTGGCTTAAGAGATCTGCTAAAGTAACGAAACTCGTTGCCGCTCTTGTGCACCTGCACGCGCTCGCCGTCATATTTGACCTCAGATAACATCCCGTTCGGGCACTTTCGCATCGCCATTTCCACGGATGTGCACGCTTCCGCCTAATAATTGCATTAATTGGACGATAACGACAAGTGGGATTATTATCGATTAAGTGATTCGCACTTGTCACTTCTTAATGAGACATTATCTGTTATTATCTATCTTGTGTCTCAACTTTTCTTTTGTTTTTGCCTTCAACTTTTGAATGCAATATAAATCTTCCTTATCCAAATAATATCCAAATAATAAATATACTGAAAATGAAAACAATAACGATGTACCAGCATAGGCAAGACGGGCGTCATTAGCGAAAGGGCTACTTTATCGCAACTTGAAGAGGGCGAGCCCGAGATAGATGATTTATCCTGATCCTTTAAATCAGGCCAAAAACGCCGTACCACCGTTTCCAAATCACGTGACATTTGAAAGGCCTTGTACGCGTCCTCGTGGATTCCTTCCAGACTAAACGTAAGCAATATAACGTACGAGCGATATATTATTATTACCATTGATTCGGCTGGTAGAGGTAAACTAGGGTTAAAGGTACAGGTGTTAAACACTCACATGTGTTTCGGACCGGCATTGATACGCAGATCGTGCTTAACCAGACGCACGATCATCTTGAGGTCGTTTGCGGTGCATCTAGAATAATGACGATAAATCGAAACGTGTAAAACATTGAAAATGCAGATGAGATGAAGTAAGTGGCGACAAATTAAACGCGATCGACTTACTTATCAATGACAGTTCGGAAATGTTGGATTTGTTCCTCTTCTTTGGTTAGGTGCGACAGTCTTTCCAAAAAAAGGTCAACCTAATCGTAAAATATTTCATTAACCAACATGGAGAGCGGAAGCAGGTCTCCTCTCTCGTTGACAGTCTTTATTCTTTTTTTGCTTTATTATTTTGAAAAGAAAGAAGCACGTAAACTTTGTCAGATTTATAGTTTGGATTTCTAGCATCCTTCCTTCGTTAGATTAATTAATGTTCTGTATAGTTTTGTAATATAACGAATTGTTTTGTCGTTTATTTCATTTTATGTCTCATTTTTCTATTGACTGGTTCGTTTATTTTCTCGATCGCTTTGCGATTAACCGAGTTTCGCAGAGACTTACGTCTTGGATCGTCAACACACTCTTGGCACAAGGCGACACGGCGACGCTGTTCTCAAAGAACACACTGATCGTCTCAGCTACGTCGCCCTGCTCCAGATGCTCTAACATCGAGTCCTCATCCTGAAGCAACAATCGCGCAAACAGCTTTATGAGCTGCTTGCTCTGCAGATTGTAAATTCTCTTTACAGCGCCGGGTAGCAACAGTTTACACCAGAGTACGACGTCGCCTCTAAAACCGTCTGGGGAAGAGACCAAGTAGAGAAAAAAAATAATTGTCTGTTCTTCAAAGTGGTTCAAAAATGAAGTCGCACCGTACTTAAAGTTTTTATTAAGTGCAGTTAAAAATTTTAATTTTAATTTAAACTTAACTTATAGTGCATTCGTCGAGATAAAATTCGAGATATATTTATTTATTTATTCATCGTCCATCGACGGTATCAAAACTTATGCCAGCAATCAAGAAATTGAAATGAAGTTTGTACGCGCCAGAAAATCGGTTACGAGAGGAAACCTTTCATCGTCCGACCTGAAATCGACGTTTCGCGATTGAGTTTACACGGACGACGTTTCAGCATGTCTATAAGTATATTCGGCAATTCAACAAAACGTACGACGCACGCCCAAACTCTCGCATGAATCCCACATCTAGATGGACACATACAGTTTACGAACGTGCACTTATTTATTAAACATCCGATAAATCTGTCAATATAGTCCCTTTCCCTCTCGCTCTTTTAACAGTGGTTTAATCATGACATCAGGAAAAAAAATATAAAAACGATAAGAATTATGTAATATAGCGTGCAACCATTGCACGCTATTGTTGGATTAAAGCCGGACCGATTTTTCTCAGCCTGGCAACAACCGGTTTGCCTGCATTTTGATAATTACATCGACAACGAACGAACGACCAATAATTAATCGTTAGTTCATAATTGAGATAAATTCCTCGTGAAAAAGCACACGACGATGCGCGAAGAATTTCGCATGAATTGCGTTCGAGATCCTCAACATCATCATCATCGGCGAAAATAGAGCAGCCGTCTGCGAGATTTGAACACAAAGTATGCGGCTTTTAAGCCGCACACATGCTCACGATCCGAGATCCATTATCACCGACAATCGATGTTGATTCGAGCGGTCGTCGCGCGACACAAGCGGATCTTTCTCTTTTTCTCTCTTCGGGGTCTTTGAAAGTGCGTTTGCTCGCGTGTACCGTTGCGAACACACGCAAATGATTTTTAACACGCGGATCATGGCACGCAAGATTCACGCGCACACAAGAGATGATTCTCTCTCTTTCTCTCTCTCTCTCTCTCTCTCTTTCTATCTCTTCTATGCTCGATCGAAACGGCACGACCGCGTGTGATTCGTAAATAATGGTGCCCAAGAATAGAGAACCGGGAATCCGAGTCGGCAGCCCCGTTTCTTCGCGCGTCGTGCGATTGCGTTCACCTCCTTCGCCCGGCCGACTTTTCTCTTTGATCCTTCGCGAAAAAAATATCGTCGGAGCCAAGGCGCGTCGCAAAAAGCGACGATTACACGAGCGTACAGGCGCCGCATGGTCCCGCGACCCGACACCGTCATCATTATAGCAATCATCGGCTCGGACACACGAATATCGCGTATCGTTTCCACATGATACTCAACCGCCCTATCTTTCTCTCTCCCTCTCTTCTCGATGATTTTTGTATCGCGACAATTCCGTCAGGTCGCGACGTCACGCAAGTTCGTTCGTCAAACGCGAGATAATTCTCACACTCGATCGGACAAATTAACCCTTGGGTCACTCTTCTCCCCTCCTGTTCAACACAGTGCTTTTCCCTTAAGTAATATTTCACCGGGACTTGTGATCAAAGAGATATCATTTTGCAGACAGAAATTGAATTCCGCTTCCTGATGCAGGCGTTAAAAGTGCGTATTCTCTCTTCGCTTCTTCTCCTACTTCAATTATCTAATTAATTGCGATTGACGTAGCCGGTCCGGCGGTTTCGAGTTAAGTCGTGGGCGTTTCGTCATCCACGCCGACAACCCAAAATTAAGAATGAGGTCATCCGAGAATCGCAGTACCATTTGTCGGTCGGCGAAAGTTCCGCGAGCGGTCATGTCCGAGAAAGAAGTTGAATGATCGCGTTGGCGTACCACGTGCTCCAGTTGCACTTTCATCGATAACTGTCGATGCGATAATTGTGCGAACTGCTTGCATAAATTCCTCGAGTTTACTATTTGCGCGTCGCTCATCGGCCATAAAATTGGTAATGTTAGCTCGCTGTCGGACGTCGTTTTAAGCGGCGAGTTTTATCGTCGGAACAGAGATATCGAAACGAAAGAGAGAGAGAGAGAGAGAGAGAGAGAGAGAGAAAGAGAGATGACTGCGCGACATATACATCACCGAAACGCCGTTCATCGTTCGCCGTTCATCGACGGTGTCATCGTTCGAGACAGGGAGAAAAAAGATAATATAGCAAGCGGGAGAAAAATAAAAAAAGTCGTCGATGTAAATCACATGGGAACGATATGCGAACAAGTGCGTCCGTCTTGCCCTAGTGTAGAGCAACGCGTCGCGTCGTAATATCGCCGCGATATCGCGACATCGTAATATCACGAACGCTATCGTAATTGGTTGAGCTGCAAAAAACGTGATCATTCAGCTCCGCGGCGACGAGCGGCCGCGAGATCGCGTGAGGAGAGAGGGAAATAGAGAATGATAACGCTTTAGCTGGACCGGCCGCGAGAGAGGCAAGAGCCGCGGACGAAGGAGAACGGAGGTGGAGAGATAAAGACGAAACGAGAGGAAAAGAGGCGGAGATAGTCTGGAGCCAAGCTGGCTAACGTTCACGATGAGAAGGGGCTCGCCGTGAACGTTCGCCGAAGGAGCAGAAGCGCGATTAGGGGTGGGGACGTGCGAGTTTATAAGACACGCGGCCTCGTCGCCGAGAATCGATAGTTGCAAAACCCAAGTGATCGCGAAGTGTACAAAAAGCAAAAATCAAGCAAACGAAGGAAGAGGGAAACAGAGAGGAAGAGTCGAGAAAGGCGAGAAAGAGAGAAAGAAAAAAATATCGCGCGGGAATACGAGGCTGTCTCTCTCTCTCTCTCTCTCTCTTTGCTTCGGTGATTACTTAAGTATCACTAATCTCCGGCGAATCGAATGTGTATATAAGGACGGATCGATCTTTTCTTCGCGCTTCTATTTCACCGACCCGCCTGCGTGTTGTACAACACCAGCCCGCAAACGATCGACAATTGGAGTGATTCGAAATCCAAGGATCGGAAACGAAAAGCGTATTCTCTCTGATACGCTTGATCTCGAAAGGGAAAGAGAACGAGATAGAGTACAGAGTAGGGAGAAAGAGAGAGAGAAAGAGAGAGAGGATCATCTCAACCCTTGCGACAACAACAGTGAGTATAGACAGTTTTCGTGAAGGTCAATCTAGCCGACTCCGACAGAGTACAAATGCTGACGATCGATTTCAAATCCCGAAACTCCACAGCGCGAGATTTATAATTAAATCGATTAGATTAGAAAGGCTAATCCGAGAGAACACTAGATCGTGCTAGTAGACGTTGCTGGAGGTCGGCACACCGACACACAACGACAACGTTTCTGCAGGGTCTACGATTCGTTCGCACCGAGGGTCGTGCTTCCCTCGCGGATCTTCCAGGACGAGCTTCCGCGGATTTCACGGTGCTTTGTAACGGTTCTTTTCCTCTCTTTCTCCCTCTCTCTCTCTCTCTCTCTCTCTCACTCTTTCTCTGTCTGTCTGTCTATCTATCTGTTCGTCTCTCTTTCTCTCTTTCGTTGCCCGGCCAGATAACCCCGTAAAAATCTTCCATTAAGTGGCGGCGGCGGCGGCGGCGACCACTCGCTCGCGGTGTGGATCCCATTCGCGCGTGCTCGAGTGATTAATGGTTTCCTTGTATCCGATTCCGGTATCATATTTACTAACCGCCGCCCCCGGGTCTCGCCCCTTCACCCCCGGAGAAAACGCGTACGCACGCGAAAGAGAGAGAGAGAGAGAGAGAGTTGCGCGAAAAGAACGCGAATTCTCGCGAGGAAGAGCGATAACGGCACGAAAGATCGCAATGGAATGAGAAATAAAACAATGCGAAAGGGAACGACCGGCGGCCACCAAAGGGGTGTCAGAGAAGTGGATCTTGTGTGGTGTTTACGCAGACGAGAAGCGAGCACATTCGATATCCCCATTGATGGGATTGGTTAATATAATAGTCGCGGACCCGCGCAACTTCTCTGCACTGGTCTCTCCTCCTCTTCGCCCTCGTTTTGTTTCTTTGCATTGCACGCGACGACGACGAACGCGTACGAGGCGATGCGTGATTCATTCTGGTTTATTCCTCTGTCTCGTGGAAGTTAGCGATATTATCCTGCCTCTTCCCTTCTCCCCGTTTTCTTTTCTTTTTTCTCGCGCGTGATCCCTGGCCTTGAAGATTGCCTTGTCTTCCCGCTTCGACACCTGCATACTGTCTCCGTTTGACATGTCCGTCGTACATTTTTTTTATTTCATTTTACTTTTTACAACTGACGCAAAGCGCATTTGCGTGCACTTTTCTTTGCTTTTGTTTAACGCTTTCTCATGGATATTTGGAATAACATCGTCGTGTATATTTGTCGATTTTAGCTTATCATCTATTTGATGCATTATTTTTTATTATTATTTACATATTATTTGTTATCTGATATTTCGTTATTACCGCCAACTCAACAAAAATTCAAGCATATATTATAGGAAAAAAAGTTGAAGCCACTCTAATATGATATTTTATTGTTATGTTTAATATTATTATGATTATTTGTGGACAGATTAAACGAATTAAAATTTTTCCTTCTGATTCTTGTGAATTCCCGTCGTATCGCGAAATAATGAGTCATTTGGGACATTAACATTTTATTTATTTCCCTGACTAATTATTTGTATTAAATCCCCCTATCTGCGTGCACCAGCCTATCACCGCTGGCGTTTATAAGCTGGTACAAATATGTACCGTACGATCGTTCGGAAAGATACTCGTTCTGATCCCCTTTCTTCAAGCGTTATTTATCTGCGTTTACCAATCTGGATAATCACCGAAACGGTCGGAAAGTCCCTCGTCATAAATCATAAGAGAATTTGATACTCGATGATGAGACTACGTTATAATTGCAGAATATCGCTATCGTATATAAACCGATTTCGACAGAAGTTTCAACGATTGTCTAAAAATACATAACGTTACCGTTATCAGTGCCAAGTTAATTCATGTTTCCGGCTGGACTTGTAAATAATTTTACCATAGGTCGTCGAAGTGTATGCGGACTCCAAAACGATTACCGTCTTGGAAAAGTTATTCAAAAAAAGTTGTACATCTCATAAATATTGAGAAAATTAAACATATAATAAAAAAAGAGAAAAAATATCAAGAATAACTTCATATTTGTCCCTTAATTCTGCTTAATTTTATGAATTTTACCAATTTAACGCATTATTTCTTATTATTTATACATTATTCGTTATCTGATATTTCATTTGATATATCATTTGTTATATTTTCCTGATTGAAGAATCTGATTATTCATAGAGGTGTTTTCAAGATGAAATAAATTGCATCTACCTCCTGTAATCATCCTGTAAAATTTCGCGAATTTTTTCGTGTATCAAGAGGTTCCTTTCATAATGGATATCTTCCATCGCGGATTTGACACGTGGAATCGTTAATAAAAATTTCGATATCGCGCAACATTCTCGCGTCTGTTCACCCGACAGACCGATCCGACCCTTGTCGTCTCGTCGTTTCTAACTGTCCGCAAAAATCACCGACGTCTCGCGAGAATTCTGATTAATACAGCACTTACCAAATGTCCCCTGCTGCTCCAACGCGGATGTATTATTCTTTCGCTCTCGCTTTTGTGCGAAGAAAAAATAACAATGATAAGACGCAGCGCGATCTTCCCTCATAATTATTCTATCGCTATCGAGGGTGGTCGAGCTCGATCGTCGTGCGATTTTGTAATAACGTCATTGAAACGAAATTCTCAAACGAAACATACGAAGAAAAAAAGGAATAAGGATATGATGAAGGAGTAGATAGAGATATTTGGCAATTGTCAAAGTTTTCTTTTCGCTTATCAAGGTTAGCAAAACATTGTTGACATCGGTGTTAACCTCCACGTCGGAAGTTATCACGACCGTTACCAAATGTACCGAATGTGCAGACGAATTGATTGATTGTACCTCGTCAATACAACGCTTGCGGCGAGTACGACGTGCGCTCTTTTCAATGTGACAATATTGCTTGCATTTTCGTCCGAACTCTAAAACGCAAACTGGCACCGCATATCGCGATTCGCGCTATCAAAGAGAGAGAGAGAGAGAGAGAGAGAGAGAGAGAGAGAGAGAGAGAGAGAGAGAGAGCGATACACTCGCGCGGAAATAAATAGAAAATGTAAAATTCAGACGGCACAATCGGAGAGAAAGAGAGTTATCTTCTTCTCGGAATTTTCCACTAAACCAACCGAGCGTGAATCTCGTAGAGAAGAAAATTTATTCGCATTCACGACTCGTGTATATTCACTTTGTCTATTTCATCCCTTCTCGCAGAAGCAAAATAGCATCGCATGCGCAAATCGAGCGCATTCGAATTAATCGCCGTACAAATAACACGACTATAATATTTGCGACACGCGTTTGAATAATAGGCGCACCGTAAATAACGTAAACGGCTTGCGCCTACGATCTTCCCAAGATTCCGTTTGATTCAGCAGCTCATTACTACCCCATTCGAACGTTCTTCAGCATATACGTGAATGCATGCGAGTTGCTTTGTCTGCATACTGTTAATTCCGTTATTAACATTACAAGGGTACTTACCACCCTGCGTTCTCCGCGTGAACATCTTCCTGATGATCGCAGTCTTGTCGGTATAAGCGTCGACGTCGGCGACATTGCTGCACACGCGTCGGAATTCGCGGAACGAGTCATCCTTCGACGGTACCTTGCCCTTTGCTCTCTCGTCTTTGCATTCATCCTTCCCTTTAGTCTCGTTTTTCTCTTTTTCGATAGTCGCGGTCTTTTTAGCCTTCTGATTCGAATTTTTGTTCGCTACCGCCCGCGAGGATTCGCCCGCAGCTTTCCGCAGTGTTGCAGTTTTCTTTGCATCCTTGGCCGGAGCTGGAGAGGAGAAAAAGAAGATCAACATGTTTAAGACTGCGGATGCAACATAGATAATTAAAAGTATCGTCACACGTGACAAGACGTTTCACGCTCGCATCATTATGTTGAAAATCACTCCGTCGGAGCGAAATGTAGAATAACGTGATACTGTAAACTTTCAGCGATATCGATGAACTTTTCCAGTTTTCCGAGCATGACGGTCCCTTCTAAATCGGGCTCTTCGAAAGTTACCGTTGTAAAACTCGCGCGAGGGAGAAAACTTATTAGAAGTCGAGCAAGTTTCGCAGGAAGGGGAAAGCCGGAAAACCTTTGAGCGACCTCTCGCCTACGATTACCGCCCAACTGTAGATCGCGTAACTGTTCTCGAGATAACATCCGCGACAAAGAGCTCGACGATTATCACCATCGAGGCGAGAGAGTTAATTGATTCTCAGCCCGATCATTGCGAGGAAATCGCGCGAGGGTGGCACGAAGTTTCGCGCCGATTATCAATCGGTAATCGAAGCTCAGCATGGCACTCGTGTGCATGCAAATAATTACAGGATCTCTCGAGCTCCTCCAGTTTGTCCAGGACGAGCTGCTTGTCCTCGTCGGACAATCGCTCCCAGCCCTTCACGTCCTTCTCAGGATCCTCGATTCGCTTGGTCGTGGCCCGCTGCTTGGCGAACACCTCGATGATGCAGGTCACGTGGTGCCATGCCGGCATCAGCTTGCCGTCGAAGAAGCTCACCACGAGCTTCCCGATCCGCAACTCGTCCTTTTCGATCGTGCATTTACACTTCTTGCACTTGGCGCGTCCGCTCTTGGCGCGCTCCACCACGAAGGATTTGTCCTGTTCCCCTTCCGCCTCTTCAACATCGCTCGACATCCTTCACCTGCCGCTGCGATCGGCTCCGACCGACACCTTTGTATGCACCTTTGATCAATCGCGATGTGTGCGTTACACATTATATCGGATTTTATCTCCTTCCGCTTTTGTCACCCTTCCCTTGCCCGCCCGCTCTTTTAGATGCTTGCGCTATTTGAAGACGCGTAACCAAAGATCCGCCGACGCGAACCCGCGATATCCTCGAGTACGGTAATTAAGCTTTGCATTAGTTTCACTTACAATCGAGCTCTCTCTCTCTCTCTCTCAGTCTCTCGCTCGCATCTCTGCGCAAGCCAGCTGCCGCAAAGTGAAGCGCGTTGGCTGTCGCAGTTGCGTAAGCCGTTGTAATACTCACGCATACATGCACACAAGAATAACGTAAGTAAATGTGCGTGTACGGAGAATATTAGGTGAATTATTTTAAATCGATGCACACACACACATACACACATACATACACACGACGGTGGGACAATTCGTGGAAGATTTACGTCGCAAGAATGCAACTTTGTCTCATCGTCTGATTTGAATTTTCGCGTCGCAGAACCGCGCAGAACTGTGAGCGTGGCGAAGCACTATGAGATTATACGTATCGATAAGATTAAGCTCTCGTTAATCTCGAATGAATCGATCCCAGAATATCATGGAAACACATCTCCCGACAGCATGGCGGGGTGATTGAGTGGGAGCTCATTGCGTCGCTTACACTGCTAATGAACGCTCGAGTCTCTGTCTTGAAGATTTCCCAAGCATTTAAATCGTACGACAAACGGAATCGATATCTTTCGAAAGAGGAGCATGCTTGAAGGATTCTCCAGGAATCTTCGGACAGTTCCGAGGATTTTGCGTGGCTATTGATAACGGATCATAGTGAACTATATATGCAGATATAAAGAAAACACAAATACGCTCATATGGATTATATTACGACAGTGATTGACCTCTTAGAGACCTTTTTTGAAAACATTCAAGATTATCAACATTCGAGATCTTCGAGGCCTTGGAGATTCTTGAGAATTTCTGTACGGAGAAAAATATCAGAAATATCCGATTGTTAATTTTGTTATCCGATCAAATATCCGATTAAATACACCGGATATTTGATCGGATAACGAAATTAACAATCGGATATTTCGGATATTTTTCTCAGTGTGCGTTTCGAATGCTTTAAGCGAAATGAAAAATTGAGACTCTCGTCTCGTATAATAAAGAACGACTCGACGTAGCGCCGCTACGTCGTGATGAGCGATCAGTACATCGTGAAGCACAAGACAAGATAATTTCAGAATTGCGCCTCACTCGCGGATCGAATGATCCCGCAGCGAAAGAGGAGCTTTATTGCATGTCGTAAAAAATCTTCACCGAATCTCGATAACCGTCCCCTCTGCCGTTAACCGATCGCCCTCCCCGCTATATGCGCGGCGATAAGAAGCGTGGGCTCCTTATCACGGTCTTACACCACCACCAGCCTGCGACGTAGGACCGAACATGCTAATCTAATTTTAAACATTCGCTCATCGGCATAATAATCTCCCACGATGTGCACGTATGAGCCACAGTAACGTTACGACAGATCGTAGAAGGGCGAAGCACCTGTTTCGAACGAGATCAGAGCAAGAAAAGAAGGAAACCGTCGGAAAACTTGGAAGTTTGGAGTAAAGCATTGCTTTCGCATGCTTGGAGATAATCCGCCGGCTATCAAATATGAAAACCTGAATCGACGGTGAACATTTACGAATTGATACGCATTTGTTGCGATCGACGTTCATTTTACGAAAAAATATTTATCATTAATATATTTATTTGAAAATTTTTAATTATTAAAGATATTTATCATTAAAATATTTATTTAGCGATCTTTATCATTCAGTCCCGCCGATTCAATGTTAAATCGAGAAATTTAGCGGAGAATCGTGCTGGGAGATCGTGTTAATTAAACATTCGTTAAATGAAACGTTCCGAAACGTGCGAAACACTTAGTTTTCGGAAATGGCACAAGGGAGAAGGTGACTCGCGGCCAACCTTCTTCCGCATCGCCTCGCGCCTACAGGTGGTAGATGAAGAGAGGTGTGCCTTGATAGTGCGCGATGGATAGAGGCGCGGCGGGTGGAGGCGGATTCCGCGTCGGGTATAATAGAGGGTGCAGCAGCCCTTCTCTGCTCACTCTTTCACCACGTGTCGACTCGTCGACAACGCAGACGGTAGTCGGTACGCACGTTCACGGTGCACGATAACGCGTAGTTCCACCAGAGTAAGTTACATCGCGCGTTGAAGAGCCTATTTCCTCCGGACATCACACTGAATCCACATGTTTGAGTCAATTAAGTGGCAAAAATGTTCCCTAAAGTGACGCATATCATGCGTAATTAATCTTGTTTCTTAATATGAGATTTGAGATGGGGTGGGTTCTCTTCGTGACACTTTTAACATCTGATTTGCATCGTCAAAGAATGTGGACTTAGGATGAACTGAAAATAAGCTCTCTCCCTCTCTCGACTGTATGTGACATCGGACGTCTTTGATTCGTTAAAAGCGATAGAAATTAGAATACAAGGAATTTTAATCGCAGAGCAATTATTCTTCTTTCCTAAAGGTGCCGGGCGAAATTCTCGCTAATTCTCATGGAATATTACAGTATTACAATATTATTAAATTATTATACATTAAATTTTCTTCTTGCTTTCAAAAAGAGATTTGCCGATTAATTGCCGGTTAAACATTATACGAATCCTCAGCTGACTTTTCTAATTGTATTCAGATGACATAATAATACCAGAGCTAGATATCACGCTCGCGATATCACACGTTCTCGCGGCGTATCACTTTTGTAGAGCATTTCTAATATTAATCGGACAACGCTTCAAGTCCTCTGCGAGCCTCTACGCGCAACGAATCCGCGAATTGCTTTCTAATCGTTTTGTTTGCGCCATGCGCTCTTGTGGTGTGCATCGTCATCATCGCCGTTATCTCTGGTCATTGAAAATTGTGGCGAAATCGATTTAGAATCTATAAATTATCGTTAAACGCGACCTGTCTCGCTCGCCAATGCAACGAGATCGCAACAGGCTCCGTTCAGTCGTACTCTTCTTCATCATATAACTATTTATTTTATCATTATTATTATACATATTGTCATTTAAAGTTGTCACTTATTTTATAATATTTGTTTTATAATGTCACTACATTTATAGTTATGTCATTGTTACATATGATTATTCTTGTATTATTATTATCGCCGCTGTTGTTGCTGTCCCCGGTATTTTGACCCGCAATGTAACAAAACACGGACTCTCTTTACTCCTCGCACGGAATCGAAATCCTCAATTGCGCCGCGTCACTTATCCGCAGATACGCGCCGTTCACAACTCCGTTTTTGCTGTTGTTATCATTATTGTTATAAGTACATGTTACATGCGTGACACTTGCGCATCTGACAATTTTGTTTTCGATAATTCACCGCTCGTCTCATTACGATTCTGTCGGTTATCACGTGACGAACACCGTCCGCCGCGAGTCCGATACGAGTCTATCATCGCTGAAAGGATAATCCGCGATGACCCCTTGACGCGCGGCGAATGCTCAGACCGTGCAAACTCGCCCGTTTGTCCCGATTTGTCTGCTTTCGTCTCGTCTGGTCTTCATCTCGATCACACAAAGCCGAATCCGAACGCCGCTCGCACCCGAAGGTCCTGTTTCCAGAGTAAATGCGAGGATGACGCGCATACTCTTATCTCGTACCACGGCGAGAAACCACGTACGAAAGGTCACAATGCATAATATTATCTCTACGACAATGTTTCTCCTACCTCTTTCTCTCTCTCTCTCTCTCTCTCTCTCTCTCTCTCCCTCTTCTCTCTATCAATGTCATTACTTGTAGCGAGAATTAATACACGCGACTCGCGCGCACGCCCTTCGTCTTTGTACCTTTCCGACTTGTTCGATCCTAAGAACTAGAAACCCTGTTGCAGACAGAATTCCGTCGAGAATCTAAAATCGTTACATTAATTCAACAAATCTTTTTTCTCAGGGTGGTTCATTCGTGAGAGTGACGTTTTTTTTTTTCTTTTGACACGATTAATTTCCAGGCAGCTAAAGCCTCGTTTCTTTCGCGGAAATCGATCGATCGGCGTTGATTCAGCAAAAGAAAGCGCAGCGAAAGATTTCTTGATACTCGCGCACGCGTGTCGTCACCTGTGTATGTTCAATGCGTTTTAAAGGCGCAGGACGTTTTTGCTTCGCAGAGTGCACGAGGTACGACGGGAATGACGGAGAGGGTGAACGCCATTGGAACGAGCTTGCGTCTGCTGGCACTGGTCTGGCTGTCCTGCGCCACCAGGTACAAGTTCTCCGCAGTCGCTCAACCGTTACCCTTGGCACCGGACTTCACGTATGGGGATCTCGTTGCGGGAGATCCAGAAAGTCTCGTGAGTATACATCTCATCTCGTCCTGTGCTCGCGCTCATGGAAGAGCAGCAGCCTCCCTATTCGTCCCCATTCGACTCACTCGACTCGTCCTCGTAGATGCTGCTGAACCGTCTGAAGCAAGTGACGGAGCAGAAGCATCGAGTAGTCGAGCAGGAGCACGAGATCACCGACGAGCAGATAAATATCGAGGCGATGCTGCAGGCGAAAGCGATGGAACAACAACGCGGTCAGACGGACTACCCTGTGGAGGAAGCGGAACCAGAGCCGGAACCGGAGCCGGAAGCGCTGCCGGTGCCCGCGGCGATGGTCCACCGCGGTCAGCAGCAGCCGACGTCGGGCAAACGGAAGCCAAACAGCGGCGTCACTTGTAAGTATACCTTCTAATACTTGTGTCTTCCTCAAGGAAGAGAAAATCGCCGTTACGCCGATTCGTCCGCGTACGCGCTGTTATCGTTTAAGTTCTCCAGAGGACGCTCGTTAATTCGTCGTTAATTGGATCTCACGGAGCTGATAACGCTCTCCGTGAGAGAAAAAATGAGATAAATCTCCCTCAGAGGTGTACAGTACTCGTAAATGTAAAAATAGACGAAAGATGTTTAATCATCTAATCGAGAAACTTCTTTCAAGACCCTCCTCGATAGTTCTACTTGAATATCTTACAACTAGAGCGAGAAATGAGAAACTAATTAGAAAAATCAATGATCTAATTCGAATTCTAAAAGAAGTCCGAGACAACGGACAGCTTTCTCGACTTACAGATAACTCGTGAACTATTTTGTCAAAAACTTCCTCCTTCAATACTGATCTCGTGTACCTGCGACTGTCATATGCAATCGGATGCATTCGGACGGTGCTCTCGCTTTCTCAATGAACAAATTTGTATCGGTGATACAACGAACATATCTTCTTGTTTCTGCGCACTAAGATAAGAAAAGGAAGCAGAAGACAGAAAGGAAGCAGATAACAGAGCGTTGAACAGAAGCTACAATGAAGTTCGTTTGCGCATTACAAAGAAAGCGCGAAAAATAGGAGAGTCTCGGACGTTCTCTCTTTGTATGTTCATGTTAAATTGGTAACATTAATTATGCTTCAATTGCTTTACTTTGCAAAGCCACGGGAAGAATCGGTGTCATGAAATCTCTTTCTCTGTGCGATCGCGAGGGCAACCGACAACATTAATATGGCCGATTGTGCACAGTATACGCGTATTAATATATATATATATATATATATATATATATATATAAAGGGAGTTGCGTTCGATCAAAGAGGATCAAACGATTTATTGAAACAATTGCCGCGTGACGCATCACGCGTCGCACGTCTCTCGATTAATTCCTCGTACGATTAGAGTCCGAAAATGTCGAGTCGATCTCGCCATGGCGAAAATCGTCCAGCAGCAATGCTCTCGGAGTTCTTTTGCGATTATCACAGAAAGAATTAAATTCGAAATTGATACGATATACAAATATAATTAAATCACGAAGTTGGTACGATATAAATTTAATTAAATTGCGAAATTGATATAATATAAATCGTAAAGTGAAATTTCTTAATCGAAGTCAGATGAACTTTACTTTCGCGAGATACATCGGCTTTTAATGACAAAATACGATACGAAAGGAATGGAAAGTCACGACAAATTATAAATTAGTTTCTTCGTCTTTTTGAACTTCTCGTTAAGTCGTTCGTTTTTCACACGTTTCATTTCCTGACCTTTACACTTGTCGTAGCTATCAACATTGTTATCATTTTTATTGCGGCCCCCTTTAATGTTTTCGTGATAAGAGAAAATCGACGGCGAATCGTTCGGAGAAGCCGACATTAAAATAAAAATATCGAGCGTAGAGGATAGCCTGCATGTCGGCGTGTCAGACGTGTGACACGTGATACGACATGACACACAACACAATGTTTTTTGCTCAAAAAGTCACAGTCCAACGACTGCTCGCGAGCATTTACGACACCCTGCTGCCGAAAAATTTCTTTTACGCGCACACATCGCGACGTGTCTGCGGAACGAACGCGCGAATAACGAATCGCGATTCGTATTTTTCCAGACATGTCGCTGTGCCACTTCAAGATCTGCAATATGGGACGTAAGAGGCAATCACACTAGAAACGAGGCGAGTCGCGACAGTTGGAAAAGGCGGGCCGGCATGACGAGGACCGGGCCGAAGAGGTCTCATTGTGCTTTAAGAAACACAGTAAAGATAAAACACAATAATAAAACATAGCTTGCAACGGTGAATTGAAAATTGAAGCGAGGAAGATAGCAAGGACGAGCTCCGCTGGGACTTTAAAGCCTCGAATATTCGCGGTTCGAATTTCTTGACGAGAAAATCGATGAAACGTGAGGAAGGAAAGAGAATGAGAGAAAGGGAGAAGAAAAAATCAAAAAGAAGGAATGAAAAAAGAAAGAGAGAAAAGTACACGCAATTTGCGCTAAAAAAGAAAACAAAAAAGAAAAATGTGTCCTCAAGCGTGGAAATTATCGCTCCTCCTTGCTACCCCTTCGGGACAGTAATTGTTACCAGTATTACAAGCGAATGCGCCATACGGTGAATCTATGTCGTAAAATTTGCGGCGTGGTATTTCGAGTCGAAAAGTACGGAAAAAAATATGCGACGATCGCTTTTTCGAGCGCTCCTATTAACAAGTGTCGATCCTCATCAGCCTCTTCCGTTAGCGTTTAACGGGTATCATCGGACGCGAGCGAAACGACGAGCCAGCTCCGTGTACATGTGTATGTGTGTGTGTGCGTGCGTGTGTGTGTAAACAAGAAAAAAATTGAAAAAATTCGCCAAAATGTCAGAACCGTCCTCGGCTGCCGTGCAGACGCCACTGTCCGACTGGTTCGGACGAGGGAGAAGGTGCGCGAGCTATGGCTGTCCGACAATGGGTTTTCAGCGATAACAAATATATTAGACGAATCATATCGGGCGAAACGGATAACCAGCGAGATCACCAACGTGATATGCATTAACATTTAAAATTTTCGAGAACGCGCAAATTGCGATCGAACTTTTCCGGATTATCGGTACGGTCCTAAACAGAAAAAAATTCCCGTTGATAAATTCGAAGTCGAGAACTGTCGAGAGAGAAAAAGCGGAACAAACGACGGAACGTACACGAGACATGTGGAAAATTTGCAGTATAAAGGAAAAATCGAACACGAAGGCGCGAACGCGGTGCGATGCACGCGATAGCGCGAAATTACGTGTGTACGTCGCATACGCAGTGACGCACCGCGGGAAAAATGCCGATACGTCACGTTTCCGAATGCGATAAATATTTCATACTTCGTTGTTCCAAATAGATAAACACGGACGAACGGTCAAATGTGTTTGCGTGTCAACAATATTAATCGCTCGGCAAACGGATTAGATACGCATCAATGCGATTCGTAGCGCGTGACCGCGAGAAAAATCCTTCCAAAAAAAAGGAGAGGAAAAAAGAAATTGCCGCGCATCCAAGGAATATCGGAATGCATCTCCATATAACAGAGTCGAAGTTTACCGCTTTACGATCCCATGTTCTATCGCTTAATTAACTAACTAAGCCGCGCGGCAGCGAAGAAACACCATCGAGAGTGCGTAAAGAGAGACGAACGAAGAAGACAGATTACGAAAGAGGCTTTTTGCTTCTCACTCGCGCATCATACGCGCGCGCGCTTGCGACGTAGAAATTTTATTTAGCACGGAGACGCAGTCTCGCGGCTGTGTTTACGCGAACTAACGTATAATAAGAAGCGATATATATCGCAACGTGTGTTGCTAAATACATGACCGCGAACGAAAGAAGAAAACGTAGGCATAACGTAGGCATATCCTGCTTCGACAATCGATCGATCGCGATCGAAGTTGTCGAAGTAGGCCTACGATCTCGCATGTGTATACGCATATTTATTATTATTATTATTATTATTATTGGTATTATTATTGTTATTATTATTATTATTCATTAATTTAGTTAAGCCGAAGGAACGCGCGCGCCGGATCCTTCCTCGAGTGTGCGTGCGTCGCGCGTGCTTGTATAATGTAATTATCAATTATTGGCCATCACTTTGGCGAGAGAGGATTTTAATAAAGTCATCGTTGCTTTCGTTGTTATCGCAACACGAGAAAATCAGTCGTCGTATTGGTCGTAACGAATCGCGCGGGTGTCACGAAGTCGACGCGAATTTGGGGCAAGGATCCAGAAAAGCGCTCGCGTTCCTTCGTTATTTATGAATCGTCGTACCGGGTGATGTCATTTCTCAGAGAGAAACTTGACGCGTCGTTCTTTATATTTATTTAGCGCTTTGCATATATCTTTTGTAGGTCATTTTGTATATCGCGTACACGCCCTGCCACGCGTTTTAATTCGCACAAAACCGCACGCTTCCTTCCTTCCCTTTCCCTCTGCTGCAAAGAATCGGACGAATGTCGCGTCGATCCGAATTTTTCAAACCTTCCGACTCGTTCGCCAAAAAAGAGAAAAAAGAAAAAAACAAAAAGAAAAAGAAAAGATTCGAAGCTCGAGCGGACGTTCACCCTGCCGTGTGAATCCACGCATGTATTGCGCGCGAAAAGTGGTAACGATGCTAACAATAAACAATATATATCAAACCATCGCGTAGCTTCATTTATTTGTCCCTGACGATTTATTTCAGTAAAACCTTGAACAACGAATTTCGTCGAAAATTGATTATTTTTATGAAATATATTCATGAATATATTTTAAATTAATTGTAACCACGAATAATTATTGTGATTTTTCACTGAGAGAACCTTGTTCACGTTAAATTTGACGAATTTTACTCATTTTTTTATATCATACGACGCAATGTATGTATATGTTATATAAATAATATTCGTTCCCGTAATATATATCGAGTACAACTACGTAATATCTGTATTGTAACATACGCGAGTATAAAAATTAGGAAAGAGCACTGTCGCGTCATCTATAGGAATTGTCGGGAAAAAGTGGCGGAAGAAAGTTACTTTATCGATAGAGACTTTTGGTTCCGCAATTGTTACTCCGCGTTCACTGATCTCCTCCTTGAAAAAATGTTGCAACTAGCAGATTACTTATAAAGAATCTATTATAATACAATAGACATCAAATAAGAATCTATTATAATACAATAGACATAAAATATAGTAACATACAAAATAATATAGAATTAAACGGAATAATATAAAATTATGCAGTATTATATGAAATTATATAAGGTATTATAGAAGAATATAAATATACAGACGAGCACTACAGCTAGGAATTATACCGAGAAACTACGAAACTGTTTTGTTGCATTTTTCTACTTTCCACTAGTCGCAATTTTCTTTCTTCATATAACATCTCGATATACAACTATTTAGTTCCGAGTGTAATAAATGCAACGCGGTACAGCTAAAAGGAGCAGATCTCTAAATAAAACAGCACTAGCTTCCGTAACCAGCAAACCTGAAAGCAACATTATGTCCTAACTACGATAACATAACCTCCAATGGACTGACATTTTCATGCTCCATGTCGCTTCCTTCGAAAATTCATTCGATAATAGTATTTATCGTAGAAACCGATGATCCGTATAAAACGCTTACCAATCGCTGATTTTTATGTCACCTTGCCGACAGTGTACAAACTTAAATTCAAACACTCGGTAAAACAATAAATACGATATAATATGTTACGGCGAATTTGGTATATCTCGCGCTAATCGTTCACTGCCATTTTGTAGTGGTCGCACTGCTATCGTAAAAGTAAAGCCCTAAACACAATGTCAGGCAACAGGCAATAAAAATAAAAATAGACCGATCACAATAGATTATTCTTGTAATAGTCGATTGTGATTGGTCTATTTTTATTCTTATTGTTCCTGTTGCCTGGCATTGTGTTTAGGGCTTAAAGATCCTATATGATTTTACCGCGCCATTTTTGCGCGTATGCAACGTACTTGTCCGAACAGTAACAAAACGGAACCATCTTGAAAAAGATGCGCCGGCTGACATTTTTTACAATTCGGAAACTTTTGTCCATTTTCGTTTTCACGGGCCATATCCAATGCATGTGATTTCGCATGAACTGATAATGGCCAATGTGATCAGCGATATGTAAAAATTCATATATTCTATTGTACAATTTGCTTTCGCATGACTGCGAAATACTCACCGTTCTTGTCACACCAACGACGAAACGCCGCATCGCCCATCGTTCCATTGCCTCTTCGATGTCACTCAACGTCCCGGCCAGACGAGCGACGTAAATTCGATACTTATTACACGCGCACACACACACACAATGAGAACACAATCTGCATTTCACACACGACAAAAATAATGCGAATACGATTTTGATATTCGCGATATTTGGCCAATAAACGACGCAACGATCCGCTTACAACTCGTCCCTCAGACATTTTGAATTTTCGAAATATCTCAAGAGCGCCCCAAATCAGAGCGGTAAATCAGTGCTGCTAACGTAAGAACTGTAAATATTCACATAGGCGCGACAACATGAGAGCGACGAAACATTCCGACAATTTGATTCGTTAGCGCAAATCTCAAGGCCCGTTGCAACGAGCTAATCGATCGATCGTGCGCGATGTGCTACCTTGAATTCGAACCAATGAACGAGCGGACGAAGGCATATCGCGTATAATCCGCGATAAACGCGAGATGCAAGAGCGAACACTCCTTGCGGCCGCGGTGTACGGTGGTATGTTCGTTTGATGGATTGCCATTTATGGTGATCCGGGAGCGACGAGGGAGAGAGAAACATCAAACCAAACATTTGTGATGCTGTAGAATCAGAGAGACCTATTCAGGCACGCCGCTCTCGTACTCGCAATAAGTAAGCCGTTTCCAACAGTTGACGTCTTCTTACGAATTATTGCTCGCTTATCGCTCACGTTGCACGCGACGACGTCGACGACGACGACGACGACGACGACGACGTCGACGTTTAGTCACTCGAAGCGTGATGCTGCCTGTGCAAATATAAAGATGACGGCATCGCCGCGTATGAATAAGCTGCGGTAACCGAAACGTGCAGTTTGACTGCAGTTTTTAATCTGCTGTTTCGTGCGATCATTCACCGTAGAATCGCGTCGAAGGTGACCTGTAAAAATGAAAGCGAAATCGTACGTGCTCTCGAGTGTTACCCCCGTTTCGTTAGTCCATTTAAAAAATCGCCACATCTTGTTTAGTTTTTTCGTTTCTGTCTATTCTCTTCAAAACTTTCGTTCCGAACAGCTTTTTCATATTTCAATACTATATGCACTTTAACCATCTGCTTGTGTCTATTTAGAAATAATCTTTGGTTGAAACAGAAGGTTTATAAATATGTCTATAATGCAGGATGTTCGGCAGCTCAAGATGGCTTGTTATAGTGGGGGTGTTAATAGGAGTACTATTAGCTGTATTTGCCCAAGGTAATTACGGCCCCCCAGAGAGATTAACAGGCATGAATCCTTGTATTAGTAAACAAATGTGCCATGAATGTATACAAACTCCACATTGTGCTTGGTGTGCTGCACCCGTAAGTATATTTTTATTTTATCTCAAACATCTGCCTTTTTCTACATGACTCATTAATAATAATTAGAGTTGACATAAATTTCAAATAAGATTTACTTTGGCAGAAATTCTCAGAAAAGAGGTGCTTCCTTCCAAATATCAACACCAAAATATTTGCAACTTGTCCTCCTGAGTATACATGGAATCCGGATAATCTATTTAGCATGTTGAGACACCGTAACTTAACAAAAGGTGGCTATGCTGCTGGTGGTGCTGGAGGAGGATATGACAGCATTGAAGGCTCATATTCTGGTTCATCCATTAGTTCATCATCCTCTTCGCACTTCCACAAAGAAAGTTCCAGTGATAGTAGTAGCAGAAGACAAGAGGCTGTTCAAATGTGGCCACAGGAGGTTAATTTGATGCTTCGAATAAGTGAGTTACTCACCTCTGGCAAAATGTTTATAAACTTTGTGCCATTTTATTTACAAAATGTTAATAATCCATTGATTTGTTTTAGATGAAGCTTATAGAATGTCCTTTGCTTATTCTCAAGCAGAGGATTATCCCGTTGATCTCTATTATCTGATGGACTTGAGTAAATCTATGGAAGACGACAAGCAGAAATTATCAGATTTGGGCCAGTTGCTGGTTGAAAGTATGAGTAAAATCACGAGTAATTTTCGCTTGGGCTTCGGTAGCTTTGTTGATAAAGTTGTGATGCCCTATGTGAACACAATGTCGAAATCGTAAGTTTTTATAAAAACTGAAGACAATACCTATCATTTCGACAATATTGCACATATTAAACTAAAGCTTCCTTTACTATTTTAGTCTTATCGAGCCATGCGAGGGTTGTGCGGCGCCTTACGGGTACAAAAACATTATGACACTATCACAAGATACAAGTCACTTCGCGGTACGAATATATACGTAATATATAAATATATTAAAAATACATTAATATACAAAAGAATATTCTAGACGTTCTGTTCATCTACGACGATTTCTCCAAGGTAGCGTTCTTGCTCAACAGGGATTAGTACGGAACGCGTCGGTATCTGGTAACTTGGATGCACCAGAAGGCGGTTTCGACGCCATCATGCAAGCCATAGTTTGCAGAAATCAGATAGGTTGGCGTGAGAAAGCACGCAGATTGCTGGTGTTCTCCACTGATGCTGGTTTCCATTATGCGGGTGACGGTAAACTAGGTGGCATCATAAAGCCGAACGATGGCCTGTGTCATTTGGATGTAAATGGCACGTATACTCACTCATCTCTGCAAGACTACCCGAGCATCTCTCAGATCAATCTGAAGGTGAAACAGAACGCGATCAACATCATATGGGCAGTCACGGAGGAGCAGATCGATGTCTATAAACGATTGACGAAGCATGTGGAAGGTTCATTTGCTGGAAAACTCACAGATGACTCGAGTAACGTCGTGGAACTGATCCGGGAGCAATATGACGCTATTTCGAGCTCGGTAGAAATGAAGGACACCGCTAGCAGCGCGGTCAAAGTCAAATACTTCTCAAGTTGCTTAGGCACTGGACCGGCGATAGAGACGTCCAAGTGCGACGGCTTAAAAGTCGGCACGAAGGTTGAATTCATCGCGGAGATCGAGGTTACTAGCTGTCCGGCCAATAGATCAGAATGGAAGCAGAAATTCGATATTTATCCAGTAAGCCTGCGTTGTGATTGTCGCGCAAACGAAATCGATTGAGATTTTCTTGGTTATTTTAAATTATTTACCAAATTTCACTCTACACTTTTTAATAGATCTCAGATCTATTTGAACGGTTATTTCTGTGCAGGTTGGTATCAACGAGACTCTCACGGTGAATCTCGAGATGCTGTGCGATTGCGAGTGTGAGCGTGAAGGACCCATGTACGAGGAAAGGTCGCCCGAGTGTAATGGCGTGGGTACACTCAAATGCGGAGTTTGCGAGTGCTACGACGGCTTCTTCGGCAAACACTGCGAGTGCAGTCCGCATCAAGAAATGACAGGCTTCGACAAGCACCTCCAATTGTGCCGACCCGACAACACCACCCTCGTGGACTGCTCCGGCCGTGGAACGTGTGCTTGCGGCCAGTGCGAATGTGAAGAACGAGAAAATCCGGAAGAGGTATGTATAATCAATTTTAAAAAACTGGGCTTATTTTAACGGATGTTCTTTATTTTCTCTTTAATATATGATGTAATAATTATTTCAAACTATGATTAATATGTATCTAAAGTTACCACTTAAAAAGAAATTAATATATATCTTGAATTACAGTATTTAAAATTAACAAGGGAGGTAAAGCTAGAATATATAAAGTGGAATGAAATCAAATCTGTGAAATTGATTGAGCAAAACAAAAAATTAATAATTATTTATTAATAAAGGACAATAATCATATAATTATTAATTGTGTTAATTGTACGATGTGGATTTTAGTAATACTCACTTCTATTTTGATTCTCGCAGATAATATCAGGGCACTTTTGCGAGTGCGACAACTTCTCCTGTGATAGAGATCAGGGTCAGTTATGCTCCAATCACGGTACCTGCGAATGTGGTCAATGCGTTTGCAACGCCGGTTGGACCGGACCATCTTGCAATTGCAGATCCTCCAACGACTCTTGCATCGCGCCGGGCACCACAAACGGCGTGTTGTGTTCCGGTCATGTAAGTGTAACGTCGGTGTAATTATGTTCACGTTGATTCTTTATAATTATAAAAACAGCGATGTTCCACGACGTCGTCTATAGTATTGATCTTACCGAAAATAAATTCTTTCTTTTTTATCATGTTTACCTGAAGGGCGATTGCGTCTGTGGAGAATGTATCTGCCACGAGGAGGGCAACACAAGATATTCCGGTAAGCATTGTAACAAATGTCCGACTTGCCCCAGTCGCTGTGAGGAACTGAAGAGCTGCGTGCAGTGCCAAATGTACGGCACCGGAAACTACAGCGATCCCGAGGAATGCGCGAAGAACTGCAAGGAATTCGTACCCGAAGGTGTCGAAACAGTGATAGTCGACGTGGATAACGACGAGGTGCTGTGCTTCGGCACAGACGAGGACGATTGCAAGTACAACTTCGTGTACTACTACAACGAGACCAACTGCTTAAAGGTACGCGCGCAGAATGATCGCGAGTGCCCGCCGCAGGTTTACATGCTGGGCATCGTACTCGGTGTGATCGCGGCGATAGTTCTGATTGGTCTCGCGCTATTGCTGCTGTGGAAGCTGCTGACGACGATACACGATCGACGAGAGTTCGCTCGATTCGAGAAGGAAAGAATGATGGCTAAATGGGACACGGTATAGTCATATGTCATGTTTCATATTAGACTGAGATTAGTTTAAAATTTATGTAGAATTAAGTATAAAACAGAGTTGACCTTTACACTGACAATAGGATTTTAGACTTGAATATTTTCTTTTAACGCGTCCAGGACCAAGATTCTCTATGAAATTTTTTTATTCTGTTTGAAATTAACTAAAAGAAAAAGATGTGACATAAAAGTTAGAAAAGTAAAATTTGGTCTATAATAGTGATTAATGATATGTATTATATTAAAAATGAATAAAACTAATATTTTTTTTATTTTCCTTACGCACAGGGCGAAAATCCGATCTACAAGCAAGCAACCTCCACATTCAAGAATCCGACCTACGTTGGAAAATAATACTCGAGAGACAAAGATAACGAGGGAATTTCTGAAAGAATCGCGGCGACACGATCTTAAACGGTTCGCAACCAAGATATGCCGACCAACGGTGCGATATCATCTCGAACTTAGCGCACGAACGAAGCGTGAATGCTTCGGTGGTAAATATATATAACAAGATAGATTTCAGCGTTTATAATTATTTAAAGGATCTAATTTAATATGGTATTTTTAATTGTTGAGATATTTGTAAAGACCGACTTAATACTGCCATATAACATAGACTGTGTATTGCGCGTGCGTACGTAAAAAGAAAAAAAAACTACAGACGCCTTTGTTGATGGGCACAACTGCAAAGTTGTAACGTTACGTCTCATTACGATCGACGATTTAAGATCACGCTACTTAGGCTAATTTTGATATTCAAGTGCCTTTAATATTACGACGATGATATGCTTACATTAACCTCTTAGTTACCTTTGCATTTTTTCTATAACATATATAAACATATACATATTCGTAATGCTGATGAGTATGCAGCATAAATCGGCGACTCGTTAATTGGAAAGTCGAAAAAGGGAAGAAAATAGCGGATATAATTATCTCGTTGCTGTTTTTTTTTTTCTTTTTTTTTTGTCACGAAATAATTCAAAGATCTTTCTATACTGGGTACTTTCAAGCAAGTAGACAAATGGATATTATATCATACTATGTCGACTATATGTTGGGAAGTTCCCATTATATCTTTTATTCAACGACACATGTATCTAGATCGAGCATTCATATAGATTCCGTGTAATTATATTTATTTATATTTTCCTAAAAATAAATTTGTTAGTGTTTTTAATGTTAATCTATATTAAAACCAGTGAAGTATCAAGCTCCCAACAGAAGTGGGCCACATTTTATAGTATTTTACAAAAATATATTTTTATAAAGCATTATAAAAATTTTATATAGAAATTTTAATTTTTATAAATATCATCTGTTATAAATTTTACTCAAGTTACATATATTTATATGTGTCCATATTTTATTGCTATATTAGAAAAAAGAGAGGTATATTCAAAGATATCTTATTGCCGCAAAATTATTCTGCCAAATAGTTGCTTTTGCAATAACTTTTGAATGCTCAGTCTAGGTATACATATATGTCGTTGTTTTTACTAGTGCAATCCATGAAGCGTTATGCTTCGTGCAACAAAATCTGACTGCATTTATTATCGGATGTTTTATCTTATTAATGTAATTGTGCTTTAATTGTAAAACATTATTTTATCTCTCTTTTTTTGAGTGACTAAGGAGACTCGAAAGTGTTTATAGGAAATTGTATAAATGTATAAAGTACTGCCCGAGCCCCATAGAAGTAAGTTTTAATTCCGTGTTATAAAAGTTAGTTGAACTGCATGATAATATGATACACATATATCAGAGATATTTTATTTCACATACGTAAATATTACTACATAGCCAGTTATATATAACCGGTTACGAGATTTTTATCTAATTTCTGTAAGGAGAGAATATCAGGACTTTCTAGATTATACAGAGCAGATAATTTTGAAAAAAATAAGTTCAATGTGTGAGTCATCACGCTTAATCATACCTGATTTCGATCTATTTGAAGCAATATTTTGTCTAACAAAAAGACAATATTTATAAAAGAGAAAGAACTGAAATGCTTATCCTATAAGCTTCTTTATCAGGAATCTCTCAAAACGACATCAATATCTCGAAGAACTACAATGTATAGCATAGTGAAATCGTTTTCTTTTGTTATGCCAGAAGAAAAGCGTAGTAATCGAATCGTTCCATTGCGCTATTATTGTATTTATCTATTGTGGCGTTTTTGCTCTCATGAACCGACAATTTTTTTTTTATAATTTTTTTTTATAATAATTTTAGCCATAACTTTTGCGATGACAAAATCACTGACCACATTATTAATCATGTCTCTTATTCTTTGACTTTTTTATATTAGCCCAATTTGAATTGTTGTAATCTATGTTACTCCATGTGCGATCAATCGCAAAACTCAACGGACCTCGATGTAAACGTTATGCGAGGATTAATAAAGACGATGTGTTAGTAAATATACTGTAATATCATCTATGTACACATATGTGTATGTGTGTGTGTGTGTTATGCATCGTATATACTTACGGCAAACTCGAAGACTGACCTTGCCAGAGTGATAAGCCAGAGTAAGGACTGAAAAGAACACTTAGATAGTTTAATTAGTTTAAGATTAACATTGGCAGCTCTTATCTAATCCAAGCAAATTAGACCGTAACTAAAGGAACGGTGTTGACGTTTGAATGCTCGAAGATGATATTGTGGATGTTGTGTACATGTGTATAACTATGAAAGCATGGGATTCTCTTGAAAGATAAAATTCTGCAAGTGACTCAGGTTGTTATCGCTACTTCGATTCTTGCTATCTGGAGAGCTGTAAATTATTGGATTCGTTGCGAGGAAGTGGGGAGATAAAAAACATTTTCATTCATTTGAAAGTTATAAATTAGGAAGACAAAAAGATAGACTTCAAAGAAGAGAGAGATATAGAGAACATAAGGCAGGTTGCTCCAACTCCTTGGTAAGTTAACTGACAATTAAATCATATGTCTGTCTTCATTTAAAGTGAAGGAAAAACAAAAGTAAACATACGATTTCACTATTGGTTAACTTACCAAGAAGTTGGAACAACCGGCACATAGTATTGTATAGAATCTCGAAGGGAGAGACGAACGTTAAACACTTAAAAGAGTCAAAACGATAAAAAGATCCACTTTCCCCCAGAATGAAGGGAGGAAGAACCTGGAGAGAAAGAGGAAAGCTGGATAACGAGATGAAACAGCTGCACGGCAGGTACAGATATATCCCAAATAGGATGCAGCTCGCGTGCGCGTTGCCATCGTCACGTGTACGCGCGTCTCGGAGCAGATGGGGAGGAGGGGAATAGACGAGAGTGAACGAGCGAGAGCGAAAGAGAGTGGAACCATCAGCGCCGTACTACTAGAGACAGACGTGCGAAATAATAGTAGAGGGTACGTCAGTCGCGGCCTCCATCGCGCGTCATCGGTCGCGGTGTACAACGACGTAACATTATCATCGGTCGTCTCGCAACGGTTGCGACGACGACGGAATTGCGCGTTTACTCATCGGTGCTGTGCGCGGTGCGTTCTCGGGAGCTCGCGGAAACTATTGTTGCCCGCTGCGTGTGTCGTCGCGGGGTGGCAGATAACAGGGATTGACGGCGTTACCCACCTACACCACCAACGCACAGGGGTGTGTGCGTGTTGGTTGCCTGGGCGCTGTCTTTCTGCTCCGACGAGTATTTCCGTCGGAGGTGTGTACCTGCGACTTGTCTTTTCGCTCTCGCACGTGTCGTCGTCGTCATCGTCGTCGTTGTCATCATCATCATCATCATCGTCGTCGTCGTCGTCATAGCTACTGTCGGTGTGTAATCCTTTCTCACGAGCTCTCGCTCTCCCTCGCTCCTTCATTCGCGTTGTACACCCCTGCACCCCGCTTCTCCCCTTCGGGGTCACGCGCTCTTCGGCCACTCTCGAGCCGAGAGCAAAGGCGCAGCCGAGAAGGAAACCCTCGCGGAGGAATTCCACCGTCATCGGAGTTTCGTAGTGCTCGTTATCGAACGACTACCAACTCCACCCCCCAATTGTCACGTACGCTATAAATATATCCGTGCGGCGGTTTTTCCTCACCGGAGTACCATGCCCGCGCGGAACGTCAATTAGGACGACGACGACGACGACGACGACGACGAGCGACAGAGCCGCGTGAGTGCAGCTAAGCGACGGCCACCGAGTCTGACCTCGTAACAAACTAGATGCGACGAGTTGGTCCCACGATGGAACGGTTCGCGGAATTCCTGTGTTTCTGTCGACGGATGGGAAGCGGTTACTACGACATCGCATCTTCTACGTCTCCTTCGTCCGCGTCGTCTGCGCACGTCGAGCCCGCTGCAGCCGTCGGCACCGACCCGTCGTCTTCCGCGCAGAATGCTAAGGTGGAATCCTGGCAACAGTGGTGGAGAAATGAGTGCCAGCGCAACTCGTGCTGGGTCTTGCTGTACAGGATATTATCCAATGATATCGTGTACAAGGGCATTCGATTCTTCCTTATGGGTCACATAATATTTATGTATGTATTGTATAACATATCACTAGTTGTGTGTGTATATACACACTCACACTCATACGCACACACGCACGTACACACACACACACGCACACACACATATATATATGCTCCAAGAGACAGGAATGGAAGGAAAGAGAAAGGAAAATAGGAAAAGGAAGAGAGAGAGGGAGAATACCCGCGAGTTCTCTCGCGGGTTCTCCTTTGTTTCCACGTTAAGGATCATTCCCCGCGTTGTCCTTCCTCTCTCTTTCTCATTCTAGTTCCTGGCGTGTCGATACCCTCCTGCGAACTTCGCATACGATTCAGCTGCGCGCGCGGCGATTATTAAATGCTCGTCTCTCGCGCCTTTCCAATTCTTATCTCTCCTCGCCGTCTCTTTATCACGGTTATCAGTTTGTGTTGCGTCCTCGCGACTTACGCGCGTTCTCTTTCTGCATATCGCGCTTTCTCGATGTTTTGTATTTCTCGTATAATGACGTGCCGCGCCTGCTGTGACGTCACGCGTTGCGTTACAGCTGTTTTACGTTTTACAAGTAACTTTGCCTTGTAGGTCAAGGCCGCGTCTTACGCGAACGGATGGACGGATGCTCCGTGGAGATATTAGCACGATACGTTTATATATATATGTACATATATATACATATGTTTACAATCGCGTGATTGTGCGTAGTGTATCGCGGCGTTAAAGCTGTATCCTGTCGTTGTGGCGACAAAAATCTTGTAGCGATAAGATCGCACTTGATTTTTGCGCGCATACGGCGCATGCGCTGGCAGGTCTGCGCACGGCACACGCACGCACGATCGCCCGCACTCTCGCAGGACTTTCAAACGCGCTCACTTGCGTTTCGATTTTTCATTGATCACGCTCCCGAGCGATACGTTCTCTCCGATTCGTAAGTACACGTTAAGGAACGCATTCACGTGTTTCGTGCTTCGTCGTAAACTTTAAATAATTCCAAACCTGTCGGTATGAATAAAGAGAAGGGTTTCTTATAAAGGACTTCCGTGGACGGTGATCTTTTATTTTGTTCTTGCGATACGTTTGTTCGTTTATTCGTTCGATTCAGCTGTTGATGAATTTTGAATGAATCGACTGAGATACGAATTGCGTCTTCGAAATATGACGACGTAAATGAGTGGAGTATCGCACAGTATCGGCGTTCCTGCATTTAACGTAATCATTCGTCTACTTGAAGGACTATCCTCACGCTGCAACTTCGTGGCTTAACTGTGGGTACCGCCATTGTTATGCTTTTAGCGTTGTGGTACACATGCAATCCAATTTTACATGAAGATTTCAACATCGAAATGTAAGTTCTCGAAAAACAATGAATCGCAATTCGAAACGCGAATCGAGTCGCAGGGTATGCATGCGAACTCTGGAATCTGGAATCAAATCTACGTATTTAAGCATTAAGTTTCTTTGTTTTAGCGCCATTCACTAGCATTTTTCGTAATTGAAATTATATATGTGTATTTGAAAAGACGGAGGAAGAAAGAGTGACAAAAAAAAATGCAAAATATATGCTTGAATTGAACAAACATATTCGCTCGATGACTCAGAGCTTAGTATTCAGAACCAAGATTAAAAATGTAAAAGTCGAGATATCATATAAAAATATCCGGACATTTTATAAAAGCGCCCAGATATGTAAACATGACGTATTGCGTAGTAATATTTTTTATGAAAAAATTTGGATTATCAGATTTGTCTTAATAATTTAGTCGGAGATAAGATTGTTAAACAGTTTATATTTTATTATTACGCTATTATTTTATCATACAATATTCATCTTATTGTTATTTTTGATGTTTTTTATTCTGATTGTTTAATATTTATTTATTTTTAATATTGCAATAGTTTACACAAATTCAAAACTTAATTATCATAACATTACATTGATGTTTGAGCCTAAAACTTGCGATGCGAAATTTTGTCAAAAAATATGAGAAAGAATATAAAAAATAAAGTATCACACACATACATAAACACACACTTTCTTTCTCTCTCTGTAAAGAAAATGATATAGTGACAAAAGAAGAAGCTTTTCGACTCGAATGGGTTAAAAAACACTTCATTTATTCCTTCGAGAAAAAATATAGAAAAAAAATCGTGTTTAAAATAGATTGTATTATGAATGAACATTTGAGTAGATATGATATTGAATTAAAAATGAAAATATCAGGTAAAATTAATAACTGCATTTTCAGAATGTATTCCAGATTCCTGCGATTCAAGCAGATAGTCAACGAGGTGCTGCACAACATGGGAAGGTTGCGGGACAAGCAGCCGGGCTTGGTAAATTCACTCTGTCAATGATGTTGTTCTATGATTGCTTTTTGCGATTGTTAATCACACGTTTGAATTAAAATTTCAGTTTTGCATTGCAACTTGTTCTGTGTCTGTGATTATATTAGTTTTGGACCACATGACGAACGGCATGCTGCTCAAATACATGATCTTCATGATTATCATACTGGTACCATCAATGGCACTATGTATATCTCCTACTAAGATTTCTGCGTGTCCTCCGCCAAGCAATCGTAGAGGTAATCGAAAACGATTAAATTTCAACAAGCAAGAGAAATCTAGCTTAATATTTTTTTAATTATCTTAATTTTATAAAAATAAATTTCAATCATGGGAAATTAAATTAAGAACATCGACTTCAAAAATCTCCAAAATCAGGTTAATTTGTGTAGAAAATTGCATTGTAATAAAAGTAATTAATTTTTTTATTGAGTTTTTTATACATGTGAAATAAATATTTTTTTATTATTTTGTGAAATGATTATGGCTTGCCAACACGCATCCTAACGTAAGCTAAAGGATTTGTTAACGTCTCATTTTCTTCTTTTTTTTTTCCAGAATCGGACAGTGAAATCGAGGAATTTTTACCAGCTGCGACCGAAACAAATATCCAAATACTAACAGAAGCAGGTGACGTTGGCGAGTACTCGGCAACATCTACGACTGCATTGGCGAAGACGTCGAAAGAAAACGAAGAACAAGGTGAATACGTAAATCTGAACAAAATTAAAGGTTGTGTTTGATAAATTAATCGAGCAATTTCACTATTGAGGATGTTTGTAGGAAACTTGCGCGCGATGACTTGTGTAAAACTAACCGGTTCCGTTTTTCTATGTTTATCGTTCTCTCTCTCTCTTTGTTTAGCGTCTATACCGGTCCTAACTGGTGTTGGCTTACTGCGCAGATTGATATTCATGTAATATCACTCTAACTTTATATTTTATCATATATACGCAATTCTTATGTCTATTTGTCAGATGAAGAAATATGACACTTGACATGCATTTCTTTTCCTTTATATATACATATATATCAGCATAGTATATTCTTTTGCAATGTTTCTTAATTTAATGCATTTATTCTAACTATTTATTTGCAGAGTTTCTTAACGATGGCGACCTCGCAGGTCGCAAAATGCCTTCGCACGAGGACGGCAGTTCAGACGGTCTAGAGCTTTCGGATTTAGAGCTCTCGGAAAAGAGCTCCACATCTTCCGGCACCGGTCAAAGTGATAGCGAGTTCGAGATAATTGACCGACAGGAAATCGGAAAATTGTGTACGTCACAAAATTCGACATAATAGACGCTCGCGATGAAACTCGAACAGCCGACAATTAAAACATAGTAATATGATTTGATTGATTGCCTATTTCAGCTTTATAATCTCTGCTTTAAACTGTTGGGTAATGCAAAAGTCTTGATGGATTTCGTGACAGGAAAATGAATTAAATAATTTCATTAAATTTGATTTATTCATTTTACCCAATAATCGTTGTTTTATTTTTATTATTGAACGTGTTATACATTTATATATTTGTAAATGCTGCCACAAAATAGGGTCAGTCACATCTTTGAGAAACTTATGAAAACTTTTGCACTCGCCCAATACTTTATAATGTTACTTTAGTCTCTATTTATATATTCTAATTAATGATGAATGAGAATAATTTCGCTTTAAATCTCGAATGTAACACAACGGTGTATATGCGTGTAGAAAGTCTCGACGTAATTCTCGATCATATAAATGCGATGAAACCAAATTTCATTCATTTAGACGGATAGGTGTACCTGATACGTGTATTGTATGACACCTGACACTCGTATTACAATTATATTTATTATTTTACCAATAATAGGAATATGTACATTTGCGATGTAATAAATATGCACACGTGTAGACACGGTTTATCTGAAGTCAGTCATGCGCTTAATCCAACCTATGACGGTTAATTAGCGATAACATTATAGCATAGGAAAATAAAAACGAATAGCAAACATATAATCAATCGGTCGATCAAGTAAAGCTCAATAATGAACGGGGTAAGATGTAGTAGCGAGATTACTACATTTATTGTATTATATTATATAACATACGATATATGAATGCGTGAGGTACGATCAACGGACTGCACTAGATAGCGTGAAGAGACGTTTACGCTAAGTGCATAAGAATGTGTATTGTATTATCGTATGTATTCTGAGAAAATTATAGGAGAAATACCTGAGTGTACAGAACATGAGCAAGGATTTCGAGAGAAAGATTGAGGATTGGCACGAGAAAAAAGCACGATAAGGGACCGGAAATGAAAGCTCTAGAAATAAGCTAAAAATAAGATAAACGATAGAATAAGAGATGAATGTACCTAATCAAAAACAGTAACCTAATCTCGAATCATGTATCCGATGTCACTAAATGGCCTGGTTCTCTCCACTGTATGTTGCATATTTATTCAGCTTCTTGAAAGCTTGATTTTCGAATGACGAAGACCTTGTCGATGGGGAAATGTTATACTTGTGAAAAGACAAATAATGATTCCTTAGAGCTCATAAATTTCGTCGTGCGATTGTCATCCACATCTTACCAAACTGAATCTTAGAAATGATCTTAGAAAATTGTGTCAGGATAATGCTAAGAGAAAGTAATTCTTCACACGATAACGTGTAAGAAAGAGATGGATATACACAAATTGACATAGAATAACCTTACATATAAAATCATATACTTAATTTATGCAAAATCCTATAACGTCCTGTGAACAATCTATACTACTATCTCAAATTATATATGTATAATTATATGTATATATATATATATATATTAATTATATATAATTATACGCTGTGCTATTTATAAAATGATATAACTTCATATAGTAAGATTGTCATGCCGAACTGTGTACACATGTTCACATGCATAAACGTTTATTCACTATGTGTTGATGTACGAGCGGAAAAGAGAGAAAAAGAGAATAATTAGGATCGATTGTAGGAAGATAAGTATAATGTAAGTAGGTTACAAGTAATTTAAGGTATTAGCGTTTAAGGAAATGGAAGATCATTGTACGCTGAGCGGAAACGATGAATAAATACACACCGTAACGATACTCGTGAGATGTGTAAAAATGCGCGAGAAAAAATCGTAGAGATGAAGTGTTGAGTCTACGTGAATTTTTGTAGCCCGTTTCCAATTGATGTTTGCCGTCTTATTCTTGTGTACGTATCTCTATATTTGAAAATATAACAAACGATATAAAAATATGCCATTGTTATATACAGAAGTTTTATTCACTATGTTGACTGCGGATTCTAGTTTACGACGTTTATTTCCTTATCGCAGTCGAGCTGTTTGGTCTCTTCGCCAGGAACTTTTGTGTCTACTAGCACCATGTCGCGTGTATCGAGAGATTTCAAGTCCGACGTTTCTTCCTGATCTTCGGATTGTTCGGGAACGATCGGTCGAGCGTTCTTTCTCTCCGGCAGTACCTTCAAGAACGTCTCTTGCCAAGTATTGCCCTCTGTTATTCTCAGTAATATCTCAAAAACTAAAAAGAAATTTTGATACTCTATATCAATTTTGAAGCTTCGATGATTGAATGTTATCATTGTTGCTAGATATTGGTACTCAGCTTATACCATGATCTATAGTCAATACTTTTCTCGCTTTCATCTGTAGGAACTTGTCTAATGGTAACCGCCCATGCCTAACACCTGCTTCATTTGCTAGTTTGTGACATATACCCTATATTTTGAACACTTCAGTAGAAGCAGCCGATAGGGAATTATTTGAATCATTCAAATCTTACCTTATGAGAATTATGATCAACTAAACCACCTATGACATATATACAGCTATGATCTAAATGTTCTATCACATTCTCTGACTCACTTGTGAGATATATAATCTTATCCTTGGGATAAACATTTATATATGACTTTGTGTGAAAGTTAACCTGCAAATTACATTCATATTTAAATATTTGTCTCGCTGAATTTGAAAGACGCAAAAATATATTGACATACATCCCAATGTTCATATCCATTGTGTTTCTCCATATCATCCCTTGATTTTCCGGTAAAACTGGAGAGAGAAAATTGCAAAGGAGCTATTGCCCTTCTATTTAAGGCATAGCACCTTAATATCTGTTTCGTTAACTTTGCGATGTCTTTATCGATCATTAAATCATCGTACGACAAATCGATGGTTACTGTGAGCTTACAAGAACTAGCTGCCATGGTACTTCTTTTTAAAAGCTTTCTAGACGGACCTAAATGCAAATTATTCGCACGTGCGTGGGCACGTTTCTCCCTCGCTTTAGCTTTCTCTCGCAATCTGCACTGATAAACATACAGTTAGAAGCTGATTATAAACTTGCAGTAATAAAATGACGACATATCGAAATCAAATGTAAGGACTTTCTCTTATAAACAAGGAAATTTATTTTGGAAATTTGAGATGGAGAAAAAAAAAATAAATGAGATATCAGTGTTTTCTAACCTTTTTTCAACCTTCCACTCCTGCCATTTTTCCCTTTTTTTCACTTGCTTTAACTGACGCTTGCTCAAATTCCTCGGTAATTCAAGTAATTTATCTACAACTACGGTCTCGTTATTTTCGGTGGAATTTACATTATCCATATTGTTAGATAATCGTCAAACTTCAATGTGATTCTTTTCCTTTATTTTAGTTGAACTCGTTGAGCAATGTTAAATGCAACAGGTTTTTCATGATGCACGTTAGATGGCATATCAGTCAATTTTATCGGATTTACCGCGTAAATTCAAGAGTTCTAAACGATCTGCTATTGCTGTTTATTTTCACTTGGTTATGATCGTTTGATTTATTTATCGCTTAAATTTCTTTGCGTATTCCGTCCCAGTGATCGTCGCGTCAAGCGATCGAATTTAATCGCACGAGTTTCAAGATGGAGATCATTTGGAGCGCTGACTCACGACATTACAGTGTGTGCCGATAAGTGATATACGCGTTATAGATTATTTTAATCTCTCCAGGTGATTAAACTTTTAATCAATTAGACCCTCGTAGATATTATTTTATTTCATACGTGCATCTTTGTATCTACGTGAACATTAGAGTCAGTATTAGTGCTGCTATCAATGCAACCATGGAGCAGCCAAAGTGCTGAGTCGAGAAATCAGGGTGAACGATGAACGACGAAAGTTCTAAGGGTTTAAAGAGCGAAAGTTCTAGGAAGCCGGGTGTAGATAACGACGCATCATATTTCTTAGTAAATATGATACACAGCAGATACGATTTACATGTCAGAATGTTGTGCTCGCGATTCGTCATATTGCGATTTACCTCGCAGTCGATCTCATCAATTCAGAGAAGTTAACATTAAAAGTTCGTATATTTAGAGGATTTCTATTTCTTTTTGAAGATAATGGAAATTCTCCGATCGTAAAGCATTAATTTAAATAAAACGCAATGTTAGTTACCTTTTTGATATGTTCCGATATCTTTTTTCCATTACTCCATAGCTGCGTTCGGGGAGCGCGCTATTAGCGCAAAATAGTGCTAACGTGTTGTTCTATTCTTGTTGCATATTTTATGAGCGACAAAGATAGAATGATGTGTTAGCGCTAATTACGTGCTCCCCGAACGTAACCCGTATCTGTTACCATTTATACTTATTTCGAACTACAGCTTCATATTCCAGCTACGATATTCCTAAGAGGGCGTTAGCGCTCGGGGAGATTTCTCTAAAGCCAGCGGCACACGGTGTTTGTTTTCGTGCTGGATTGCTTGCTGGAAAATATTGCATTGTGATTGGTACATTTCCGAAGATGGATGGAAATGCACCAATCAGAACGCAGTATTTTCATCCAGCAAGCAATCCAGTACGAAAACAAGCACCGTGTGCCGCTGGCTTAAATATCAGAGAGCGGCCAACACGGCGTTTTCGGCGACACCGACTTTCCGCACTGGGAAAGGGCGTCATCTACATTCATTTTGAGAGAGGAACTACAATGCTACATCCACTTTCAGGTCTCGGCGGTAAAACTTGCATATGGTGGCAGTCCGTGCTACATCCACATTCAGACGGTTTATATCCGTGCTACAACCATAATAGCGTACTTGACAAGCATGATCTCGCACATTGTTATGCGTTTGTAACATGAATTAACATGTTAATATGCGCAAAAGAAAAGAAAAATTGAGATTGTGTATGATTAATATCATAAAGATTATATACGACATACATCGTATAAATATAGGATGTCCGGTAATTAGCTGCCAACCCGAAGTGTGAAGGTAGATCGGGTTAAGACAAACATAAAAGTCCCATATCGCTTTGCGAAATTCGCAATAATTATCGAGTTATTAATTATACAAATCTGACGAATGAGAGCGCGCTGAGACGAATGAGTGGAGAAGCGTCGTAGCAGAGAAGAACATCATTAACATGGATGTGGATGATGTGGATGTGGATGTGATTGCGGATAGGGATGAGGGTGTGGATGAGGATGAGGATGTGCATGTGGATGCGGATACAGAGAAACGCAGAAGAGCGCAATAAAGCGCAGAAAACAGTGAAAAGCGCAGAAAAGTGCAGAAAAACAATAAATAACGCAAAGAAACGAAAAAAATTATGTGGATGTGGACGCGGACGATGTGGATGTAGATGTGTTTGTGGATGTGGATCATGTGGATGTGGATCATGTGGATGTAGATCATGTGTATGTGGATCCTGTGGATGTGGATCATATGGATGTGGATGCGGATCATGTGGATGTGGACGTGGATCATGTGGATGCTATGTGATCCACATCTACATATTCCATATGAACCACATCCACATGATCCACATCCACATAATCCACATGATCCACATCCACATGAACCACATGATCGACATCCACATCCACGTGATCCACATGATTCACATGATCCCCAGACAGCACATGATCTCCTGGGGACGTCCTATGTACGTCCTGAGGATGAAGAAACATCCTCAGGACGTCCTTAAGACGTACTCTGGACGTTCTCTGGATATCTGTGCTGTTAGGGTCCACATCAACATGATCCAAATGATCCATATCCATATGATCCACAACCTCGTTCATGTGATCCACATTCACATGATCTACATCCACATGATTTACATGATCCACATCCACATGATCCACTGCACCCGTTCCCGGATGCAGAGGTGGCGGACGAGACCACCGTTAGGACTCCACGAAGGAGGCGCAAAAGAAACAAGAGAAAACAAATTTTATTTTATATTAAACGGCAGCATGGCATCCGAAACAAGTTTGTTTTAATTTTCGTTAGAAAAAGAAAGATGTAACGCCAGCTTATGTTTATAGTTAATACTTACGACAAAGAAATTTAGTTTGCATGTTTTACAATGATAGTTTCATAAGTACAAAATGAGTTTAGTTACGTTTATAATTTTCGATAAATATATATTAGTTTCTTTTTAATGAGAGATAAAGTCTGCTCAAGATACAAAGTACAAACCCATTTCGAAAACGGGTGGATTAAAGAGCAATATGGGGTGGATAAATTTGAATTATTAGCGTTAATAAAATTATTTAATAATAATAATTAAAATATAATAATTATTGCATATTAATATTTACAACGCATATGCTCATAACTGAATATGAAAATTATAAAATTGAATATAAAAATTATAAAAATAAGCCACCCCCCCCATTAACGTCATTTTGTATCATTGCTAGAAGTTGTCTGCGCGGTCTTGAAATATTTCTTCTTGAATTGCGGATAATGCGTTACATGAAAGATGAGAAGGTGAAGGGGGCAAGACAGGAGAGAGTCTAGTTTAGCGATAAGATCTGCCACTGACTTGCCTCGCGCCTCCTCCTTCCGCGCGTATGCTCATCATTGGCGTGGTGCGACAAAGACAGAGAGCGATTGATCGTCTATGCTTTTTTATCTTACTATCTTCCTTAAGGAAGTAGAGAGAATAAGAACCGTGCACGCTTTGTCATTATCGTCAGGACGGGCGTAGTGTGCACACATTTTTTCAGGGGGCGCGTCAGTAAAAGCGTCCTGGCGTAACCGGCCCAGTGGCCGCTCTCAGATTTCTCTCTGATTTTAACTCTTATAAGACTACCAGTCTTTATTAGTGTCTCGTCGGTGCTTTTATGTTAAACGGATCGAGTTTACCGCCATGATCTGATCAGCTATCGGTGCCGCCGGAATATCAGTATTTAAGATTGCATACAACCCTCATGTACACGATTTTTCACTCGGTATGGAATGGCATAATATATCGTTCTATGAAAAATACGGCTGTCGTAATCCAGTCGTTCGGTCAGCATGGCTCAATGTAACCACGCATATTTAAGAAGGAGGATGTCGCGAATCCTATAAACGCCGATTTCTCGTTAAACATGTGAACTCTTTTTCTGCGACGCACACCCACAACGTACACGTATATATTTACATAGATTTACATATATATAAGCATATATGTATATATATGTAAATTTAGATGACTGTAAATAATGGTGTTTTGGGCTATCGTTTATTTGATAGCGATATTTCTGCGTTTCAGTTCCATACAAGCAAGTACGTATGTTTAAAAATCATAAGTAACATATAAGCTACATAATTTATATCTATACTTATACATAAATTATATTCCTTGTTGTTTTAGAATCAGAGTCTCATGGTTACTGTGCTCCATATAGTGGAGAGATCTGTAAAAAATATCTTGCTGGTATTGGGAAAGTATGGTTCAATGATTCCAAGGACAATCCTGGTGGATTGTTAAATGAACAGATTACTACAGATCTTTGGGATGAACTGATACTAAGACTTGTGGAGCCATGTCGTTCAGCAGCAGAGGTAAGTTATATATTCGAATATATTTAACCTTGTTAGGTTATACCATGTTAGGAAACATTTGAATTAATCGAAGAATTTAATTTCCTTCTTACAGAAAATGCTATGCATGTATGCATTTCCTCTGTGTCACGAGTCAGTAGGTTTACCTTTGTGTTACGAAGATTGCATGGCCATACGTCTTCAGTTTTGCTTCACCGACTGGGCTATTATCGAGGACAACAAGCAACGAGACATTTACATTCGCTCACGTGGACATTTTGTGCTACCTGAATGTGAGAGTTTGCCCAAAGTAAATAAAACGGTGCCTGCGTGCTCGCACGTGCACCTGACTGACATGGATGAGGAGGATGTAACTTGTAAGCTTCTTTCTTTAGATAATTCAACAATACATAAAGTATACTAATTTTATTGAATGATCAATTTGTAGATGATTGTATCAGAGGTAACGGTAGATTTTACATGGGGAAGATAAATAAAACCAAATTCGGACTGAACTGTCAATCATGGAGCGCACAAATACCACACAGCCACGATAAGCCTCCTGATGTCTTCCCGCAGATTCGTTACGGCGAGAATTACTGTAGAAACGCGGGCGGTGACGAACCAATGCCATGGTGCTTCACGACTGATACTTCAATACGCTGGCAACATTGCGATATTCCTGTATGTGGTGAGTATAACAAGATATAAAAAATATACTTAACATTTCAGTATACCATACAATCCATTTTAATAATCATATCTTTTTAATTGCATTGGAAGTAATAAAAAATATTAGAATACTCATTTGATACTCAAAGATTGAATGCTTCCAATATAAATTAGGAGAATTAAAAACATATAGTAGATTATACAAATTAATAATCTCTAATTACTTTCAATATGATTACTAGTCGAATTGAGTAATCTTTGAATAATAACAAAGTTTAATGTCTCACTCAGATAATGTTACAAGTAAAGTATTAGAAGGTGAACCGAACGATCCAGAGATGGAAATGTTGGTCACACCAGCGATGATATTCATGCTGTCGTTCGTGGGCTTCGCAATTGTAGTTGGCATATTTCTCTTTGTCCTGTTCATTATGCTAAGCCAAAAATTGCACAAACGCCAACGGGGCTACAACCCGACTGATAATCAAGTATGTATTTTTCTCATCAGATTTACACGTCCGCTACAATACACAAGATGCTACAAGTAAAGCAGAATAATTTCTCATGAAACATTTTACGTTCTCTATATCTCTATATCTCATTCGTTTCACCAAATACCTTGTATGTTATTGTTATAATGACTAAAAATATACACTTCTCTTACACATGACAGGATGTGAACATTGACCTGGACAAATTGCCAAATAACGAAGCCTATCACAAGACGAGCGCGCAGCTGAATCCGAAACTGGAGAAGCTCGAGTTCCCGCGGAACAATATCATTTACGTTCGTGACTTGGGGCAAGGTGCGTTTGGCCGCGTGTTCCAAGCGAAAGCGCCAGGACTGGTGCTGGGCGAGGAGTTCACTAATGTCGCTGTGAAGATGCTGAAGGAGGAGGCGTCGGATGACTTACTAGTGGACTTTGAGCGGGAGGCGTGTCTGCTTGCCGAATTTGACCACCCGAATATCGTAAAGCTGCTCGGCGTGTGTGCATTGGGGCGACCCATGTGCTTGTTGTTCGAGTACATGGGCCGCGGCGATCTGAACGAGTTTCTACGCTCTTGCTCGCCGAGTAGCTACGTCATCCGTAGCACGCAAGACCGTGAGGACGGCAGCGCGATGGATTCGCGGCTCTCGCACATGGACCTGATCAACATCGCGTTGCAGGTGGCATCCGGCATGGTATATCTGTCCGACCGGAAATTTGTACACCGCGATCTCGCCACGCGGAACTGTCTGATAAACGATCAAATGATCGTGAAGATCGCGGATTTCGGGCTGTCGCAGAAGATTTATCTGCAGGATTATTATAAAGGTGACGAACAGGACGCCATACCTGTGAGGTGGATGCCGCTCGAAAGCATACTTTACAACAAGTATACTGTCGAATCTGACGTGTGGGCGTTCGCAGTGTGTCTCTGGGAGATCTTCAGCTTCGCGCTGCAACCGTATTATGGGATGACGCACGAAGAAGTGGTCAAGTACATTAAGGAGGGCGATGTATTACGCTGCCCTGACAATACGCCTCAGTCTATATACTATCTGATGAAGCTCTGCTGGAACCGGCGACCGTCTGACCGTCCTACCTTCCGTACGATCTACCAGACTCTCGATGGCATCAAGCATGAACTGGAGGCGGAGAACAAGTCGGACAGCGTCCCGCTACGCATTCGCGTGTGAAGGATCAAGCTGATGATGAGGATGACGATGATGGTATCGGCCTCTCTTTCTCTCTCTCTCTCTCTCTCTCTCTTTCTCTCTCTCTTTCTCTATCTCTCTCGATAATGGCGCCTCATCGATTAAGATCGTCGATTAAAAGTAAGCGACATCACTTGTGTGTGCGTGTGTGCGTGTAACTACACTTCATGTTTATACATTTTCAGGTAAGTAACTTCGTGTTGTACTATAAATGTGACATGGAATGCCTTCTTAGTTGGATTCGCTCGGACGTGTCGCGTCGTGCGGAATGAGAAATGGACCAATTACACTTGTGGAAGACTTGCGAGACGGAAGACGCGATATTTTCACGATGCGTTCATATTTCTTCGAGAGCATTTTATCGCTGCTTCTGAGACGGTCGTCTGTCTGTATCGGGACATATGATACTACTCTTTCATTCTCAGAAATCACACTCATCGTCTTCTTTTTTCTTTCTTTCTTTTTTTTCTTGATATCGTGTTATCAAGTCTAAATCGTTTTTCACTCGCTCGTTTCCACTTGACGTTCGATTACGCTTCCAGTTATGCATCCGGAGTTATTAAGCAACGCTTTTCCAATGTGTGAGATATTACCGAGTCTGTACAAATATGTAAAAGTGATGTGGCTATAAAAGTGCATTTACAGTTAGCGACGTTACGCAGAATGATCTTCGTGAAGTTTCATCTGTGTTTCAGATCGAGATAATTCCTAGGATTGTTGTGACTGAGAAAGTTCGCGTGAACACGGGTCCGACTTTTGAATACTTTGAAGCGACTTCTTTACTTAGAACGATCCATCCAGAGGAATTGTCCTCCGAAACGCCGATGAAACCTAGCGGATCGTTCGATATTTAGAGGCTCCTTCATTGTTAGACATTAGGTTGTTAGATCGTTCGCTGTACCAAAAAAAAGTAAGTGAGAAACGATACAGATAAATGAGACCTATTTAATGTGCTGAAATTAACGAGAGAAAAATTATGAGGAATGTTAAGCAATAGCGAATCATTAAATGAGTGTGTGCACACCGTGGAGTTGTTATAAATTAAGATGCTGAGATCATCAGCGTTACGCGATGTTCTAGCACGAGGATAAAACGGTGTTGCGAAACCTCTACTACAATTTCAGATTACGTATTCAGCGTTTGCAGCGCGTGTAATCTTTTTGATACCATTTATTATTATTTAATGCCTAATGTACTTTGTAAAGATTTTTACACGAGTAGTTGAATTGTGTATTATATTGGATCGAGTCATAGGTAACTTTAACTATGTTATCTTACTAATTCTTAATCTTACTAATCTTATCTTTTAAAATGGAATTTAATACATATATGTATATATACATATATACATATATACAGGGTGTACCAAAAGTCTGGAAACAGTCGAATATTTCATAAACTATGCATTTTAAAAAGAAATGTTTCAGACAAAAATTATCTGGTTCGAGGGGGGATATAAAATGGTGTCATTGGATTGACTTTGAGTGAACATTCCAAGGTTATACGGAGTTCAACTTTGTTTTTTTAAATAGGACTCCCTATTTTTCATTACATATTCTTATAGCTCATCTCGAGAACTTTCCAAAACTAACTAACTATAAATAAGTTATGTTTTATTGAGTATTTTCCGAGTTATAGGGAAAGTTACAATACCGCCGGCATTAATCAAAGTGTACCGCGTGAAGGTTGCACGATTGGATTTACACCTCTTGTGTATGTGTGTGTGTCACAGCAGAGATAAGGACCCCACAGTTCGTCAATCCTGTAGTATTTAATGACTCCAAACGCTCTGCTGTGTATGTGTGTGCGCGCGTGCGTGCGTGTATATGTGTGTGTGTAAGGGTGTGTGGTTTAGTTGAGTAAGTGTTCAAATTGATCTCCGTCTGCTGCTTGACAATGGCCTAGCCGTAGATAAAAATTATTTAAAACATTTCGTCTCATCTCTGCCGAGATAAGATCGACTTGGTGTATTATACGTTCCCTAAGATCCGCAAGGTTGACAGGTTTTGTTTCGTATACATTGTTTTTAAGATATTCCCAAAAAAAGTAATCGACAGGAGAAGGATCTGGTGATCTAGCAGGCCACTCTATTTGACCACGTCTTCCTGTCCATCGGTTTGGAAAAGTATTATCCAAAAGTTGCCGTAGACAACAAGATGGTGCAGGTCTACACTATACTACTGCATAGTGCATAGTGTAGACCTGCACCATCTTGTTGGAACTAAATATTTTCTATGTTTCCATTAAACATATTTTCAAGAACGGGTATGACTTCATTTTGCAATAGCTCCTAATAGATCGCCACGTTCAAATTCCCATTAATGAAGAATGGTCCGACAATACCACGTTCGAAATCAGTTCACGATCTGGATAAATATTGTTAAATAAAGCAACTACTTGTTCATAGGATCTAACGCGGTCACCGTATCCTCGCATCATCAGTAAAGTAATTCTTTCTTTCAGACAATACCATTCTGGATGCCATTGAAATTTCACTCAGGATAGGAAAACGTTCGACTACAGGTCAAATCAGAACGATTAATGTAGCAAAACTTTTATTGGAAAAGAACTATGAAAAGTATAATAATTTCGATATTTGAATCTTCCCCTAGTCTACGGTCCGCATTCATTGAATCTTCTGTCGATTCTTTTCAGAAAGAATTACTGCGAATGATGCAAGGATATGGTGATCACGTTAGATCCTTTGAACAAGTAGCTGCTTATCTCTGCTGACACACACATACACAAAAGGTGTAAATCCAATTGTGCAACCTCCACTTTGCGGTACACTTTGGCTAATAACGGCGGTATTGTAACTTTCAAGCCCCATAACTCGGAAAATACTCAATAACACATAACTTATTTATAGTGTTTTGGAAAGCTCTCGAGATGAGCTACAAGAATATGTAATGAAAAATAGGGGATTCTATTTAAAAAAACAAAGTTGAACTTCGTATAACCTTGGAACGTTCACTCAAGATCAATCCAATGACACCATCTCATGTCCCCCCTCGAACCAAATAACTTTTGTCTGAAACATTTCTTTCTAAAATGCATAGTTTATGAAATATTCGACCGTTTCCAGATTTTTGGTACATCCTGTATATGTATATATACATAGGGTATTTTAAAAGAGTGGGTGGACTATATGTAGTTATATTTTTGTCATCAAGATAAACAAAACAATTCCTGTAAACATAACGCTTAATTAAGAAGTTAATGCCGAATCAAAATTATAAAAGAATTAACTTTGATGTTAACATAATATATATAATATTTATTTAAATTATTAAATCAACTTGACTTTGGCTGGGAACCATTTGAAGACAATTGTTTACCCTATTTCGATTAACAACGAATAACAAAAGAAAAGAATATAAAATGGATAAAATGGACGATATGCAATAGCAATGTTTGATTGCATAAGACAGTTCATGGTTTAAAAAACTGCATTGCTTCACGCAGTGGATATTTGAGCATCTTTTTAAATTTGTTTTAACTTTATGAAATTAATTAAATTTAAATATATATTGTATGTACCACATCAACATTGAAATTAATTTTTTTAATCTTGACGTTAATATTTTAATTAAATGTTTTGTGCATTATGTTTATAGAAACTTTTGCTTGTCTTGATGAGAAGAATATAGTTACAGTTACAAGAATATAGCCAGCTTGTCTTTTTTGAAATATCTTTGATATATCTAAAGTATAACTTCACATATCTTTTAAAATTAATATATCTTGTTTTCAAACAAGTTTCAACATTTCTTTAAGAAAATCCTCATTTAATTAAATGTAATTCGGATATAATTTAATTCGTAAAATTGATAAACATACTATATATCTGTTTATATTTCCTGTTCCTTTATATTTTTTTATATTTATTTATTTATATGTTATTTATGACTCAATCCAATGTAGTTTATAATAAAGGCTCTATGTTGTACCCTGCGTTCAGGGTATATAGGGAAGTGTTCCCTGTGGAAAAAATAAGGATAATTGCGTCCACATTTAGTTATCTCTTATTTATATAGTTCTCGTTTTTCAATCCAGTAGCTAGCTTGTTGGGAGAATAGTATGCTACTTCGTTCGACTTGTTGTAACTTTAGCGAAACCGACTGAAACAAATCGACTGATCGTATCTCGTCACTGTCTGATTACATTCCAGTAAATGTTTATTGTTAAGCAACGTATCTATATGGGGAATCGTCTGCATTATACGCTATATACGTGTTTTATGATTTTTTTTTAATAAATATTTTCTATTCAACGAGTAATCGTAGACTATATAATAGATGTAACAGTGACTCTTGAATCTCGTTGCACGATTCTTTTCCGCGAGTGATCGCTGATCGACGATTAAATTTGCATCGTTATCGTTATCAATATCGACGTAAAACCCTACTCGAACATCGATGTGGATACGACTATCCGAACTTATAACGTAACCTGTGAATTCTTCCAAGCAAATTCGGTGTAGCAATTTTTTGTAAATAACCGATAACGTTTCACGAGTCTGTACTGCCGACAATACTGCCTTTATATACTATTTCTACCAATAAACTACTTAATTGTGGAATATCACGTTGAATCAATAATCGATCTAATTGTACCACGAACCACGTCGAAGAAGGAAGTACCTCTACTGAGACTTTTTGCCGATGTACAATCTTGACAAAAAATAAACGATCGATTTCATATTACTTCGAACTGCTCTCCCCGTTACACGCGTTTCATTAATCGTTAAATATACGCACATATTAGATGTTTAACTTTACATTTAAATGTACCTGAAATTATAACGTAAAGAAAAAGTGACTAAGGAATAAAATCATCGCACAAACCCATATCTTTACATTTTGCATCGTAAGTATATTTTTCGCAGCAGTGTGTCTCTCTATCTGTGGAACTAACTTAAAATAATTCATCATCTTATAAAAAGCAGATGGTTTGCGTCTTGTGTATATATATATATATATTACATTATTTTCTTATATGCTACCTTATACATACAGATATACATTAAACGCCTTGTGATATACAAACTGCGTCCAGTGCAACAATTTTAGTCGCGTTACATCGTGATATATATTTTTGGTATGTCTCCCTTAAACACGCTCATAAATGTGACTTCGCGTTCGACGTGCAAAATACGGAAGGTTTCCTTCAGGGTGACTAGCCTCACTTGATTCAGTCCGTCTCTTTAATTAACAACAGGCAACGTTGTGTTTATATATGCGTGCCGCGATGGAAAACATCTGGATATAGACACATCACAGATCCTAATCAAGTTTCCCTCTTAAAGTTTGCAGACTATATATAGATATCGTGTCTGTCGTGCACGATAGATGAGAAACAAGGCTTGTACACTTATAACTGATCTATACAATACTGATGATGCCTCTTATAAAGTAAATAATTACACCTATTAATTATTGCAATTCAACTCTATATGCATTTGGTACAACGAATACTCAAGAACTGAGAAAGGAATGTTTTTGCATATTGATATTGATACTTGGAGATGTGCAATGATTTCGACGCACGTTCGGCATATGTCTTGACATGCAAAGAAGGTAAATCACCGTGAAATAGGTGAGCCAAGTGTCTCTGTCTCTTAGATCGGAAATTCTGTTGCATTTTTGAGTCCAAGAGAGAGGGAGGTACGTTTCAGCGTTCTATTTCCAGCGATTCATTCTATATACTGTTTTCGATTGTATAACTCTGTGTAGCTTGTGTTATAGAAAGTACTAAAAGTACACATACGTTCTACGTTGCCTATATCGTTATTTGCACGAAACAATAACGACAGACCAGCTGAGACGCTACAATCAAAACGCGTCCTTGATGTTTTGAAACTGTCGCACAGCCAGGTCCACTGGTAAGTCGAACTTGTAAGTGGTGAGGCGATCCAAAGTGTGAAATGCATCTTGGAAACCTATCCAGAAAATGTCAATAGTTCAAAACTTTTGTTAGACTGTTATACTGCAATATCGACATGTACCTGTCTTTACAACGTAGCTCCACGAGAGATAATAATGCTCCAGAAGGTATTGGCATTGTAAGATCAGTTTCAGCCATACCACGAGCTTATTCGCGCTGTAAATAAATAATGGTTAATCGATCGGCCAAAAACAGCTACATATAGCGACCGACTGATGAACTGTCGCGTAATACATGTAATGAGAAACTATATAACCACGATTAATTATAACGAATAGTTATAATCGCAAGCCTTATCGCGAGTTTGAATCATGTACTCACTTCAAAGCCGCGCATATGAATGCCTTGAAGTGCGAGTCGTAGCTTCGTTTGTACGGACTGTGGGAAGCGATGATGTTACCTATGGTCGTCAGTAAGCTCTAGACGAGAGAAACGAGAAATCATAGAGACACACTGACATTTCTATATATCGGTATCCGCCAAAATATACAGACACTCAACGTACTTGTTTAGAGGACGCTATTCTGCCAGCCGCGAGGTCCAGGTTGAAACTCTGCGAGAGCTTCTGCGCCGGACTGGAGTTGTAACGTCGTCCGTTCTTGATCTCGTAGTATTTGAGTATCAGCTCCCAAGCGTGCATGAAGTTGGACGACGAGACGTTCCGCTGCGGGAAGCAGCCGACGAACGGCACCACGCTGGTGGAGCGCAGCACGTCGGACGTCAGACCGTGCTGCATCAGATCCCGGATCGAGGCGGCGAAGTGCTTCCTCACCGCGGATGTGAGCTTCGCGTTCGCGTGCGACGTGGAGTCCGAATCTGAGGTGTAGTCGTTCTCGTTGTCGATGTCGTCGTCCTCCTCCTCAGGATGCCGTTGCGCCTCGGCGATCGTCTCCAGCACGTGCTCCACGGCAATGTCCAACCTGGTGCGCAGGTCTCGCCAGTTGTGCACCGGGTTCTTTTTGAAGTTTCGACGCACGCGCTCGCTGCCGCAGCCCAGCTGCGACATCAGGAACATGTGCAGTAACGCGACCACCTTCCGCACAGTGTTGAGTGTCCTGGTGCGGTTGCTGTCCTCTTCGATGGATTTCCTATTGAAGTGCCGCTTGGCGTAGGAAGCTGAAGTGCCGGAGCCTGTGCTCGAGCCCGAGCCGCCGGCGTGCACCGGACATGCGCATGTGCACGCTAAAGTTTCTGTACTGACTTCTCCTTGAAGGTAGTTTATGAAACGCTCCAAGTCAGCAATCTGCGTTTTTAACTGACAGACTAATTGTTCCTTCATCTTCAGTGGGCTGACAATCTGTGACGTGTGTAATAGATACGTATCAATTGTGGCAATTGCGCTTCGAACAGCACAATATTTAGCGCGCAAATCAGAATCGTGCTCTACGTACTTGACTTATCGCGTAATCGACTTGCCATCTGAGGTCGTCCGCCGGCAATTTACACAAATCGTCGACATCGAAGTTCAGTTTCTCTTTCAAATGACCTGCGAGCGTTGAATTTAACATCGCTTAGAATTGCTTCGTGATACTCAATGAGAAGAAATTAATACGTTCGGTGATATAAGACTTACTAATTATAATACTTTGTCTTTCCAAAATAACGCTCTGCGGTAGATCAGCGTCGCCTGTCTCGTACGCGTACTTTTCCAGATCCTCCAATTGAGATTTCAGCTGACTTATCAGTTCTCTCTGTTTCGTTCTTTGCAATGCCATTTTAGACTCGATCTCCGCATCGGTGATTACACCGTTCACCTACAGTTTATGTTACAAGTCGATGCGATTAAATTAGCTACTATTAAAGGTGTTCCTTTGTGATTTCCATTGCTGTCTTTCAAGTGCTGTAGCCGAAAGAGATTTAGAAAATTGTGACAGGCGTATGTAAGCGTGTGTTTATCCGCTGCGATCTTGTCCTCATTAATCACACGTGGAATAAAGGATGAGATGCGCAGGTACTAAAATAAATTGAAAGAATAGAAAAAAATAAACGGAAAAATCTTTGTTTCACGTTCAACCATAGTATAAGGATAAAAAATATAAAGATATGCAACATAAAGACGGTAAAATTAACGAAATATATGGAAATAAAGAAAAGGTAATAAAAAATTTTAGAAATTAAATGAAAAATGACTATAAAGGATATATTTCATCGTATATGTAAGCATGCATACATAAGCTCACACAATAAATATACAGTCAAAGCAAAAATGCTGCTAATAAAGTAGCAAGAGAATATCAGATAATAAAAAAAATTAAATGCTGAAAATTTGTTTATGTGGAAAAGCTGCAGAATACTTGTTCTCTATATAGCTTACACTTTGGTCACAGGATATAGGAGAAACCGGTGTGATAGATCTGCTGTCTAATAATAAGTTATTTGGTACATCTGGTATTCCCCTAAATGCAAATTCTTCTAACTCTTTGAGCAAGGTCTCCTTTTCACTGGCTGGTGCATCTACAATTTGTCGGAGACGAAACTGAACCTATAGAAAGTTCAAGTGTGTCAGTATACACAGGTAATTGCAAGTTTATAAAGATATTTTCAATCATATTATACCTGAGCAAAATGAGTAGTTAATGCTATTAGAGATGAGTTTAACATCTCTTGTTCCTCTTCCAGCACCTTGACTCTCTCCATATCATATGTAAGACTATCAATAAGATTATTTGATTTTATATATAATAGTTATTCATAGTGTTTTAATCAGCAAATGAATAAAACAGCTGTTTAGAGCCTGTTTACTGATTTTAATCAACTATATAGCCTATATTCTTCAAATTATATATCAATTTATTTTATCACATTACAAATAGTTTTATGTTTCTTTTGGTTATTTATCAGTCACAGAATATGAAATATTGTAGTTTCAACGGTGTCTTTTAGTTATTTTGTAAAACTGTTCTTTAACAAAAGCATATTTGCTACATTTTGAAAAGTACTTCTATACATTGAGTGTCTCAAGTTTCCAACAATAGAACTATAGAGGCTCATGTTCAGCTTGACATTTAACAAAGGGAAAGAGATAAGTCGCTGACGTACTTCTCCATGGCATTGACGTATTTGTATTCGTCCGCGAATTCATTGTCACCGTCGTTCGCGCCGACAGGAGCCCACCTCTCACCGGACGGCCTGTCACTCTCGTCGGAATTCTCGATTTCATCAATCTCACAGACCCTATGCCGTTCGTCGTCCATCCTATCTTTGCCGCCGATCGCTTCACTTTGCTTCTGGTTCGAGCAGTAACGAACAACATATCGATTTAGAAGCTCTGTCAGTCACGTACGCGCCCGCGAACGATTCCGCATAATTTCGCGTCGTGATTTACTTACCATGACAGGTATACTCCGTGACGGGCGCCTCGGACACGGTCCGGATTGCGTGTTTAGCTCGCAGACTCCTTCATGCCTAAATCATTAATTGATCAGTGCGCACGTGTACATGACCGAGACAGGTCAGACGTCAGAAGAGCGGTACAGGTACAGACCATGCAAAAGCTGATTAACGCGATTTCTTACCGCGTCCGTACATTCCGTGCATCGGCAGTGCAACTTGCGTCTCAGCCATTGCAGCCAACTTTGTGACTGTTTGTGACTTTACACACTCGTTAAGCCAGCGGCACACGGTGCTTGTTTTCGTGCTGGATTGCTTGCTGGATGAAAATACTGCGTTCTGATTGGTACATTTTCGAAGATGGATGGAGATACACCAGGAAGTTCGGCATAGCAGAACGGAAGAGAAACGGAAAAGGGGAAATGGGTTTAACGAATCATAGCAATTCCGTTCGGTTGTTTCACTATGAAACAACGGAACAGAATTGCTCTGATTGGTTAACCCCCCACCACTTGCCTCTCCCGTTTCTCTTTCGTTCCGCTATTTCGAACTTCATGTGATCGTATCCTTGCATCTGTTCATTTTCGTTCTCTCGATGCTTTTAAAATGTTGAAGGTTATGTCATTTGTATAACATGGCGTCAAATAAGAGTAATAGTTTTCAAAAAACGTTGGAGTATAGGATTTACAAGTGCTCCAGCTTCTGTTCCACCTTCGTGCCTGAGTAAGTGATTTCACCGGTCCTGCGTTGCATTGTCGCAACGTTGAAACAGTCGGACGATCAGTCGTCGACAGATTGAAGCTGTTTAACCTATAAAAAAGAGGGGGATGTGTCTGATAAACTTTCGTGTAGTCGTGACACGAGCGATAAACGCGTTAAAATCATCCGAATGGAAGGCGCCCGTCGTAATTCGTGTGCACCGATTTATGTTTCAGGAATATTCTCGTCGACAAACCGTCGGATCAGACATCACGTTGGTCCTCTGAACTTGATTGTCACCCGCAGGTAAAGATTGCTGTACACGATTGTGCTCAAATTTCTCTTTTCTCGCATTTTGTTGTTTACCTTGTATGATCATGTATTTCAGTATATTATTCTCAAACTGCAACGTCCTTCTATCGTCAAATCTATTATTTTCGGCAAATACGAGAAAAGCCATGTATGTAACATGAAGAAATTTAAAGTGTATGGTGGATTGGATATTGAAAATATGACGGAGCTTCTTGATAGGTTTGTCGATTATTCTGGATTATCTGGATTAATGAGTTACTTTTTCTCTGTTGTCTGGTCTACACATATTAAAACATTTTGGATTTACAGTGGATTGAGGAATGATTCCACGCCAGAAATATTCGAACTTAAACACACTGTTGGATCTGAAGAAAATTTTTTGCCTCTCCGATATATCAAAATCCTTCCGTTGCTATCATGGGGTTCTAGTTTTAATTTTTCTATATGGCATGTCAAGTTAGTCGGCACTGACGAATCTATGATTGTAAAACCTTGCTTGGAATGGGTTAACATGGTAAGATTTTTGTGATGTTAAAACCAGCAGAATATTTCCAGCTATAAGACAAAGATGATATACATGTGGTTGTGTTATTGCAGTACCGACAAAGGGAAATAATAAGACTATGCATGAAACATTTTCGACGATTGGAACAACCAGAAATTGTGGAGACTTTGCAAAAAGTCACTGGGGTTCATTTGGAAGATTCACGATTATCGACATTGTATGATCTGCTAGTCGTAAAGGGCGACCATTTACAGGCAGAACGTTTCATCAATAATGCGGTCATGGGTAAGTCCCTTTGTCACACATACCTTCTTTGAACTTGACCTGCAGCCGTAACGCTTATACATTGAATGCGCTTTTTAGTGGGGCTCTTAAACGATTATATCAATGCTCAAACTTATAGAGCAAGTTGGACGAAGATAACTTCCAGCGATCCCAAGCCTGGGATGCGAGGAGGTCATCAAATGGTGCTTGATCCTACGGCCGAGGTACTCTATCTTTTTGGCGGATGGGACGGCAACCAAGATCTTTCCGACTTGTGGTCGTACGATATTGCGGTCAGCAAATGGACGCTCATATGCAAGGATACTGAAGCAGTGGTTGGTGTATTGTCGTGTATCTACGCTTTTTGGAAGAAAAATATTCCGAGGTTTCAATTATAAAAATCGCGTAAGATTGTACTATATCAATTAACTGCTAACATATTCCATTGGTAAAAAACCAAATTAAACGCAATTACATAATTTAGAGAATTTTTAGATTTGAAAATTTTATGAATTGTATATAAATTCTAAAGAGTTTGTGACTGGAAGCTGAATAAAGAAATTAACTTTTTTCTTCCAAGGGATATACATGTAACGTGTATATCTATAATTATATAATGATTTAATTATATAATTATATGCGAATTGGCAAATATAAAATTTACACAAATGGTATTGTTATATGATAGTTATAATTATGTAATAAATTATTACATGTAACATATAACGGGCATTTTTAGGGTGGTCCATGCGCACGCTCGTGCCATAAAATGTGCCTAGACCCGAAAAGACGGCAACTGTTCACACTTGGAAGGTACTTGGACACGCAATTCAGAACCTGCGAAAATCTAAGAAGCGACTTTTATGTTTACGACATCGAGTCCAACAAGTGGACGTTGATCACAGAAGACACGGGAGCCGTGGGTGGACCTCAGCTGATATTCGACCATCAGATGACGATGGACGTAGAAAAACGTACCATCTATGTTTTTGGTGGACGAGTGTTGGTTACTCCGTCGAAGTAAGTTACACGAGAATGGTACCGTTTACGTTTCTGATAAAATTGCGGCTATTTCGAATATTCGAAAGACAATTTTGATAGATTAAAATCACTGCCGAAAAGGATGGTTTTGAATTCCTCCAAAATAAGGAAATCGATTCGTTTTGATCTCTACGATTCTCTCTGTCATCCCTCGCATTCATTGGTCTGGATTTCGCATCCGAAATTACTTATTGCACGAACCAATTGATTATTTCTTCGAATTATAGTCCAGAAGATCATAGTATAATGCATACATCATCAGAACCAGTTTTCTCGGGATTGTATTCTTATCATGTGCCGACTGGAACTTGGGACAAGCTCGCCTGTGATACTGCTGATAAGAGCTCACGTGACGTACCAGGCTACCGATCTCGAGCTGGTCACTCCATGCTGTTTCATCCGGTTAGTATCTCCTCCGTTTCGTCGTGTTATTCTCGTTTTCTAATCTTTCGAGCTATAAAAATGTCCGAGTAAGCACGATGAGAGATACTTGTGGTTCTTTCAGGGGTCGAGAAAATTATACGTATTCGCGGGCCAACGAGGCAAAGAATATCTGAGTGATTTTTTCACTTACGAAGTGGACACGCATCAAATCGAGTTTATAAGCCCGAGCGAGTTTAGCACGAAGGACTCTAATCATGTACCGGCAGCTGGATACACACAAAGAGCGACTATCGATCCCAAGCTTGGCGAGATTTACGTGCTGTCGGTGTGTATCGCTCGGTCATTAAACATGTATACAATGAGCATTAGAATGTTAACGTGAATGTATTCGTAGGGTCTGAGCAAGGACAAAGATAAGAGAGACGATAATGTGCAAAATTCCTTTTGGGTATATAATATCCAGAGCAGTAAATGGACTTGCATATACCGCAACGAGAACGCCGGCGAGAAGTATTGGAGCAAGATGCAAGATTACGAACCGTGCCCGCGATTCGCGCATCAGATTGTTTACGATCATACTAGGAAGGTAAACTCCTACAAATTTGTTGTACGGCATTGAGCCGAGGTATTTTTTAATAGTCAGAATGCTAATGTATGATGTCTTCTCGATAGGTTCATTTTCTATTTGGTGGTAATCCAGGCAGATCTTGTTTTCCAAACCTGAGACTCGACGATTTTTGGCAATTGGAGCTACGCCGTCCTACGCACGAACAGATCCTGAAGAAGTGTAAGCTGATTATCAGGAAGCACAAATTTCAGGAACTTGCTCTGAGCAACAGCATAGAAGCCCTCGAATATTTACAGACGAGAGTCTTTGAGATTATCGATCACAATGATGCGCAACAAACGAAAGAGGTAATTATATGTAAATATTTATATATACGAAACAATGTAATATTTATAAATATTTATATATACGAAACAATGTAATATTTATAAATATTTATATATGAAAAACAATATAATATTCATAAATCTATATACGAAATAATTTACGAGATCGTGTTAGTGTTTCGAGAGGTAATGGAATTATTTTAAGCGGAATAGTCCGCATCAACATTCATTAATCTTCGATATTTGTAGAATCACAAGTTGAAATGTAAGAAATACGTCTCAAAAAAAAAAAGGAAAGAAAAAAGTTCTAACACACATAAAATATATAGTTATATTTATATGTCTATCCACATATAAAATCAGTCAATATATTGATGAGAATCTTTTAATTCTTGAAATTTTTTAGTTTGACTTTTGAATTTCAAGAATTACCTTGTCGAGTAGTGGTAATGCCTGACACGTTTTACATTACGATGAACGTCACACGAGTTTTCTTATTTTCCAGTTTCAATCGTTGACTTCAGTTTTATTCCGAGAGCGGAACGTTGCATTGGTGAATACTTCCTATCCGGATACATCTAACGACATCCTGAGTAATCTGGCCACTGGCGTGATGCAACAACAGTGTATGAAGTCACGTAACGTACATAATTTGAGAACCGAACTGTACGACGAACTTGCGAAATTCTTTCCTGAGTCGTTGGCCCAGCCGCGGGCAAACCTGATCGATCTCTTGCCGTTATAATGCAACAGCAGCTGCGAGACGACGGATTGTTCTGACGTATGTTGCATCTTCTATTCTGTTTTTATTATTTTCGGCCACTTGCCGACAAAAGCACTTGTTGCCAAGCGATCTTATATTTTTGTTTAAGATTAAAGATAGCTTTGTCACGATATGACTTGCTTTTTATTTTTATTAATTTTCTATTTTGGATTCACTACTAATCGCGGGAAACGGCTTAATTAAGTTAACTAGACGATGTTTAGTTAATGTTATTTTTCATATTCTATTTGACAGCCCACTGTTTTCACATGATTTTATTTATTTCGTTATTATGTATACGTGTATGTATTCGCAATATTATTGTTAGATTTTTTCTTTTTCTCGCAAATCGCGTTTGTTCGAGGATAAAAGTTTCCGGACAAAGAATCTATATGTTACTTTATCTATTATTATCTGAGATCGACTTTCTTCTTCTATGAACTTTGTGATATCGATAGCTTTCTAACCATTGACTGGTTAGCTAATGCATAAGTAGTTGTATCGGTTTTATAATCTCTCTTATATTCTGTAACTTATATGTTTATAACGCGGCCATGAAGTTATTGTTATGTTTGCTAAAGTAATATATATATTCATCGAACAAATCGAAAGAACTATTGAGGTAAGACTAGATAATAATGCGCTGAGAGAATTTGTGACATCGAGAGGGCAATTGTATCCGTGTGGAGTGTTACAAGCCATCACGAACTACAAAAACATAGCAAATTTTTTTCCATTTTCAACGAAGCTTTCGATAAGACAACCCTTTGCCAGCCAAATTCTTCAGATGGAAATTTGCGAAAGAAGAATTTTATTGCTATGTCTAATAATGTTCGTGGAGGCAAACTGGTAACAGTGCATATGTATATCGCCCAGTTCCGTCGATCCTTTCTCTCTCTTATGAAATGTCTTTTTAATCGACCAATAGTTCTAATTATCATTATCTTTTTCGTTTGCAATTTGATATTAAGTTCGCTCATCAGAAATTCCTTCTAACAATAAGCATGAAACATGGAATCTGAAAATGTATTACATCTGCAAGTATTAACTGCGAGCTGATACGTTGCAGTTGAATCCTTTTCGATTTCTTATGATGTTTCTAGCTTTTTTTTTCTCCCCTCTCTCCTACATATATTTTTACACACCTATCAGTTATAAACAACATTCATTAATTTACGACATATTTCACAATAGAAATTACGCACAAGTTACGGCATACTTCGGGAATTCTGAGTTTGCGTCACTATGTAAATATAATATAATATTTCAGCTATCATGATTTTCCTTTCCATCGTAATTGCCTTACGGTGCGCTCGTTTTACCGTTTGACGGCCGATATTTTGTATATAGCGATGTGTTGCACTAAAACTGCAATCAGTCTCTCGCGTAGGAAGTTACGAAATAAGAAAGAGATAAGTATAAGCGAGAATATAATGACGATTATATGCAGATGCATTGCAGAGCGTAGGTGAAACAAAATTGCACCCGCTGAGAAATCCCAGAGGCGTGTCTTTGTACATATAATTGTAACGATTTAAGGAACGTCAAAGATTTTTATAATGTGATTCCAATTACGTACTAAGTTAGATAATGGAATTGTACAAAAAGATACGAGAGAGCGAGAGATATGTAGAGAGACGAATGACCGAAGTATAGAGAGACAAGTGTATGAAGCTTTCGCTAGAATAAATCAACACAATGCCGCCATTCCTCAGATATACCAGATAAAACCAGACTTGCCTCGAAGCTCAAAGGAAATAACTGTGTTACACGCAACACACACGTACGTATCTACACGCACACCCACATACACACACACACACACAAGAATACACAAAATCAATCCTTCGAGCTGCGAGGCACGAAAACGACGAATGATATCCGAAGTTCTAGTCAGATAATAAAAGTTTATAAAAAATATATGGAAAACTACGAGTTTGGAACTTATTTACTTATTTGGGCAAATTCAGTTGGAAGGCCAAATTTTATTTATCACCATTATCAAGAGAAATGCATTTTCTCTAAGATTATCATATACACAGATAACTATCTTTATAATAGATTATATATATATAATCTGTTATATATATATAATGTATACAATATATACACATAAGAGAAGACGGACAAATGCATTGAACATCAATATCGTTCGATATCGACACAACGTCCACATTTAGAACGGAAGATTGAACAATCGATAACATGTAAAAAGTATAAATTCTCAGTCTCTATTATTAACATATATGTATATAAATTATAGTAATTGTTCTTGCAAGGAAGCTTTATATTACTGATCCGCTGATCCGTCGCCTTGTGTTTCACCATTCATCATTTTTATCAAAATATACGTGCATTCTTTCACAGTAACGTGCACTATTCAGTGTTTTCTATTTTCTGTTTCTAAAGTATATTAACTTTGGTAAGACATGTGTTATCTCTGATATGAGATTGTTGTACATATCACATTCGAAAGCCTAAATTCTCAAAAGCACCACTAAATAAGTTAGCGAGACACTCATTTCTGGAAATATTATGGGAAGAAGCTTATATTAGATTAAACAATAAAAAATAACACGAATATCGTAAGATATCGTAAGAAATTGAGAAAAAGAACATCGGCTGTCGTTCATAGCGAAATTACGAGCGACCGTCATATTGCTTAGATATTCAGAAATATTACGCGATTAAGTTTGTTAAGATTAACTTGGAATCTGGTAAACCATCGATCAGATAATGAGAAGAATTGGACATGGACGCAAGGTCGGCTTCGAACAGAGTTAGCTGTAGCTCCTTTCGCGCCTTCTGTACAATATATACCATTAGTGAGACTCCTACTAATATCTGCAAAAGAGAACAGAGATTTTATTACCACTAACTTAACTCGCGAAAGTTAATAAGAACACAATGTACCTGGAAGCAAAAGACTATATAGCCAGTTGCTGCCGTGGACCTATCTTCCAAAACATCCTGCATGGATCTCAGGCTGCTGCCCAAATAAACGTTGACCAGCTGGGCAGGCAGCAAGCCGATCGCGCTCGCTATGTGGTAATGAAAACCACCTATATTACTGACCTAATCACACACAAACATATATATATATATATATATGTACATATTATATAAGCATGTATATGTATATATATTGGTTATATATAAAGATACGATTTGACTTGTGACCGAAATTATTTAATATATGAAATATACATACCGCAAAGATAGTATTCTGAAGACCAAATGGAATTGGCGTTAATCGTGCAAATAGCACAATCTTAAAAGCCTGAGGTCCAGAGATAACACGGAGTATTGCTCTGGCTGTGTCACTCTGCAGAAGAGCGCCTATGGGTAACTTTGTAGAGAGCAAGCCCAGAGTGAAATGAGCTATAGCTATGCCGAGATTGGCAGAGAGTATCACAATCATCATGCCGCGCACCACGCCAAACAAGTAACCGCTGGCGACGATGAGGAACAGATAACCAATTACGATCGGGAACGAGACTACTGTGAACAGAGCTATGAAAATCACTGTGATGATCCAAGCATTCTGATGCTCAATCCAGTAGAGGAGTACTTTGATATAGTCCCTGCAGACGAAGACTATTGCACCAAGAAAGGCCAGAGTCGCAATTGTAATTGCCACATAGCATATCGAGTTTGAGCTGATACAATTGAACGGTATTCCCGAACTCTTGGAAGAACGCATTCCAGTCTCCACGTCATCTATGTTAATAATATCCATGTTTGTTGAGCTTTTCTAACATTCACGATACATCAACGAGTCGTCTCTGGCTTGTGACGTGCTTGAAAGTGAAAATTGATACATGAGATTATAAGAAAATTATAGTTTATTGCTTTGGGCATACGTTTCGTCAAAGATACGATAAAAATATAAGGTTGAATGACCAAGTTGAAAGTGGTTCCTCACCTTTCGATACACACATCAATCAACGATGCGGTTAGCTTTGCGCTTCGGTCCATAATTGCTCGGAACGCGTGCAAGTTTATCTCAATCTGTTTAAACGTGTCACAAAGTCTCACTTCTCAAACGCATTATTCGATGATATGCTGCTCTACAATGAGAAAAGGAATCCAATGAAGGAATTAAAAATGTTACGTACGTAACGTAATTATGCAGGAATGTGCGATTTGATGCAAATGTATTGCTTCATATATGCGTATTAGATTCCCGTTAATCATTAATATTCTTCGCGTTATAAAAAGCGTGATCTGGGACTCCGATTAACTGTCAGTGATGCAGTTGTAAACAGCGATTAGTCGCGACATGAGAGGTTTGTTCTTTTTCTTTGTACTGGCTGCACTGATTCAAAAAGTGTAGACTGAGGGTGCGTTCGGGAAGACGTTAGAGCTATTTAGAGCTATAGATTTCGCCCAATTTGTGAAGGTAGATGATAACGCTAATAATTGCCATCATTAATGATAGCGTCATTAATGATAGCGTTGCATGCTATAATTACACGCTGTAAACGTTATTCCTTCCGTGAACAACCGAAACGCTGTGAACTGTACATTTGTCACTACACATAATTGTCAAACAGTACTGGTAGTGGTACAATTTATTTATTTTACTATCATTTATGTATGTTACGAATCATTGCGTTTAAATAAATCTTCGAGTAATGTTAACTGCAGAGATGTTTAAATTGCGAAAATAACATTATAACGCGGTAATGTAAATGCTACTCTTTGCTGTTCGCGAAGTTCGCTATCGCTATCGCGCTATTAGTTCCACGACAGTTTTACTAGTGTCTGTGTTGGTAGCACTAATAATATCTCTCCGAATCCATCCTAAACGTTCTAATATTTTTTTTAACGCCATGATGTCGACATGGTTATTCTACTGATTATTATTTTCGAAAATACAAGTAAGAAAATATTTTTTCTTCATTTACAATAATATTTTCCAATTCGTCTCTTATTAAACTTTCCTATATTTTCCTGATTTATATTCTTTCAAATTAACCAGTACAGCCAGTATAGAAGAAACGAACAAATGTTAGTTATGGGGATCCCTAGCTGCGTAAACTTCAGAGCGGTCGATCCTTTTTGATAAAGTAATATAATGAATTTTTGAGATTAGTTTATAAAATACTTTCATGTGCATGGCAAAATGGCAGTGTCCTTCTGTGTGAGAAGAATTATATCAACGCGGCAGAGTTTTCTGAAAATACCTAAACGACATGGATACATAGTCTTGTAAGTTCGCTCTCGTGATTCTCTCTCTCTTTCTGTGTAGAGGTTAGGTTCCATTTAAATATATATTTTCTACAATTGATATTTTTACATTTCCTTTATTATTATATGCGAAAGTCTTCGTAGTATTTATATAATTGTTATTATTCCGTAATATCAGCTTCAATTTTAATATATTTTATGCACTATTTGTACTGTGCAAAACTCTAACTTTATTTTTAAATGTTTATTTGCGTATATTTGTCATCTTATATATATCTCTTGCATCAGATTTAGTTATTGTATAATTTGTACGATTTTATATAATTTGTATATTTCTTTACATTATTTTTTTATATTGATATATTTACATACACTATGTTAATTTATAAAACAAAATTTTTTAATTTATAAAGTATTATATATATTTTTTCTACTCATTTATATTTTTCCTTATCTTATGTTATCATCTAATTTCTTTGTCATTGAATTTATGTTCATATGTATACTATATAATTTATATAACTTAAAAATATTTATTCTTTGTGTCAAGATTACCAGAGATAGGCGATGAATCATCTGAGAAGAATCCATTGTTAAAAAATAACAATTTGCCTGAATTTAATACTATTACAATTGAAAAATGTATTGCTGCTATTGGGAGGCAAACTGTAGAATTCGAAGAAAAGATGAAAAGCTTAGCAGAAGTTATAGAATGTAGGTATATAATATCAAGATAAAATAATATATAATTAATTAAAAATAATCAATGATTATTTTACTGGATTATCTACTTATCAATATATTTTATTTCAAAGTTAATAAAAATATTCATTTTAAATATAGTATATTATATATAAAATATCTTTTTTATATTTTTTATGTTAGTAACCAAGTAATAAAAATAATATAATCATATCATTTTAAATAAAAAGAAAATATAATTTCTGTTTAATCTCTAATTTTGATCATTTTTTGTAGCAACAAAAGATCTAGATATATTTAATGATTTACTGCATACAATTGAAGATGCATACTTGTCTTTAGAGACTACATGGGGCATAGCAAAGACTTTATATTTTGGCAATCAAAGTGTGATGCCCACAAAATCTTATGTATTTATTCATGAGCGTGCATCAAGAGCTGCAGTTAGCAAATTTAACAATGCATCATTCTATAGAGTATTTAAGGAAGCCCTGGAGAATAAAGACATAAAATTAACGCACTCCCAGAAACGAGTATTGAGCAAGTATGTACTAGAAGGGACATTAAATGGTTTGCAACTCAAAGGTGAAGACTATGAGCTGTTTGTAGATGATATGGATTATATAGGGCGCAAAGTCAAGGAATATAAGGGAAAATATGAGGTTTGTATCCATAATTATAATGTACCCATAATTATAATATAAAATATATAAATATAGTAATGTTATTTTCAAGTCTACAATGTATATAACTATGTTTTGGAAGAAGTCTAGCAACCATTTTCATTAAAATTGATTTTGTTAGGCTGTTACAAGAGTTTATAGTCTCACGATACAAAATGAAGACGTCATACAAGACTTCCCAGAGGATTTTCTTAAAACCATTGCACTTGATCCCAAGCAGTTTCTCTTAGGCCCATGGAAGATTACCTTAAAACCATACATCATGGAACCGTTTATGGGCATGTATTTTTTATATTTCCGTGAATATGTTAATTGAATGATAGTGCTTTGTCTTGTCTACCACTTGATATTTAATTTCATTTATTAATTCTCCTTGTATCTATAGAGCATTGTCCTGATCGTAAATTGAGGGCGACAATCTGGGATGCCGACGTCACTCGGTGCTCCACGTATCAAGAAAAATCTGTTCAGGCCAGTGTAACTTTGGAAGAAATACGAGGCAGAAGAAACGAGCAAGCGCAGCGTTTAGGATACAAGCATTTCGCGGAGATGAGTATGCAGACGAAAATGGCTGGCAATTTGGAGAATTTGCAGAACGTATTGGAAACTCTTCGAAGTACTGGTAAGATTTTCTTTAGCACTATATTGTCATGAAAGATAAATATATCAATTTTATCATAACAGAAGTACAATACACTTTTTGATAGATAACACTATGATATATTTATTATATCTAACATATCTAACATATTAATCTATTATATCTATTAACAATGAGATATTCTTGATTCTTAATTGACCGATTAATATTTTAATAATAATCGTTTCATATTTTATCGAAGCGCGACCTATACAGGATCGAGAAATTGCAAATTTAACAGACTTTGCGAAGGATAGAGGCTTTACAGATATTATAAGGGTGTGGGATGTGGCATACTGGAGCAGAAAACAATGTCGCTTTTTATATAAGTAAGTAAATCGGTATCAATATAGAGATTCTTTAAAAAAATATTTATAAAAAGTTCTATATCATATAACTTTTAAGTGTCATTTAAATAAGATATTTTATTATATTGATTAAGAAATTTATTTATCACATTAATAATTAGATATTTTATAAAATTGCATGATTTCGAAAAAGATACAATGATACATAATATAATTGTCTTTTTTTCTTATACCTTAAATTTAAATTATGTATAATTATTATGTACAGTACGATAATGTAAATAGTCTTGTTATCGATTATATATATATATATATATATATATATATATTTATATTTATATTTATATATCTTTTCTCCAGCTGTGAAGATAGTGTTTTGAGGCCGTACTTCCCATTGTCAACCGTTTTGTCGGGCTTATTTGAACATATCGAGACGCTTTTCAATGTGAAAATTGTCGAAAATAAAAAGGCAGATATCTGGCATAAGGATGTTCGGTTCTTCGACGTGTTTGACTTGAATGTATCTAGCACTGTTCCTATGGCAAACTTCTATCTGGACCCCTACGCCAGAGGCGAAGATAAGTTTCGCAAGGAGCAGGACTCAGGATGGGTATCCACGATTAAGAGCAAGAGCAAAATTTGCGATAGCAATCCACTAGTTGCTTTGATTTTCAATTTTCCGCCACCGATGGGCGACAAACCCTCGTTGCTCTCTTTCAAGGACGTGCAAATTCTCTTTCAGAAGGTAGGTATCTTATATCTTACTTCTAAAAAGTTATAATTGATAAATTTAGTTTGTATATATATTTAATTGTTAAATATAGTTAATATACTTAATTAATTGGTCGATATTAATGTAATTTCATATTCAGTTCATATTATATCACATAGTAAATATTATATCAAAATTAGGCATTCATATGCTTAATTAATTAACTAATTAAATTTCACGCTTTTTTGAACATTGTAGTTCGGACATGCTCTGCAGCATTTACTAACTACAGTCGAGTATTCGGACATCGCCGGATTATCGTTCGTGGATTGGGATGCGGTATTTATTTGCGACTACTTTATGGAAAATTGGTACGAAATAAAATCATACGAGCATGTAAAATTAACGAATTGATTCGATGCGTCTATGATAAATTATTTCAATGTATATTTTATCTCATGTATTTTCATCGACAGGTTGTATGAGCCGTTTGTGCTACGCAAGATCTCCGAGCATTACGAAACAAAAGAACCATTGCCCATGGAGATTGTTGAGGATATTAAGAAAATGAGATCACATCTCGCCGGCTACAAGCTGTGTAAGGAGCTTTATCTCTCGCAATTGGATCTAGAGTTGCATTCCAGGTAAATATGGAAAATCTTAACTTTAAATTCAATTCGATAATTTAATGAAATACAAAAATGAAACATTTTTGTTTTTAATTTCTGCTAAGCGTAATTCAATTATCCTATACTTTGAACAGATGTGACTCATATTGAATTACAGCTAATTACAAGTGTTTAAATGTTGAAAATATTACAGTGAAACATTTTGGGTACCCATAATGAAAAAATTGTGGCCGAAGTACTTTGCGTTACCACTGGAGAGAAGAGACGTCCATGTCTGCTCTTTCGAGGCCATCTGGAGTGGCAGTTGGGCAGCTGCATATTTTAGGTAAGAAATCTGTTTCCATAAGTTGTCATAAATATTTGCCTTGTGTGGATATAACATTCTCGGGATCGGTATTTAATCTCCGTGCTTCAGTAAGTTTTTTTACCGTTTATCGTTATTAACATTACTGTTACTTATGTGTTTATTTAACGATTATGTGCTTTTTATGATTATGATTAACGTTTATAATGATTGTATTTAAGTACGGTTACGTCGGTTAAAACACTCGAAGGATTGTTAATTTGCAGCAAGACCTGGTCGCAAATGATAGCCGCCGACTTGTACACAGCATTTCAGGAGGTCAAGTTTGACAAGTCAAAGCAACAAGAAATAGGTGCGAGATTTCGCAATACATTCTTGGCTCTAGGTGGCAATTACCCTGCCGCTGAGATTTTCAGGAAATTCAGAGGCAGAGATCCAAGTCCACAGGCATTACTTGATAATTCCGGCTTGACGCGAGTGACAGAGGCCAAATGATGTAACTATATGATTGAATAGATTTTGCCATAATTAGTGGTGCAAAGGAATAATAAATTAGATTCATATAGTAAATTCCGAGATATTGATCGATGTAAAGTCGATTTATATTATGTAATATATAACACAGTATAATGTAATAATATATTATGTAATATATTATGTAATATGTATAATCGATTTGTGTAATATATATTATGTAATGATATAAATCGATTTATATTGAGGACAATTTATATTATGTAATCAATTATATAATTATATGTGTTACCTATAAATACCACATCCACCTGAAACCAAAAATGCTATGATTTTGGTATATACTTTGAATATGCGACGTGTACTTATCGTCGAATTTACGCCAAGATCTAAGAGTGGTTTTATTTTTAGATGTCATTTGTCGATAAACGCGGTTCCTTTATTAACATTGATCAATTCCTATTTTTACGTATGTTAATAATTGAGGCTTTTGCGCTTCCGTTAACTCGTACGATCATCCGCTAGATGATGGTGATATCGCGAATCATTAAATGTAAAAATTATTAACATCAAAAATTATTTGTTTAATCTATTTGGTGTAACATAGAGTTCATTGATCGTAAACTGTGATATCTTACGATAAGTTTCACGGAGAGACAAATGAAAAAAAATTTTGATCTAACGAAATTATCAAGACGCGATTAAAGAGACGAGAGGAAAAAATGCGTATGCGTAACTCGATACTGTGCAAATCAATTTCTCGGAAAGCTATTGGCGTTTGTTTTGCAACTAGAAGATTGCAATTTCTTGAATTATGCGAGACTGTTTTACATGCATAATTCCGAGAAGCTACTTTACGATCTGTTATAATATTGTAATTATTTGCACCGCAGATCGTTTACGAGAGAAACATTTCGAAAGATGATAATTTGACACGGCTGAAAGAATACTCGGTACATTCATCCAGGACATGGTATAGACTTTGCTTTTCGTTCAAAGATGAAATACTTGATTAATGGTCGCAAACAGGCTGGGCTTTTCCGCTCGGATACTCATTATTACACGGCATCAGATGTTCGCGATCCTTTTGCCACCCGTTATATTACGGCGCGGTAGGTAGGTAGGATTATGAGTCACCTTCTCCGTATGAATACTAAATGTCTTGCTGCGTCATTATCAGGCGTCGCATGTGCAAAATTTATTTATGAGATCATTAATCACGCTTATTTATAGTAAAATAGATTTATTTACGATGTCGATGGTTCCTTGCGACATTAATTAAATACAATACGTCTTGTCAATCAAATTCACTCGTTTGCAGTTAGCTAGAACGTGAGATCTCTGAGTATTGTAGAGACAATAAGCGACGCGTGCGCAAGCGAAGATAATATATTTTAATTTCATGCGTTTTATTTACAGGATTTAAAGACAGGATTAAATCACATGCCGAAAATTTTGCGGAAAACAAGAATGAAAAAGTAAAACAGGAACATGTGGATTGAACGAGAATTAAGACAATATTAGCGGAGAGAATTTTCAAAATACGAAATGCCCGAATGGAATTTTTCAGAGAAGAATTCACACTGACGTTGTTTGGATTTCAATCGTATTTCATTGTTATTTCGAATCTAACTTTAACGTCTCATATTCTGCCGTAATATCGATAAGAGTCTGCTTATCAGGTGCGGGTAGATCACGGCAAAAAAGTCGATAGATAATGCTTTCGCGAGGAACAGAAAATAAAATAAAATACTCGCTATTCGCACTTGGAAACACGTCGATATACAATCCGCTGACATCGCTGTCGTTGTTGCAGCGCGTACTTTACGTTGTGTCGCGGGGAACGGAGACGAGGAGAAATGACCGCAACGGTTCTCAGAATGCAACCCTGGCGACAGCAGAGTGCATGTTGCAAATGCGCAACGAGTACACCAGACTGTCTAATCGCGCCGAGAGCGCGAAGGAGATTTCGTCGAATGGAAGGGCCGAGATCGTGCTTCTTCAGGCCTGACAACGCGCGTTCCTCCGCCAGTATCCCGGCATCTCACGCGGTATTATGTCGCCTTGTACCGGGTGTCTCGAAGAGCCACGTTTCCGCTGACGCATTATATCCTCTTACGAGACACTGTACGTTGTTTATGAAATGTATGTTTTTGTGATTCATCGAGAAAATGTAATTACGAAATTACGTAATTATTACATAATTGTGTAAAGAAAATTTATACCTTGGCATGATGGATGTTGCAAATTGTATTTAAGTTACATTTAAGACTTCAATGCGTGTTCAGAGCTTGCTTATTTCAGTGAAGAATATGTCTTCTTTAATACATGTAATAATTTAAAAGTTTTTATTGCATAGAATTGATAAAAAAAGAGAAATTTAAACAGTCGAGAAATTTAAAAGTCGAGAACAGTTATTTACTGTTGTCTTTAAACGTAGTCTATTTACAAACATAGTATTGCGGTTGATAAAAAGAATCAAAGAAATGTGTAAGATTAAAGAAAACGGTTTTCTCCGACAGAGATTTTTCACTACTACTAGTTTCGTATTTAAAATTTCACTTTTCTTCTATTAGACAATGCAATTCATGGACGAATGTTTTGCTTCTATCCTCTCGGTTTCCTATAATTAATTGTATATTTTGGCTTTACAAGACTGTAGAAACTCAGCCATTAGAAAATCAAGATTTTATATCATCACCAGACAGAATATCTTGCAATAATAGCTTTCAAAGAAATAGATTGCAAACTAGATTTTACTAGAGTTTATGTTCAATTTGTTTCACAACTACCATCGATTTGCTTATTCGTGAGAACGGCAGTTTCAACGGCATTTTATCAATCCGCCCCTTCTTATTAGAAAATCGCAGTATGTAATTAGAACGCAAACGCAACTTGTTAATTAAAACTGATATGAAGTTATAATTAAATAGAATATGCTGATAAGCCGCGCGAAGTATGCATTCAATAATATAATCATGTTGAACGCTTAGCGAACGTTAGCTCTTGAATTTGGTTGTTGTATATTTTTAAATTTGATCAAGACTTAAAAATACAAAAGAATCAAATTTAAAAGCTCTCATTGACAGTCTAGCGAATAATACTAGCATTGAGTAGTGTCCATGAGAAATCTGCCGTTCATGATTGGAACGAAATCGTCTGCACGACGCGCGTGCTTTTGCGAAACATCCTCATTGCCTAGGAAGTGTTTAGATTGATTATCTCTCAGTTATACATGTCCGATCTAGTTTTCCGAGAAGAATGCGAAAGTTCGTTTGTTTATTCACAGAGAACAAAGTCACCGGAGCTTGGTTGTCGCGTCGTACGCCGTCTGTAAACACGCGCCGCCGGCCGGCGGCGCGAAGTCGAGCGGCGGCGGAATCGGCCGAAGTGGCGCGAGGCAACAGGCGGCTCGTTTAAAACGGTGGGGGAAGTACGCTGCGCGCGTCAGTGAGTCGCCGGAGGCCGCAGAGTTTGGTATGTCTCAGTACGATATATCGCATCGCGCGGTGTCTCTACGCTCTGTTTCCCTTCATTGTCGCACGACAGGATGAAGAGCAGTTTTGCCGTCACGTGTTCGTTAATACACGTCGTGTCTGTACGACTGACTTCGTGTAAATATTAACCGTACCGGGGAACCTCGTCTCTCGGAAGAAGATACAGCGGGAGTCGGAGCCGTGAAACCGAGAGCAAGAACGAGAGAGAGAGACGGACAGTTGAGACTGACAAGAAGCGAGAGTGAGAGCGAGAGAGAGCAGCAACACTCGCTCGCTGACGTGCTCCGCCAAGTGTTTGGCGTTCCCAGGTAAATGCGCCTTGCAAAGCGCCGTGTTTGATGGCAAACAGCCGATATTATCCTCCCGCCGCCCGGTGGTGAGTGTCGTGGGAGAAAGTGAACTCTGCCCGTGTACGCTTGTCCGAGTATTATTTACCAGCTGCAATATGGCGTCCCGTGTTTTCGCGGAATTTGAATCGCGATCGTCGCGCGCGGAGTTTGAATCGCGAGAGTAAAGTATACGCGCGCCGCCAATAACTTGACACCGTAGTACGAGCATCTCGCACTCCGATTGGCAGCGTGCACGCTGCACGTCCGATTCGACGACAGGTGAATGCTCGATTTCCACAAGTCTCACGCAGCGAAATAACCTATACTTTCTTATCGGAGTTCACGTCCATTCTCGCGCCTTGTCGTGCCGGGCGAGATTCGCCGCATGACGCGGCGGCCTGTCGTGAGTTTTCCGCCACCACCATTATCATCATCATCATCATCATCATCATTACGACGACGACGGCGACGGCGAGTGGCGTTGTCGCGGATGTCGAAAGGCGCAAATCGCGAAATACGATGGCATGTTGGTGCGATGAGTCATCGTGAGAACTGTGTGAACGGTGAATCCGACGTAATCTTGGCGGTAAATCTTGCAGAGCGCGACGCGCAACGTGTGGGACTGCCAACGTGTTAACCGTTAGTCTTTTGACACGACCGAAGTGTCTCGAATTGGCGAAAATCGTCGACCGTCTTTCCTACACTCTTGCTCTTTCTCACTCGCTCACCCGGACGAAAACTTGGCGTCCCGTTGTGAGATTCGAGAGCGTGAAGCGCGCGGCGACCGGTCGACGCTCGGGGACAGTGTTTGTTTGGTTTGTAATGAAGGACGGTCGTTGTTGTCATCGTCGATCGAGGCAGCCGAACCGCACGAGATACAGCAGTGCCGCCGGACTGTGATTAATTAGGCGTATCGTGCGGCACGCGAATAACGGACGGGAAAATGAAAATGTCGGTCGCGTTGCGGATCGTCGTCGCGCTCCCGATACTGTCGGCGATTGGTCACGGCAACGAGCTGAAGGATTATTGCACCAAGTACAAGTTCGGCAATCTACCGGGTGGCTTGGCGTTCACGAAGGAGGTCGTTACCACGGAGTACGCCAACGTGGGTGCGTTCAAGGCCCTTCACTGCTGCCTCAGGGGATACAGGAGCATCGAATGGTGAGTACTTACTATGATCCTTTGCCGATCCATACCGTACACCTTGCGGAACAAAAGTTCGGGCGCTGAGGTGTGATGTCGCGTAACAAACGTAAAACAAATGTAAATGAGAAAATGGTCTGATCTATATAGCAGTAATAAAATAATGAAAGCGTGATTGAAATTCGAATACTAAGGCAGAGGCAGCAGTAAAAAGTAGCGAAAGTACGTGTAATAAAGAGACACATGTATTGAAATTTGTTGAGAATTTTCAAGATAATAAGAAATTTTTGTAGACAAGATATTCTAAAGATTTTTTAACTTGCAAGTTACTTATCTGTTGGTTGGAATTGACTTAAGAGTTGAAACACAATCTAAATTTATAAGTTGCTAAATTCATATTTTGGTTCACACTTGCGTTTTTTCATATTTTTCCAATGAATATTCACGTTTGTTTAGTTTCAGTGAAAATATTGCACCCGAGCTTTTTCCCATTCAGTTGGTGTATAAGATATTGCTTAAAAATTTTGTGTATTTTTACTATTGCTGATATAGAAAAATTCTCGTTTAACATTATGCGTAAAATAATATTGATTACTTATGGTCATTTGATTAAATACGATATTTATAATGAGATTTATGTGGAAACAAGTCGCGCGCACACACACACACACACACACACACACACACACACACACACACATTCTTATATCTCCGAGATTACCTTTCCGGGATTACCAACTTCAATTTTACTTTAGCAATTTTAACCTTGATTTTGTTTTATTCTTTTCAATTCTTATAATATTTCTTACCTACTTAAAAATGTGGGCATTCCCGATTTAATTCCGCTAAAAGAAAAAATATCCTTGCGAATTTTTGTGCGAGAGTTCTTGTCGCGCCGAGAAGTATCTTTTCCTTTGGTGTTTCTTTGGTTCACACTTGCGTTTTTTAATATTTTTCTAATGAATATTCACGTATATTTATTTTTAGTTGAGCTTCTTTTATAGAGAACAAATGCTTTTGCTCATTCTTCAGCTTTCTGTGAGCATTTTGCTTCCCCTTTGTTCGCGTACGACTCGATAGGTGATAAATGCGAATGAAAACGAATCGAGTGCTTTCGGCACAAAGGCCGTCAGCCGAAGCATCCGCATTATGCGAATGACATTTTGCTTTTAGCGCAAAGTATTCGCTTCATACCTGAAGTACCCGTTTGTAGACATCTTTTGTTATCGCTGCTATCGTGCGCGATACATAGCGGTAACCTGTTCACACATACGATATGTTTTACGTATATCGGGTGATGCAAGTTGTTGAAATCCACCTTAGTGCGAGAGTGTCTTTTTCTTAGCCATTTTCAATATTTCATAGACCACAAATCTTATGAATTTTCATGATATCAGATATCAAATATAAGCTTTAGACCAGATTTTTATAAATTTTTATAGATTTTTATATTGAGGGGGATGATTAAAATAAATACAAGAATATAATTTAACACGAAAGTTATTAAACGTTTCATCTTCTCCATCAAAATTTTATTTTCAATTATTAGAATAAATGTTTATATCTTAATAATCAAGTATTGAAATGTAATCTTTTCTGAAGTATAGTTTACAAAAGCAAATGAATGATTTTATCGTGTATTTTTATCGCGGAAATCTTGCGAACATTTTAGTTGTTTACAACTCGAGCATTTATGAAAATCAAATGTAGATGCAAAGGTTGATAGTTACGAATAAGAATTACTTTAGAATCATTCTATAACAAGCATATATGCAAGGGGAGAATGCAGAAGATGAAGGAGTAAAAGATACATTGATGAGATTTCTCGTAAGCCAGTATAAATTCCAATAAGCTCGCGAATTAGCTTTATACTAAAATTCCACATCGGCATCCCTCAGAGCTTCTTGGACTTTCGCAATCTCTAATCCTTACATGCTTCGGACATCGGGACCTTAATTCCTCTCTTTTGAGCTTCTTCTCTTTTTCTCTTTCTCTCCTTCTCCCCTTCTCTCCTGACTCGTTTCTGATACCCTTTAAATTCTCGCTGCTTACCCTCTTCATGCCCCGGTGCGCGTCGTTCTTCTCGCAGCCCTCAGACTTCTGTTACAATCGGATCCTCGTACCTGTGTGGCTCCTTATGTATGTATATATATGTGTGTGTGTGTGTATATATGTGTATATATATATATATATCTCAAGGATCCTCACGCCGCTCTTCGCGTCTTCTGACCTACATTTTTCTCATCGCTCGCGCAATATTTCCCGGCGCGCGCTGAAAGACGGCGCATTAAAGATTTATAAGCTTACGACGCTCGGTACGTGACTTGTAAATCTCCGCGCGCAAAGACGGAAAACGCGGAAACTTCTCCCTCTTTCTCTCTCTCTCTCTCTCTCTCTCTCTTTCTCTCTCTCTCTCTTTCACTCTCTCTCACTCTCTTGATTCGCGAAAAGTTTCGTGAATCCGGATTCCATCGTTTCGACGTTCGCGCAAATCTTTATTTCGTGCTCACGACGCTTTACCCGGATTCCCATCGTGGCAGTTTTACATTAGGAGCTCGTCTAACGCGGAAATATGACGCGCGTATTCCTTTTTCGAGATAAATCGTGAAATAACGTCCGGACGATGGGCAGGGAGAAGGAGAGCGAAATTAAAGCACGTCAGGATCTCCTCTTCTGAAATTTCGTAATTTATCTTCTGAAAAATCTTCCCGCGAAGGAGAGAATATTTTTTTTCTTCCCTGCAATTTTTTGAGGCGAGGTGAAAAGAGGTAAACGGGTTCCGAGGACGCGAAGGGAGGAAAGTTTCGCGGCGAAAGCGCGAATTAGAGTTTGAAGATTTTTATTACGATCTGAGAATGCGAAACTCCCGAGGGCTGAAATTCAGAAACGCCGAATGCAATTTATGACTTAATGCCGCGCGCGAGCACCTCACAATTCGCTCGTATACATTACAGTTTGTGTATTTGTATTAAATTCGTACGTTCTGTATAATGTTCTACACACAATGGGCAGAATTTAATTTTATATAGTATTGAAAGAGAATATCCGAGCTATTATAAGAAAGTATGAGGAATCTCGATTCAAAACACGGAAGTTTTCCCTCGTATCTACAACAATAAATATTTTCGTATTATCTGTTGTTCCCAACGCTCCCAAGGTTCATTAATCAGTTGCGTTAATTATCACCTTCGATATAAATAAACTCGCGCAACGCTAAAATCTCCGTGCCCGAGGAACTAGACGCTTCCCCGTTTAGTTCGAGGGAGAGAGATACCCTCTTTCCGACACACCCGGCTCTATTTTCCTACGAATTACAATGCGCTATCTCCCGAGGGTCGCGACAGTCCTAGTTTAACGCGAATTACAGGACGTCGCGCGGCGGCGGGGAGGGGAGGAGGGTGGGCTAGGGTAGGAGCGCTTGTTTATTCCGCGATAAATCGAGGGGCGCGCTTCACAAAGTGGAATAACGGGAAGCCGCGACGAAGGGTGGGAATAGCGAAGGGCCGGCGGCGCGGCGTGGGCGGCGGCGGCGGGGTAAGACGCGGCGGGTGGTTCGGGCGGCGAGGAGGGTGCGCGCGGAGGGTTGTGACAAGCTTTGGCCGCTGTTTCCTCCACCCCCCCGAGTCGAGTAACCACAAAGCACCGAACAAAGGAATACCACCCGAGGACTTTCTGGAGGATCCTTCGCGCTCTCACGCGGGAACTTTATTATCCCGGGGACAAAGTGGGACTTTACGAGGCCATTGTGCCAAGACGGGCGGGCGTGTGTGTCGGTGCAGTACGCTCTTCCAGGTGTCAAACGGTGCGTTTGTGCCTCGCGTGTTCGCGCGCGAGTGCGCGTCATCCACCGTCAGGAGTACGTATTTTCCTGAAAAGTCACACGGTCGCGAAAATCAACATCGCGTATTGATCGAATTACCCTCGCAATTGCACGACTCCGTTGTCTCCCCGTCGTCGGCACGGCTTTTACGTCGAATTTCGTATTCGCGACGCACGGATGGTCGGGTACTACCGTTAATTATCGAGTCATTAACAGGTTATTTAATTCCACTCTTCTTCGCCGAGAATATGCACGTTCGTTTCCCTCTGTGCCGCGGTATTTCATCCGGTCTTTCGCGTGTCGTGAGATTCTCTCTAGGATTTTTATTTTGATCGTTCGATCCCCTTAAATCGGCAGGTTACTATCGGTTCGGTTCTATTTTGGGCAATTTTGTCAGCTAATATCGGCGTGACATTCTTATAAGTCGAGTAGTCGCTGGATCATTCGATTGACGTTATTATAGGACAGTTTAGTTCTCCCGTCGATGTATCGTCAAGTTATGAGGTTATTATTGGGGATAATCTTTTGCTCGGGATTATTTATTTAAATTCTTTCAAGCAATATTTTATGCTAATCAACATCTGCTGTCTGCTGGCATTTTAATGGCTCCGATCGCTCAAAATACTACCGGCCCGATAGAAGTTCGATAAAAAACCCAGCATAGATATCACCGTGTCGTAACGTAAATTAAGTCTTCCGGGCTTTTCCAATTTTGCGATTTTCCCCTCGCTCCTCCGAATTTCCAGATTATGCCTTTCTTATTCGTTCTCTCTCTCTCTCTCTCTCTCTCTCTCTCTCTCTCTCTCTCTCTCTTCTATTTCATTTCGTCTTCGACCTTTTCTCGTCCCATTCGTGTGATACGTCTCTATCGACCGTGTTCATCTGCAGGTCGGCGATGAACACGCACGAAATTATGCTTAGGCGCGTTCGGATCAGCTCCGATCGGCCCGGATCAAATCGGATAGCGGACGGATAGCCTTGATTAAATTTCACGGAAAAAAACGCAGCCGCGATTCGCCGAACCGCTTTCGTCGACCGCGTCTCTCTGGACCTTTTTCCTTCTTTTCTTTCGCTCGTTTTCTCCTTCTTCTCGTCCGTCTTTCGATTTAATGGCGATCGCGGAGGTCTCGTGAGCATCTGGATGAAAAACCAAGATGACGAGCGTTTCCCGAATCCGTGAGTTTGCTCGGAGCTTGAA